GATCTAGAGATACTTTCTAATAGTTAATATATCCCTCTGGAAGTCTATTAGCTCTATACTTTTATTAATTATTTAATTAAATATAATAATAGCTAGTATCAGATTAATTAAGTCCTCCAGATTACCTTTGAGTTTTTTATTAAGATTATTACTAGCTCTATAAAGCTTTCTTAAGAGTCTATTAGCTACTGTATTCTTCTCCCTAGGAATATACTTAGCAGAGAAGCTGAAGAGCAGTATATAACTAATCTAATATAGTACCAGAGACCTAGATATATTATTTATAGCTCTATTAATTTAGCTAATTAGTACTAATATATCTGTTTCTAATATAAAATATACTCTATATAGGTAATTCTATAGCCTTTTTAGTACTATAGTAATAGCTCTATATTCCCTTTTTATTATATTATAATAAGCTTATACCTTATTCTAATAGCTGGACTTATACCTAACTGAGTACCTAGCTCCTTCTACTACTTATATTAATATAGTACCCTATCCTATAAGACTTATATTAACTATTAGGATTATCTCCCTATAACCTTTACTTATATTAAGAGAGATAAGGATTAGGTTAGAGGTTATAGCTTTCTTTAATTAATCTATTACTTCCTATTAGTAATCTCCCTATATAAAGACTATATTCTTTCTCAGAAGGTTTATTAAGGGTTTAGCTTTTATTATATACTTTTTAACTTACTAATAATAATAACTAATAATCCCTAGGAAGGATCTTATATTAGAGATAGATTTATATATCTTCTATTTAGTAATCTTAATTATCTTTATTTCTTTAGATCTTTAACTATTTATCCTGTAAAGATATCTAATAATAATAATCTCAGCTTAGTAAAAGAGTAATTTAGCAGGAGAAATTATATATCCTACTAGCTCTATATTTATAAGGACTTTATCCAAGTTAATTAAATACTCCAGGATATAGCAGCGGATTCCTAGGGTTACTTCTTTATTATTAAAAGTAGAAGTTAGCTCTTATATAGTAATATTATTAAGGAACAGTCTGTATACTTTAAGCACTAAGTTATATAATATCTACAGTATAATCCTTATAAATTATACTACTAAGTTAGTAGCTCCTTATAGAAGAGTATATATCCTTACTAGGCTAATTAGGATTAAGAATATTATAATATCTCTACTTTTCTCAGTAAGTATTACTTAGTTATATTCTGAGAAGAAGTTAATAATTATTAATATCTTATATATAGTAAAGTCCTTAGAGAATTTATCTATATCAGGAGGTAGTAATATATCTTATATTATATATATATTATACCTTATTACTAAATTAATTAATCAGAAGTCTTTATTCTTTTTTAATATAAGGAACTAAGGATTCCTATATAAGATATAAGAGTATTTTAAAATATCTTTCTTTAGTTAGTTATATAGAATCTCTATTACCTTAGTCTATAAGGTAATTAGAATAGGGATTATTCCAGTCTGCTAGACTTTATACTCTATAACCTTAATCTCTTAAGGTAGTACTATATCAGGGCTTACCCTTCTATACTCCCTAAACTCCTAAGCTAGTACTATCTCCCTATTATAAAGGATAGCTAGTAGTAGCTCTCTCTCTTTCTCTATTAAGTACTTTACTTAATTAAGTAGTTTTACTAATCTCTTACTATAGAGTTACTCTCCCTTTATAATATTAGAGAACTTACTTATTATCTATTAAGAGAATTTACTAGTATCTTAGACTAAGTACTTTAACTTCTCCTACTTCTTTTCCTTCTAGTACAGATTACTATTAGGTATAGTACTATCAGAAGGAATATTATCTTAAGAATAGATCTTCTTTTCTTTCGGTTTATATATAGTATTTATTTTAATTATATTATTAGCCTCTTTATTATCAGGAAATCTATCTTTCCTTCTCTTCCTTCTCTTCCTCCTTCTTTTTACTGGAATAAAAGGCTTCTAGTTATTATTAATAATAACTTAGATAACCTCTTCAGCCTCTCCTTTAGAGATAGGAATTATATAGTCTTTATACTTAAGTTCTATAACCTTATATTACTCTTTATTCTTAATAGCTATATAGAATACTCTAAGGCTATAGGATATATAGCCCTATTTAGACTTTTTAAACTAGTTCTCTAAATTAGTATTTAATTAATTAATTAATTTATTATCTTTAATAATAGCTATATAGATAGTAATTATTCTTATATAAGCTATTAGTTTATTTTATATAGGATCCCTATAGTATACTCCTCTAGCTATAGGAATAATAAACCTAGTATTACCTACTCTTACTTATAGTAATAAATTTCCTATTAGGTCTGAATAATTAAATATAACCTTAGCTATCCTGAAGAATAATATTCCTAATAGGAAAAGTATACTAGTTATAGATTTCTCTACTATATAGACTACTTATAGGATAACTATACTTTCAAAATATAAGTTTACTTCTATCTTTCCTATTAATAGGATATAGTCCCTAGAATAGGTTTAGGTAGATCGAATACTAGCTAGCTTTAATCTCAGTTTGAATTTTATTATATAATCTTCTATTATAATATTCCCTTTAGTACTACTATCTACCAGGGTAAGGATTACTTCTACCTATAAGCTCCTAATCTTTATAGGGATAAATAGGAGGTCTTAGCTTTCTACAGGCAGTTATTCAACTTAGTATAGACTATTAAATTAATCTAATAAAGCAGTATAGACTTAGATTATTAAATCCTCCTAATCTAGGGAATTAGTAAAGAAAGATCTCTATACTAGCCCTTCTATAGGAATCTTTATAGATATAACCTCTTTATATACTATAGATATCTCCCTATCTTTATATCTCAGGATAGTAAATAAGCTATTAATATATTTACTATCCTAATTAATTAAATTTATATTAAGATAGTTTATTAATATTCCTAAGAGCTTAGAGTCTATTATTTCTACTCTTTACTTAATTAATTAGAATAGTTCCTTATTATCTAGTCTTAGAGCTCCTACTAGTTCTTTAGTAGTTTTATCAGATAACTATAAGGTTATAGACTGAATTTTCCTAGAGGACTAAATAGCTATATTCTCCAGCTTCTCTATATACTCTACTATCGCCTTATCCAGAAAGCTTCTAACCAGATCCCCTATTAAAGATTCTAATTTAATTAAGTTATCTAAGTAGATCCCTAGCTTCTTACTCCTGATTTCCTTAGTAATCTTTTAAATAACTTTCTCTTTATCTTATAATAATAACTTATTAATAGATCCTTAGATAGAGATAGGAACTTATTACTATATAGTATTTTTCTCTTTCTATTAGTCCTTAGAGAGCTTATTATTATTTAATCTAGTAGTTCTTATAGTTCTAGCTAGATCAGTTCTCTATCTTTTCCCTTTAAGGGAGAATATCCAGATAGTCCTCTCTTCCTTAAATATTCAGTTCTTATCAGACCTCTAAGGTATATTAATATTATTAATAATAGATAATCAGGGTATAGGAATAGAATTAATATTAGTATATCTTAGTAAGGTATTTATTTTCCTATACTTATTAGGGTTAATCTGTATTAATAGGCCCTAATCTAGTATATTATTCAGATAATATATAATCTCCTTCTTTTCTTTAGGAGTTTTAATCTATCTTCCTATATATAATAATTCCTATTTAATTAAATTATTAATAATCTCCCGGAGGTTAGAGTTATACTTAGGAAACTATTTTACCTAAAAGACTATAAGGTACCTTATATATAATTACTACTGGAAGAAGATAATAATTCTAGGAGGTATAAGCTCCCTCTTCTTTCTAAGTAGTAAGGATTATACTTTACTATTATAGTAGTACTAACTATTTACTTAGCTATCTATCTTAAGTTCCTAATAGTTCTAAGAATAATACCCTTAGATACTATAGTACTAATAGTTCCCTTAGAGGCCTTATAAGGAATAAGCAGTATTAATAGAAATATTATAAGTTTAATTAAATACTTCTCTATTATCTACTTCTTTTAGAGTAAGTAAGTTCAGTCTAAGTATAATCCTATCTCTCTCTAGATTTAACTTTATATTCTCTTCCTTAAGAAGGTAAAGACTACTAATAAGGGATATAAGTATTTCCTATATTTAGATCTAGCTTACTCTTATTTCTTCGAACTTAAGTCTTATCTTTTCTACCTCTGATTCTTCTTTCTTCTGCTGTACTAACTATACAGCCTCCCTTTAAAGGTCTTAGAAGCTAACTCTCTTCTCTACCTTTAAGGACTTTACTTCCTTCTCCTTCTTCTTCTGCTTTTACAGGTAATTTATAAGGTTAATTTAATTAATTCTATTAGCTCTAATTTCTCTAAATACCCTAGAGGATTAGTTACTTCTTAGCCTGCTAATACTAAGATAATACTCCTAAACTATAAACTTATTACTAATTCTATTACTAGTATAATTAAAGTTATAATTTATAATTAGGAAGTATTAGTATATAGCTTTATTAACTACTGCTCAGAGTTTCTTATATTCTATCCTCTTAAGCTCTTTATATATTTTCTTTTCCTTATAGGTAATATTAAAAATAAGATTAGATAGTAGGGCCCTAAGTAAGTATTATAACTGAATTATATTAGTATTCTATTTAGCAGGGTTAATTTTCTAATAAAGAAGCTAATAAGTATTAATAAAAGTAGTAATCTGCTATTAATTAAATATAACTACTATAGTATTAAGCTTTTACAGCTTTTCTTCAGATTAAATAAGCTGTTCGGAGTTATAGCTATAGTATTATTATTTAAGCGCTTAAACTACTTTAGATTAGTAGTTCTAACTCTTAAGGATAACCTTAACCCTCTACTTCTCTTCCTTAATAATATAGAAAAGAAAAAGCTTCTTTTTTATAGCAGGGTTAATATTAGGGTTTCTAAACTTAATAAACTCCTTAAAGCTATTTAGAAAGAAAGTAATTCTATAACTATTAAATTCCTTAGTTATCTGCAGGTTAATTCTGTTTTTTATAGAATAAAGTAGATCTTTCAGTCCAGCAGCCAGATCTAATCCCTTTAGATTAGTAGCTGCTTTATTATTTAGTATAATTTTATTATTAGTTATTTTATTAATTCGAGAGGCTTTAATAAAACAGTTTATACTAGATCTTATAGTATTAATTTTAAATACTTCTTTTTTCTTTCTAATAGTTCTTTCTAAGCGGGATATAAGAAGTAAGATTATAGTAATATCTATACTTTTTATAAAGAGTAATCCTTAGATTAAATAGAAAGTTCTACAGAGTTATATAAGACTAGTTAATCTAATAGTCTGAACTATCCTAATAACCCTGTAAGCTTATTCCCTTTCCTCAGATCTAATAGCTCCCCGAACCCTAATATAAGATTAAGAATCTGACTTTTATTATAGATTACTCTTCAGTTTTCCCCTATACTAATCTAATAGATAGGACTTAAGAGATTTAATTAAGTTAGAAATCTAATAAGAAGAAAGACTAGCCTGTTCTCCTTTCTCTTTTCTATATAGAAGAGAAGAAACCCTTAGCTATTAGTACTTATTATACTACTCTTAAGCCTTCTTTCTAAATTATAAAGCTCTACTAGGCTTCCCCCTAGTAGTTCTAAGTAATATTAATAACCTAGAACCCTTACTCTTATTAAATAGTTCTTACTAAATAATCTAATAGAACTAGAGCTAGAATAGTCCTAGTAGAGATCCCTAGCTTTTAGAAGAAGAGTCTTAATTATACTATAATCTATACTTTTAAATTCTTAGTATTAGATAATACCTTAGGAAGTACTTCCTACTTCTAGAGCTATAAGAGAATAATCCCTTTTTAGATCTATTAGTATTATACTACCCTTAAGAAGGGTTTAATTAACTAATTATAATCTCTATAAGTAACTATATACCTATCCTTCTACTAATTTTACCTCCAGATATTAGAATCAGGGTTTTTAAAGCCCTAGCTCTGATCAGATTCTAACTGCTTATAAGCAGATAATACCTAAATATAAGTAATAAGGGTCTTTTCTACAGATTAGTAATCCCCGGAATATCTCCTTACAGCTAAGAGGAGGGTTTATAGATAAAAGATAGGTAGTTAGAAATTCCTACTAGGTATATCTAGGTTCTTCTTACTCTAGTAGTATAGAAGTACTTTCTCCTTAGAGTAAAGTTATCTAAGAGACTAAATAGTAGTTAATTAATTAGAATTCCTTACTTTAAGAATTAGACCTAGGTAAAACTACTATATAAGTACTGGTAGAATTTTCTAATTAATAATACTATAACTAAAGACTGGGTAGGTCTGCAGCTATAATATTAATATCAGTTAAAGGAGAGGAATTATAACTAAGCTATATAGTTAAAGCTAATAACTATAATTAATTATATATATATTTAGTATTTAATTAGGGACTCCTATATTTAATTAATTAAATAAGACTATCCAGGTTATTATATAAGCTAAACTAGCTGTAGAATAATAAGTTAAAGATTATAATTTTAAAAATAAAGAATAATTTAAGAGTAAAAAACAGTTTTTTATTTTTAGAGTAGTAAATAATTTACTGCTTAAGTAGTATATAGTAAATTACCCTAACTAACTATAGAAATTATATACGCTCTTATTAGTAATTTTATATTATACTATAGTAGCTATATTAGTAATCCTTATATTTACTATAGTAGCTATATTAGTAATTCTTATATCTACTATAGTACTTATATTAGTAGATCTTATATCTACTATATAAGAACTTTAGTACTTAGTTAGTAAACCTTATAACTACTATAGTAGCTATATTAGCAGACTTTATATCTACTATAGTACTTATATTAGTAGATCTTATATCTACTATATAAAAACCTTATAGTAATTATAAGTCTGTATTATAGAAGGTAATATATTATCTTTAGAGCTCTTAGAGCTCTAAAATACTTATAAATATAGGGCTTTCTCCCTACTAGATAGAGGTTCTTTAAGCTATTAATTTACTCTTTTATCTACCCTATAGTTTATTTTTTTAGCTATCTTATAGCTAATAAAGTCTCTTTTTCTTACTTAGTAGACTGCTTTTTCTATTATATCTTTTAAAATAATCCCTTTAGTATTTCTTAGCTTATCCTATAGGCTATACTTACTCTAAATCTAGCTTACCCTATAGCTAGTTTACCCTATACTAGAGATCTTAATCTTTTAAAAGATTATAAGCCTGGATCTTATCTACTTTAATAAGAAAGAGCTTTATCTTTAGATTTAAAAGCTCTTATCTTATACTAGAAAAGTCTCCTAACTTATCTTATACCTTAGCCTAGGTTTTAATAGCTTTCTTTATTAAAGAAGATTTAAAATAGCTAATAAAGATAGCTATATAGAGGAATTAGCCTCTAAAGGTATTAAAACCTATCTTTCTTTAGTAGCTATTCTAATAGCTAGTACTACTATTATAACTAACTAACTAAACCCTTTTAGTACTACTAGTATTATTCCTATAGTAAAAAGTACTATTACTACTTAGAACTTATAGAATTAACTAGTAAACTTTAGTATTACTAATACTATTTCTTTAGATCTTATAATAGATAATATTATTATTACTTAGAGTCTTTAGAACCTAGATACTATTAAAGCTATTACTACTATATAGTAAATCCTTTAGTAGCTTATAGCTACTATAAATCTACTATAGTTATAGCAGATCCCTAGTATTACTAGTACTAGCTAACTAGCTTCTAGTACTATTAGTACTACTTAATAGCTTATTTTATAGAGCTTTTAGAGCTCTAATCCCTTAACTAGGGTTTTTAAAGACTTTATTATTAAGAATTTTAATAAAAGAGTTTATAAGTTCTTTAAAGTCTCTAAATTATAGGAATTCTATAACTTTAATTAGTAGAAATAGATTCTAAAGATCTAATTTAGAGCCCTTAGATTACTACTATTTATAGTAAACCTTATTATAGTCTAGTAGTTATTAGATTCAGATTAGATTATCTTACTTATACTACTAAAAGATAGCTATATAGAGGGTCTATAAGCTACTATAATTTAGTAGATCTTCTCTATAGAGGCCTATAAGTTACTAGTTAAATAGTTCTTTTATAATACTGAAATTTAATATAGTTATCTATATATCTAATTTTATAGGTTTTATTATAGGGATTTTAAAAGCTTATTAGAAGCTTTTAATAGTATATTTAATAACCTTCTAGCTAGATTATTACTAGCTAAGATTACTATAGTCTCTATAGATTAAGCTAATTAGTATTTAGAAGTTCTAAAAGAGATCTTCCTATAGTAAGCTAAGTACTAATAGAATAATATTAGGATTACTAAAGCCTTTAGAGACTCCCTGGAACCTCTGAACTTATAGTTCCTTATAATAGACCTTCTGGAGAAATAGTATAATAAGAGCTCTTTAATAGCTAAAACTATAAATTATAGAGCTAGATATATTAAAAAGTCTACTAAAAAGAAATCTCTAAGCTCTAAAAAGTTTTCTAAGAGAAAGATCTAATAGAAGGAATCTAGATCTAAAGCTCCTAAAGAAAAGCTAGCTAAACTTATTAGCTTTACTCTAAACTATAGTCTAGAAAACCTATAAAGCCCTCTAGAAGATAGTAATAAAGAAAGCCTCTAACTAGTTTTTTAAACCTATTAGCCCCCTAAACTTACTAAAATTATAATAGCTCCTATTACTACTAGCTTTAGTAGTTAGAAGTATAATCTACTAAATACTCTTCTATATAATATAAGCTCTATAGTATACTTAGTAAATAATAGAGCTTATTATAGAGACTATAAAGCTCTAAAGTACTCTAAGATAGATTATATTCTAATAGCTACTAATAAGATCTACTCTATAGATATTAGAACTACTATATTTTAAGTTCTAATCTCTTAGAACTTCCTAATCTATAGGGATTTAGAGCTAAAAGAAGCTCTTTTCCTATCTATTCTAGAGATTAATATAGTTAGTAGAATAAGATACTATAGTTTAGAGGGTACTCTTCTAAGATAATAGTTATTTATAGATAATAGAACTTACTATAGTCTACTAAACTTTAAAAAATATAGCTTCTACCTATAGCTAAAAAGATAAAAAACCCCTAAGCTTATAATATCTAAGGAGCTCTCTATCTATATAAGCTATAGTTACCCTATAGAGATTTAAATTCTCTCTAAGGTTCCTAGTTAAGCCTCTAAGATCCTAGACTTTATAGAGTCTAGTAAGCTTACTAAGCCTACTAAATAGCTTACTAAGGAACTTACTGAGCTTATTAAATAGTATACTTTAATAGAGGTTTAAATTCCCTCTAAGACCTCTAGCTAGATCTCTAAGACCCTAGACTTTACAGGGTCTAGTAAGCTTACTAAGCCTACTAAATAGCCTATTAAGATATTTACTAAGATCCTAGTATAGAAGCTTTTAAAAGAGAATTATTCTAGCTTTAATACTAAAGAAGCTCTAATATAAGGAACTATTAATACTATTAGGTCCCTACTATAAGTATTTAAAATCTATAAAGATCTACTATAATTAGTAGATATTTAGTATATATAGCTAGGGTATTTAGAACTTTAATTACTAAAGAAGATTATTAAAATTATAAAAGATCTTCCTAATTTTAGTTCTATAAAAGAGGAAGATTTCTACTATTTAGCTTATATTAATACTAAAAGCTATAAGCTTCTAGTATATATAGCTATTCCTGATCTATTTAGAGCTCTAGACTTTATAGAAGGGAATACTTTCTATCTTAAGCTTATACTATATAATAGAAGGCTTATAGAGCTTATTTTAATAGATTAAAAAACCTATTATAGATAGGTTATTCTTCTCCCTAATAAGAAAGGATCTACTATAGTAACTACTATAAAAGATTTCTATTAGAGCTTTTATAACTACTATAACTACTATTCTGCTAAATATTACTATAATAGTAGGGAAATTATAAGGGATTTAGTAAATTAGCTAGCTACTAAAGATACTATTTTTAATACCTTAAGCCTCTATATTTACTAGTAAAATAAGCTAGCTGAATACTCTATAAGAGTATTAATAGATAGACTTAGAGCTGTTTTATAGTAATCTAAGCTCCTACTATACCTCTAGTATTATATCCTTCCAGAGGTTCTTTAGTTAGTTAACTATACTACTATTAGTAATTATAATTTACTCTCTTAGTAGCTATTCCTTTAAGAATTAGAGTCTGAAACTCCCTTTAGATCTAACTTTTAGGTCTATAAAGCTATTAGAGCTTATTATAAAGTCTTTATTTATTCTAAATAGTAGTCTAAGAGCTATAAATTAGCTCTTAGAATAATCTTAGAGTAGATTTTAATACTCTTAGACTCTAAAATCTATTAGATTTATATTCCTAAGAAGAGGCTAATTATTAAGATCTCTTATCTGAGGATTTTAAAGAATATAAGCTCTATAAAATAGGGCTTATAGCTATAAAACCCCTCTCTTTTATACTCTTTAGAAGGGGAAATAGAGAAAATAGAATATATAAAAGAGATTTAAAAGCTACTATAATAGCTACTATAAGAATACTCTAACCTACTAGCTATAGTACTTAAACTACTAGTTATAGGGCCTTAAGAGTCTGAAATACTACTAATTATAATATCTACTTTAGAACTCTAAGAGCCTAAAGCCCCTAAGACTATAGGATCTTTAGAGCTTAAAGCTCTACTAACTATAGTATAATAACCTAATAAGCCTAGATCTAATTTAGAGCCTATAGATAATCTAATAGATCTATCTAACTAGATATAGACTACTACTATAGTATACTAAGTAAGTACTATAATATATACTAAAGCTAGACTCTTACTAAAGTCTAATAACTAAAAAGAGATATTAAAGCTATTATTAAAAGAGAAAGAGCTTTAGCTATAGACTATCTTTAGTAAACTTAAATAGCTAATATATATTAGAACCTTCTTCTTTATAATACTAAAAAATCTATCTAAGGATTATAGAGCTCTAAGCTGTAGATATATACTAAAGCTAAAGTTTAACCTTTATAATAAACTATTAAAATATAAAGCTAAGCTTATTATTAGAGGGTTCTTATAGATAAAAGGCCTAGATTATAATAAAACTTTTACTTCTATAGTTATTTCTCTAATCTAAAGACTATTATTAGCTCTAGTAGCTATATATAACTATAATATTAAGTAAATTAACTTTATAGATATCTTTTTAAATAGTAAACTTATTAAAAGACTCTATATAAAGCTCTCTAAAGATCTAAAGGAGCTACTAAAGAAAAGCTCTAAATTACTTACTATAGCTAAGTCTTAGAGCTATAATCCTTCTAAAGATCAGATTATCCTACTACTAAAAGCCCTATATAGTCTAAAGTAATTCCCTAGAGAATAATAAGAAGCTCTAAAAGCCCTATTAAAATCTCTAAGCTTTAGCTTCTTAATCTTAGATCTAGTAGTTTTCTATAATACTAAAAAGACTACTTTTATAGTAATCTATATAGATAACTATCTTATAATAGGTTCTGAAATTAGCTATATTAATAAGCTAAAAAAGGAAATTTATAGGATTTACTTTATAGAAGATAAGGAACTAGTAGTTTTCTTCTTAGAGATTTAAATTTACTAAAATAGATCTAAGAAAGCTCTATATCTCTCTTAGTCTTAATATATTAAATAGGTACTATAGGTATTTAAGATTACTAAAGAAAAGCTTTTATTAATATCTTTATAGCTTAATCTTATAAGGCTTATAGTAGAAACTATAGAGACTATAGATATCTATAATCCTCTGGAATATAGACTATTTTAATAGATTATAGAGATTATAATATATCTAATACTTTAAACTAGATCTAATATAATTTTTTTAGTTTAGTAATTAGTTTAGATTATATATAGGCTCTATAAAATCTATCTAAAGACTATTAAAAAGCTACTTTAGTATCTAAAGGGTATTAAAAACCTTATTATAATTTACTTACTAAATAAGCCCCTAGAAGATTATTATAATAGTAATTTTATAGGGGATAAAACTACTAGTAAATCTATCTATAGGTATCTCTTTAAGCTAGCTAGAGGCCCTATTAGTTAGAAAGCTAAGAAAGTAACTACTATAGCTCTATTTACTATAAAGACTAAAGTAGATAGTCTTATAGAGGCTCTTAGAGAGCTATAATAACTAAAAGAGCTCTATAAGAAATTAAACTAGCTTCTAAAGACCCTTATAACTATCTACTATAATAACTAGGACTATATAGCTATAAGTAATAATCCTACTCTATATACTAGAACTAAGTATATTCTACTAAAATTCTATTATAATAGGATTTAAATTATAAAGGGTTTAGTAAGCTTTAGCTATCTAGAAACTAAAGCTATACCTATTAATAGGCTAACTAAACTACTAACTATATCTCTTTAGTAGGCCTTTAGAGATCTACTAGATCTGAAAGAGTACTATAAGAATCTAACTTAGTTATTTCCTTTAGAAGGGGTATTAAGATTTACTCTATAGACTATAGGGTAGATCAGGTTATCCTATATTAGTTAATTAAATAATCTTAGATTAATATAGAGTAAGAAGGAATAAAATAACTAACTTAGGGCTTTCTAAAGTTAGAAATCTACTAAAACTACTAGCTTAATCTGCTATAACTATCTATTAGAATAATTATATTAGTAGTTATAACTATTATAATAGCTACTATAGTAATTATATTAGTAATCTTATATTATACTATAGTAGCTATATTAGTAGTTCTTATATTTACTATAGTAGCTATATTAGTAGTTCTTATATCTACTATAGTATTTATATTAGTAGATCTTATATCTATTATATAAGAATTTTAGTATTTAGTTAGTAAACCTTATAACTACTATAGTAGCTATATTAATAGACTTTATATCTATTATAATACTTATATTAGTAGACCTTATATCTACTATATAAGAACCTTATAGTAGTTATAAGTTTATATTATAGAAGGTAATATATTATCTTTAGAGCTCTTAGAGCTCTAAAATATCTATAAGTATAGAGCTTTCTCCCTACTAGATAGAGGTTTTTTAAGCTACTAATTTACTCTTTTATCTATCCTATAGTCTATCTTTTTAGCTACCCTATAGCTAATAAAGTCTCTCTTTCTTACTTAGTAAGCTACTTCTTCTACTATATCTTTTAAAATAATCCCTTTAGTATTTCTCAGCCTACTCTATAAGCTATATCTACTCTAGACCTAGCTTACTCTATAGCTAGTTTACCCTATACTAGAGGCCTTGATCTTTTAAAAGATATTAGCTACTTTAGATTACTTAGATCTGAGGATTTTAGAGGATATAGGCTTTATAAAACAGAGCTTATAGCTATAAAACTCCCCCCTCTTATACTTTTTAGAAGGAGAAATAGAGGAAATAGAGTATATAAAAGAGACTTAAGAGCTACTATAATAGCTATTATAAGAATACTCTAACCTACTAGCTATAATATTTAAACTATTAGCTATAGAGCCTTAAGAGCCTAAAATACTACTAACTATAATATCTACTTTAGAACCCTAAGAGTCTGAAATCCCTAAAGCTATAGAGCCTCTAGAGTCTAAAGCTCTACTAGTTATAGTATAATAACCTAGTAAGCCTAGGCCTAACTTAGAACCTATAGATAATCTAATAGATCTATCTAACTAGGTATAAGCTACTATTATAGTATACTAAGTAAGTACTATAATATATACTAAAGCTAGGCTCTTACTAGAATTTAATAACTAGAAAGAGATACTAAAGCTACTACTAAAAGAGAAAGAGCTTTAGCTATAGACTATCTTTAGTAAACTTAAGTAGTTAATATATATTAGAACCTTCTTCTTTATAGTATTAAAAGATCTACCTAAGGGCTATAGAGCTCTAAGCTATAGATATATACTAAAGCTAAAGTTTAATCCTTATAATAAACTATTAAAATATAAAGCTAGGTTTATTATTAGAGGGTTCTTATAGATAGAAGATCTAGATTATAATAAAACTTTTACTTTTATAGCTATTTTTTTAATCTAGAAGCTATTATTAGCTCTAGTAGCTATATATAATTATAATATTAAGTAAATTAACTTTATAGATATCTTTTTAAATAATAAACTTACTAAAAGACTCTATATAAAGCTCCCTAAAGATCTAAAGAAGCTACTGAAGAAAAGCTCTAAATTACTTATTATAGCTAAGTCTTAGAGCTATAACCCTTCTGAAGATCAGATTATCCTACTACTAAAAGCCCTATATAGCCTAAAGCAGTTCTCTAGAGAATAATAAGAGGCTTTAAAAGCTTTATTAAAATCTCTAGACTTTAGCTCTTTAATCTTAGATCTAGTAGTTTTCTATAATACTAAAAAGACTACTTTTATAATAATCTATATAGATAACTGCTTTATAATAAGCTCTGAAATTAGCTATATTAATAAGCTAAAGAAGGAAATTTATAGAGTTTATTCTATAGAAGATAAAGGATTAGTAGCTTTCTTCTTAGGGGTTTAAATTTATTAAAATAGACCTAAAAAAGCTCTATATCTCTCTTAGCCTTAGTATATTAAATAGGTATTATAAGTATTTAAAATTACTAAAGAAAAGCCTCTATTAGTACTCTTATAGTCTAATCTTATAAGGCTTATAATAGAAACTATAAAGACTATAGATCTTTATAATCTCCTAGAATATAAGCTATTTTAGTAGATTATAAGGACTTTAATATATCTAATACTTTAAACTAGATCTAATATAGTCTTTTTAGTTTAGTAGTTAGCTCAGGCTATATATAGACCCTATAAAATCTATTTAAAAGTTACTAAAAAGCTACTTTAGTATCTAAAGAGTATTAAAAACCTTATTATAATCTACTTACTAAATAAGTCTCTAGAAGACTATTATAATAGTAATTTTATAGGGAATAAAACTACTAGTAAATCTATCTATAGATATCTCTTTAAGCTAGCTAGAGATCCTATTAATTAGAAAGTTAAAAAAGTAACTACTATAGCTCTATCTACTATAGAGGCTAAAGTAGATAATCTTATAGAGGCTTTTAGAGAGCTATAGTAGCTAAAAGAGCTCTATAAGAAGCTAAACTAATTCCTAAAGATCTCTATAACTATCTATTATAATAACTAGAGCTATATAGCTATAAGTAATAATCCTATTCTATATACTAGAACTAAGTATACCCTACTGAAATTTTACTATAATAGGGTTTAAATTATAGAGGGTTTAGTAAGCTTTAACTATCTAGAAACTAAAGCTATACTTACTAATAGACTAATTAAGCTACTAACTATATCTCTTTAGTAGGTCTTTAGAGATCTACTAGATCTAAAGGAATACTATAAGGATCTAATTTAGTTATTTTCTTTAGAAGGGATATTAAGATTTACCCTATAGACTATAGGGTAGATCAGATTACTCTATATTAGTTAATTAAATAATCTTAGATTAATATAGGGTAAGAAGAAATAAAATAACTAACTTAGAGCTTTCTAAAGCTAGAAACTTACTAAAGCTATTAGTTTAACCTACTATAGCTATCTATTAGGGTAATTATATTAGTAATTATAATTATTATAATAGTTACTATAGTAACTATATTAGTAATCTTATATTATACTATAGTAGCTATATTAGTAGTTTTTATATCTGCTATAATAGCTATATTAGTAATTCTTATATCTATTATAGTATTTATATTAGTAGATCTTATATCTACTATATAAAAATCTTAATACTTAGTTAGTAAACCTTATAACTACTATAGTAATTATATTAATAGACTTTATATCTACTATAGTATTTATATTAGCAGATCTTATATCTACTATATAAGAATCTTATAATAGTTATAAGCTTATATTATAGAAGGTAATATATTATCTTTAGAGCTCTTAGAGCTCTAAAATACCTATAAGTATAGAGCTTTCTTTCTACTAGATAGAGATTCTTTAAACTATTAATTTACTCTTTTATCTATCCTATAATCTATCTTCTTAGCTATCCTATAGCTAATAAAGTCTCTTTTTTTTACTTAGTAGGCTACTTTTTCTATTATACCTTTTAAAATAATCTCTTTAGTATTTCTCAGCCTACCCTATAGGCTATACCTACTCTAGACCCAGCTTATCCTATAGCTAGTCTACCCTATACTGGAGGCCTTAATCTTTTAAAAATAACTACTATAACTTAGTAAGCTCTAGAAACCCTTAGGGGTTCAGGCTATTAGTAGAGTTATTATTAGATTATTAGACTTATTAAGTCTAAGATAAGAATCTAATAAATCTGGAAAAAGTTCTAAAATATTCTTAGATAATCTAATCTATATCTAGACTACTCTATAGCTAGTCTATTCTAAACTAAATCTTAGATCTTAGATAATTCCTTTAGCTTTAAAAATAAAATATCTAATATTTATACTTAACTAATTAGCTTAAGAGTCTCTTTTAGATAAAAATAGATCTTATAAAAGCTATATATATTAATTAAAGATTTTAATAGTTATAAGTTAATTTTTTAGATTTTCTATAGTAATAAATTTTATAGAAAATTAAAAATAATCTAGAAAGCTATTATAGTAGATTTTAAAATAGTTTTTAATTAATAGATTTATAAAAGAAATTAGATAGAATTTTCTAATCTTTTTTATAAAAATAAAATTCTTTTATACTATATTTTATACTATATTTAGTCTCTTTAGTATTAAAACTTACTAAGTTATAGTAGAGTTAGTAGTTAAGAACTATAAGTTATAGTAAACTTCCCTACTATATTATAGAGACTTATAAGAATAAATACTCTATAAACTTCTTATAAAACTAATAGATTATAAATCAAGCTTATTAACTTATAGTACTCTTATTACTATATCTAGCTAATTTCTACTAGAAAGCCTATATTTTTACTAGCTAAGACCCCTATTAGGCTCTAATATATATCTATTTATTAGTAATTACTTAGGCCTCTATTTAGGCTTTTAACCCCTCTAAGGAATATACTATAATTAGTCCTTTTTAACTACTAGATCTACTAAATAAACTCTTCTAATTAACTATTAGTCTACTAAAGAAAATCCTATTTAATATTAAAACTTACTAAGTTCTAGTACTCTTAGTACTACTAGAGTATCTACTATATATAGCTATAGACTGCTAAAAGCTAGCTACTAGCTCTTTAAATATTAGGTAAATTAACTACTAAGCTATAAGCTCCTAAGCCCCTAAGGCTGCTAAAGACTATAGTACTATTTTATATTAAAAAATTAACTTTTAAAGCTATTAGCTTCTTTTTTCTATAAAAGGCTTATTTTAAGCTCTAAAAATCTATAAAAAATATATTTAAAATCTAGAAAATTAGAAGATTTTTATTCTTTTAATCTAGTTACCCTAGATCTCTTTCTAAGAGATCTAAAAAGAAGTATTTACTAAATTACTTAATTAGCTATATAAATCTTAATAAAAATACTAGCTATTAGCTCTTTAGAAGTTAAAATAGCTATTTCTAGTACTAAGGGAAAATAATCTTAAGAAGGCTTTTTTAGAGCTTCTTCTAGCTCTATAAACTCTAATAAGAATCTAGAGGCTTTAGAGAAAGAAATAAAAGATATAAAAAATCTTTTAAATTCCTAAACTAAAGAGTTTAAAACTCTAAAAGGCTCTATAAGTAATCTTTATTTAGCTCTTTAGAACCTTACTTAGATTATTTCTTCTAATTCTAATAAAGAAGAAGAGATTAAAAGAGAAGAAATAACTAGTAAAATAGAAATTAATAAAGAAAAAGATTCTAAATCTTCTAACTTAGAAATTAAATCTAATACTAGCTTAATCTCTGCTTTAAATATCTCTATAGTTAGAGAACTATCTAAGAGAGTATATAGTTTTCCAGAAGATTATAAGCTAAAAGATAGCTCTAATTTTAATAAGTAGAAATAAGCTTTAACTATTTAGTTTAGAGCTTTTAGATTATCTAGCTTTATAGATAATCCTATTATAGCTAGTTCCTTAGCTAATACTAAATAGGCTATAATTCTTATACTTCTTAGAGATAGCTATAAAAAAGAATCCTAAACTACTATAACTTAGATAAAAAGTCCCTCTAAAGCTTATAATCTCTTAGTTAAGTAGTATTCTTAAAGCTCTAAGATATAGAGAGATAACTTATACTCTAGGTTTTACTCTCTTAAGTTTTCTAGCTATAAGGGATCCTTAAAATCTTATAATTCTGAATTTATTAGCTATATAGCTAGACTAATCTTAGCTAGGGTTATTATAGCCCCTATAGATCAGTTTAATTAGTATTTAGAATCTTTAAAGGAAACTTTTCCTAGTTAGATAGAAAGATAAAAATCTAATATAAGATCTTAAAGAGCCTTAGGAAATAATCTAGACTCTTTAAACCTTTAGTTTCTTATAGTAGATCTCTTAGAGAAATAGAGAGATAAAAGCTCTTTAGTTACTAAAGGAATAAATTATAAAGCTAATAAAGCTAGAGAAAAAGCTAATATAACTAAAGCTAAAGCTAAGTCTAAAGATTTTAAAAATAACTTTTCTAATTATAAAAAGAATAAAAAAGAATTTAATTCTAATTCTAATAAGAATAAGAATAAAAATAAAAAAGAATCTAATTCTAATAAAGAAGAAAATTCTAATAAAAAACCTATTAGTTTCTTAACTAGAAGTTATAGATTAGAAAAAAAAGAAGATTATATTTCTAATTCCTCTATATTTTCTTCTTTAGAAGAAGATATTTTCTTAGAGATTTATAAAACCTTTAAACCTAAGAGTTATAAAAAGCTAAAAAAAGCTAAAGAGAATTCTATCTCTAGCTTATTATATAATATAGATTTAACTATTTATATAGCTAATAAAAGAGAGTCTTTTATAGATTATAAACCCTTAAACTCTAAGAAATCTAAATCTATTCTAATAGATAGAGGCTTAGTTTATTCTAAAGGAAAAGAAACTACTAAATATATAGTTCTAATTTCTAAATACCCTATAGAATATCAGGATATATATCTAGAAGAAACCCTCTATATTCCTTTCTTTAATATAGCTATTCTTAGTAGTTTAAAATACTATATCTTAGGTAGAACCCTTATAAGGGATAAATTATAGTCTAAAAATAAGACCTACTATAGGTTATTAAATATAAAGAATAATAGTTTTTTCTTATCTCTAAAAGAATTAGAAACTCCCTTATTAAAATCCTTTTATAATTTCTATAATAGGGAAATAAATACTAACTATTCTTATCCCTTAGAAGTTAGAATTCCTAAAAATCCTATTTTAAATAAGGAAGATTATAAGGAAACCCCTTCTTATATAGAAGAAGAAGAGTCTTTAAAAGACTATAAGTTTCTAGAAGAGAAAACTATAGATTTAGAAGAGAAAACTAAGAGAGCTTATAAGTATAGTCTAAAGAACTCTAAAGCTAATATAGCTATTATAACTAAAGGAATTCCTAATTTTTCCTTAGTTAAAGAAAAAGATTTTATTTACTTAGCTTATATAAGAGCTAAAGCTATTAGGATTATATCTAGAAAACCTATAGAAGACCTAGTCTCTGTACTAGATATAATAGAGGGAGATATAGTTAAAATAAAACCTATACCCTATAATAAAAAGCCTTATAATCTCTTTCTAGTTAATAGAAAAACTAGATACTACTAGGTTATTAATCTAGCTAATAAGAAAGCTATAACTATTAGCCTAATTATAAAGAATTTATTTAAAAGCTTTAAAAATTAATATAATAGATATCCTAAGAAGTTTTACTTTAATAGAGGCTTAGAAGTTAATTCTAAACTAAGAGATTAACTAGATAAAAAAGAGATAATTTTTTTAATCTCTAACCCTTATATTTATAGTTAAAATAGACTTATAGAAAGATCTATTAGATTAATCCTAGAAAGATTAAGAGCCTCTATATTATAGTCTAATATTCCTATATATCTCTAGTATTTTATTATAAAAGCTATAGTAAAGCTAGTTAATTTAACTACTATCTCTAATAAAGAGTTAATATCCTATAAGTTATTTTATAAAGAATTAGAACCTTTTAAAAATTCTAAGCCTAATCTAGACTTTTATAAAGCTATAGATAGCTATTATAAAGCTATAGTTCCTCTAGAAAATAAGGAAAAATCCTATAAGCTAAAACCTAGAACTAAACTAACTAGACTATTAGCTATATTAAGTTCTAATTCTTATTTAATTTAGATACCTAAGAGAAGACTAGTAACTAAAACTAGCTATTTAAGGTTTCTAGAGAGTATTAGTTCTTCAGATAAAGATTTTTAGAATATAGAAATTATATCTTTTTCTTCTGAAAATAAAGAACTTATAAATCCCTCTCTTCTAAATACTTCTTTAGAGGGAGAAATAGAAGAATTAGATAATTCTAGAGAGTCTGATATATTAGAATCTTTAGAGGGAGATAAAGAGATATTTTTAGAAGAGCTTATTTCTCTAGAAATCTCTAATTCCCCTATAACTTCTAAATCTTTAAATAGAGAACCTATAGAAATAGATCCTAAGAAACTCTTATATTATAGCTATAATATAAACTATAAGATTAAGAAGAAAATATTAGATAAGGAACTCTCTTCTTTTAAATAAACTATTAAGTTAGAAAATAAGAAAGAGTAATTAGAAGCTATATTTAATAAACTAGAATAACTAGTATATTAAAATTACTTTTCCTTTATAAATAAGATTAATATATCTAAGGATAGAAAAATCCTACTAAATAGATTAGTTTTAAAATTTAAAAGGAATTTTAATAATATCCTTTATAAGTTTAAAGCTAGACTAGTTACTAAGAGCTTTATATAAATAGAAGGTTTAGATCTTAAAGAGATTTTTATCTCTATAGCTATTCCTTTAACTTAGTAAATTTTACTAGCTATAGCTAACTAGTTTAACTTAGAAGTTAAACAGATTAACTTTATAGATACTTTTTTAAATAGCTCTTTAAAAGAAACTATATTTATAGCTATATCTAAGGACTTTATAGAGCTTTTAAAAGCTAGACCTTATCTAGTTAGTTATATAACTAAACTAGATTATAATCCTAATAAAGAATAGGTTATATAGTTAAATAAAGCCTTATATAGTTTAAAATAAAGTCCTAGAGAGTAATAAGAGTCTCTTAGAGCTCTATTTAAAACCCTAGGATTTTATTCCTTAATTTCTAATCTAGCTATCTATTATAATAAGATTTAAAAAATCTATATAATAATCTATATTAATAACTGCTTAATAATCAGGCCTAGCTTAATAGCTATAAATAAGCTAAAAAGATAGCTAAATAAAGCCTATAAGCTAGAAGATAAAGAACCTGCTTCCTTCTTTTTAGGAATTTAAATTATAAGGGATAGAAAATATAAGACTTTAAAGCTATCTTAGTCTTAGTTTATAGAAAAAGCTTTAGAAATCTTTAGTCTTTTAGATTCTAAACCTAACTTAGTTCCTTTATAACCTAATATTCTAAAATAACCTATATTTAAAAAACTAGATTATAAAGAGATAAAATTATATTAAGCTATAATAGGTACTTTAATATATCTTATACTTATAACTAGATCTGACTTAGGATTTCCTATATAATAGTTATCTTCTTAGCTAGGGTATTCTTATATAGAATATTTTAATTAAACTAAAGGAACTTTAAAATACTTAAAGGGTTCTAAATTACTAGCTATAACTTATAAAGCTACTAAGGATTTTTATTCTATAGCTTATAGTAATAGTAATTTTACTAGAGATAAGTTATCTAAGTTAACCTTTAGTTATCTAATAACCTTAGGAAATATCTCTATTAGTTAAAAGTTAAAAAAAGCTTTAACTATAGCTTTATTAATTATAGAGGCTGAAATAGATACTTTAATAGAAGCTATTAGAGAGATTTTATAGTTAAAAACCTTATATAAGGAACTAAAAAGATCTATATTCTCTATAAATCTCTATTATAATAATATAGGCTCTATTTCTAACTCTTCTAACCTTAATCTTTATAGTTAAACTAAATATATACTATTAAAGTTTAACTATATAAGGGAAATTATAAAGCTAGAAAATATAAAGATTATCTATCTTAATACTAAAGAGATATCTATAGATAGATTAATTAAACCCCTAGCTTCTATAGCTTTTAAAAGCTATATAAAGCTCCTAGGTTTATTCTAGAGGCTTTTCTTTAGAAGATAATCCTTATAAAGAGTTTATTAGAAACTATAAGTCTCTATAGCTAGGTTTTATTATAGTTACTACTTTTCTAGCTCTTTAGAAGTATTCTCTTAAATACTTCTTAATATATCTAGAAATTATAAACCTATCCTATACTATTATAATATACTATATTCTTTAGAAAATATATTATTTAGTATATATTTTTTCAGATTTTTATCTCTATAAATAAGTATAGTATATCTCTTTTTAGAGAGAGTATTAATTTTAAAAAACTATAGCTATTATAAATTAATAGGGTTATAAGTATAATAGTAGTTATAATTACTAACTACTAGTAATTATAACTACTAGCTATTAGTAATTAATCTAATTATTAGAGATTACTACTAGTAATTATAATTACTAGCTATTAATAATTATAACTATTAGCTATTAGTAATTATAACTACTAGTTACTAGTAATTATAATTATTAGCTTCTAGTAATTATAACTACTAGTTATAATTACTAATAACCCCCTATTATTACTAGTTAATTATAGCTATAGCTACTATAGATTAATAGCTATAGATTACTATAACTACTATAATTTAGTAAGCTCTAGGAACCCTTAGAGGTTCAGGCTATTAGTAGAGTTATTATTAGATTATTAGACTTATTAAGTCTAAGATAAGGATCTAATAAATCTGAGAAAAGTTCTAGAATATTCTTAGATAATCTAATCTATATCTAAACTACCCTATAGCTAGCCTATTCTAAACTAAGTCTTAGATCTTAGATAATTTCTTTAGCTTTAAAGATAAGATATCTAATATCTATACTTAATTAATTAGCTTAAGAGCTTTTTTTAGATAAAAGTAGGTCTTATAAAAGCTATATATATTAGTTAAAGATTTTAATAGTTATAAGTTAATTTTTTAGATTTTCTATAGTAATAAATTTTATAGAAAATTAAAAGTAATCTAAAAAGCTACTATAGTAGGTTTTAAAGTAGTTTTTAGTTAGTAGATCTATAAGAGAAATTAAATAGAATTTTCTAATCTCTCTTATAAAAATAAGATTCTTTTATACTATATTTTATATTATATTTAGTCTCTCTAATATTAAAACTTACTGAGTTATAGTAGAATTAGTAGTTAAGAGCTATAAGTTATAGTAAACTTCCCTGCTGTATTATAAAGGCTTATAAGAGTAAATACCCTATAAACCCCTTATAAAACTAATAATATTATAGATATTCTAGTTCTTTTATTATAAGATTTAATCTAGATATCTATATTTTATTTTACTTATTTAGTACTTATTTAGATAGTTCTAGCTATCTTAAAGAAGTATAACTCTAAGACTCTTAATTATTAAATTATAAACTATAGATAGATAAAGATTATCTAGTTATATTTATCTAAATTATATATCTCTAATACTTCTAGAGGAAATTATTATATAAATTACTATAAATTACTTCTTTAGGTCTAATACTCTTTTAAACTAGGAAATAAGATATATTTAAGATAAATAGCTCTTCTTTCTAACTAATTAGAAGGAATTATATAATATCTCTATTCTAATATAAGTTACTATTAATATATAAGTATTAAGAAGCTAATATTAATAAAGATAGTAGTAATTATATTAATAACTATCTAAAAGAATATTCCTAGCTAATAAAATAAATATATATATATACTGGAGCTATTACTTAGTTATTACTTATACATTACTTATCCGAAGTAATAGACCAATATCAGCTTCCCGCTGGCAATTGTAGGGTTCTGGGATGCACGTGACCTCATGTGGCCGAACGGAGACCTTTGTTCGTAACAAATCTGACCCGACAGACATTCATTTGCAATGTGTAGGATTAATTTACCATTCCCTGGGAAAAGAATTCATATAGTGAAGCGGGAGAGAGGGCACTACAGCACGCACAACACAGCCAACCCAAGAGCCCGCAAAGCCGTGATAATGGAGTGCCTAAGCGATTCCATCTTGTGTCATGGTATATTCAATTCGAAGGATTTGATTGATACGTTAGGTTTTCAAAGGTAATAAATGACTGGGGATGTAATTGTTCAAATGAAACACTGGGAGTTTGAACAGCTAGCTGTTAGGCAGCTGTTGTGATGTGGAAAAAGTGATGTTGATGTCTAGTTTGAAGGTGGGCTTAGGATCCCTTTTTTGCCAGCTGGCTACCCGGGAGCCAATTTGAACTTCCCGACTGGTCACTCCCTCAGCAGCCACAAAATCCCCCCTTCGGGAGTATTCTCTAGAAAAATGCGAGGGTGTATTCAATGAGAGCCTTAATTAGTACATTTACAAGCAAAGCGCCAGAAGTACCGCAAGGGAGGATACCGAAAGGATTGGTTTGTAGTTGGGTAAAATAAGTTCTATGATCTTTGACGAGCATCACAAAATCTAAACATATCCCAAAACTTTATTGAGACAACTGAAGTGGATAGGTTCCAATCGTCAGGCTCCGTCAGTTTATCCAGAGCATCTCCTCTATTCAAAAGGGAGGCATTTTGAAGGAGCCATACATATGATTAGGCAACCTAGACGTCCTTGCCAATTGACACAACACTTTCCCCAGCACCCTCAATCTCACTTCCTTCAGCTGATTCCCCTTGAAGAGGGCGGCCATTCAAGAGTTTCGTTTTATACGGTATGTCGTTCTCAATATCTTCCAGGCTATAGCCCCTTGTCTCAGGAATCATTGCTGTAAGAAGAGTGATGACGACTTGGAGTCCTGCAAATAGACCTAAAACTCCTTTCATGCCGATCGCTTTCTCTACATTCCCAAACGCAAAGGCGGTCAGGATAGCACCGGCTTTCCCACTTGCTGCAACCAATCCATGCCCTGTGCCTCGAACCCGGGTAGGGAAGAGCTCAACAGGGAGTAGAAATGTCGTGATATTGGGTCCGCAGAGCTGGAAGAACTGGGTAAGTGTGAACAGAGCCATTAAGGCTCCTATGCTAGTAGTGCCGGTCACACCAGCCCAGATAGCATAGAGTATCGCAATTAATGCGGCACCACAGGACTGTTGGGTCCGGCGGCCAATCCAACCGATTAAAAAGATTCCAAAGATGAACCCGGGCACATACCCGGCACCCTGGACAATAATGTTGCCCACAGCGGTGTTCCAGAGCGTAGAATACGGCGTCGCGCCCTTTCCAAAGCCAATACCGGCTAGAACGATGCTTTGATTCAGACCAACACCATCCGAACATATGTCACTAATGACTTGTCAGTTGTGTATCTTTAGCTTGGGCTCCCGGAAAATATTACGCACAATAAGAACCAACCTGCACATGCAGAGAACAGCGCCATGGCATGGCGGTACTGGCTAAAATATAGGCGGAAATCATGAAACTGTTCACGAATGCTTCGAGGTTTCTCCGTTGCGGACTCCGAGCTCGCGTGCCGAACGTCTAGTAAGGGATTGTAAGAATAAGATGGGCTACACGGAATTCAGTCATTTTGTTGACTTACACTCTTCATAGGGCCTCGTTTCTTTCATCGTCAAGCGTGAATATATCGTAAGAAAGCAAGGAAGGAGAGCTAAAGGCACTGTTAGTTATGAATGTAGATAGCCTGGACAGCGGTCGAGAAACACACGTAAGCCCATGAGTAGTCTCCAAACCCACTCCAAGCTGTGGATGTTGTTTTCAATGGAGCCCTTGAAGACCGCAAGAAGGATCACAAATGTGATGGAAGCCGAAACATTGCCGATTGCAGAGAGGAAAAAAGTGGACATGACAACTTTTGCGCGAGCGTTTGAGTCGGCCTTTTCGAGTGCTAAAGAGGCTGACATGGGGTAGTCTAGCCATAGCTTGTCAATTTCTTTATCTTTTACTTTTGTATTGAGGTTTTATCACCAATCCAGGGAATTTGAACTTACCGCCGCCGAGACCGATGCCCGTGATAAATCGTCCAACACTTAACCAAACTACAATGGCGTTGTGGCTCAGGCCTTTCCACGGGAGCAAGGTGCACATTAAGATACCGAACATGGTGAAGAATAGTTCTCGTCCATATACTTTGTGCCGCCCGAGAGTATCACCGAGAAATCCAAAGGCGAGCTGGCCGACCAGCATACCGATCTTTCCGGTTGCTTTGATCGCACCGGACTGGCTTAATGGGATCGCATTCTTTGTGTCCTGGAAGAAGATGTATCCAACCATGGGGGTGACTGTAGCCCCGTATAAATTAGCACTACTAGCAGACCAGAGGTACGCGTTTTTATACTTACTCAGGCCAATATTACTGTTCGCCCACCCATCGGCGAAGAACCCTACCCCAATCACGGAGTAGAACTTCATCTTCTCCCAGAATGAGAGCTGGTTTTCCATGCCGGCGGTGTGCAGTCGTGCAGAATTGAGACAGGCGTGTTGAACTGAGGAGGCAGTAGTTGCAGTCGCTGATGCTCTTGGTCTTATATATCTATATATTTACATGGCCGTATTTCTTTCACTTCCAACGTGGTAGAACAGCCAGCTTGTGATTGGAGGTGCGAAACGCTTCGCCGTTAGATGTACAGAAATTGGACGGGTATTTGCCAACAGCCAACTGAAGCCTACACGTGTCAGATTTCTCGCGTCTGATCTCAACGGTAAATATCAAAGGCTGAGAAAAGCATGTAAAGCCTGCATTCATGGAAAACTAGCATGCGTGGTTATTCTTCCATGTCTTTCTTTACAGCTTTTCGCCCCTTCTTCTTGTTCGCAAGACCGGGGCCCACCCCGTCGATACTAACACCTAAAGTTTCCGTATATGGTTTAGACTCGGTCTCGCTTGCAGTACACCAGCGGACTAGATGCCGTTCCAACTTCCCATAAGAGTAATTCTTTGAAGCCATGTATTATTCCGACACCTACCCCAATGCTACACATACTAGGACGTTAAATTCAAACCAGGGGTTTAGCCCGGCAATTAGAACATTGCGGTATCGGCATCCCGTGGTAAATCTACGAAATAAATTCAGCAGCCGACCTCCTCATAACGCGTATGGAATCAGACTTTTCACAGTAGAGTGAGCAAGCAATCTCGAGGTTACCCAAGGTTTCATTTTGGATACTGTTCACCATGCAGCTAATCAATGAAAACACGGATAAACTCCAAGGCTTGTCAAACATGACGCCGATAAGAGCACCTCTAGAGGATAGTGGCTCCCTCGACGAGTACGTGAGGTTCGACGTCACGCCAGCGATTGGCACTGAGTTTCGCGATCTGCAGCTCGCAGACATCCTCAACGAGGATGAAAAGCTCAGGGACTTAGCAATACTTGGTAAGTTTTTGGATATATTCGGAGGCACTACATGCGGTCACTCAGACATATTCTAGTATCAGAGAGGGGAGTGGTTTTCTTCAGGGCTCAACATATTACCATTGACCAGCAAAAGTCCTTGGCAACAAAGCTTGGAGAGCTCAGCGGCAAACCAAACACTTCTAAGGTGTGTTCATTCCTCCATCTATAATGTACTGGGCTAAATGTACAGCTTCATAAACACATCCTCCACAACCGAAATGCCGGAATTTCCGTAGACGGGGGTGGCAGATTCGACGACGAGATTTCCGTGATCTCTTCAGAGGTATTTTCAGCCGTTGTTTCGTTTCTAGCGAGCTGCAAGCTAAAGGAGCTCCAGAACATGCGCAAATTCCGCCCTGAGAAATTTGGTCCATTACGGGGTCTCGCGAGTGAGGGATGGCACTCAGAGTATTATCCCTCCAACCTTTTCGCCTTGAATTGACGCTGACTGCAACCCCAGCATGTCTTACGAGAGAGTGCCATCAGACTACGCAGTCCTTCAGATTACCACTCGTCCCGAGGATGGGAGTGGCGGGGACACCCTCTGGGCCTCGGGATACGAGGCATATGATCGACTCTCGCCGCCCATGCGATGCTTGATGGACGGACTGAAGACGTTCCATGACTCGGTTCGTATTTCGTATACCTCTGGAACTGGTCCCGACCGTAGCTAATATGAAAAGTCAAGGCTGATTTGGCTGAAATTGCCGCAACTAACGGTACAGAACTGACTACAGACCGAGGTGCCCCCGAGAATACAGGACTCGATTTCCAAGCTACCCAGTGGGCATAATCCTTGTTAATTTCGCTTTGAACATTGATTCAGTAAGCTGACAACCTCATAGCCCGGTTGTGCGAACAAATCCGATCACAGGCTGGAGAAGTATCTTCGGAGCAGGGCCATCTGCGAGGAGAGGCTACATTCAGGGAGTCTCAAAGCCTGAGAGCCAAATCCTCACCAAATACTGTACGTCTTCTCATTATCATGTTCGACTCGTGACGATATGACTCACAACAGCCGTAAACAGTGCAACAACTCATTTCCGAAAATCACGATTTACAGGTTCGCTTCACGTGGGGAGAGAATGATGTAGCAGTTTGGGATAAGTACGTTACCTCACAAGCCGCCATTGTTGCCGACTAGCTGACAATCCTCCCAACCAGCCGGTGTACATTTCATACCGCGACAGAGTGGGTTACACCCGGCATTTTTAATAATTTGCTCTACTATGGCAGCCAAACCTAACAGTTCACAGTGATTTTGTTGGCAAGCGTCGAGGAAACAGGGTCGTTTCTCTGGGCGAAACACCGTATTTCGATCCTGCATCCATGTCTCGCAGAGAAGCCTTGGCTACGGAGTCATAAACGCTAAATTATTATCGCACTTCTCATCCTAGACACCAGGATCGACTTCGTACCCTTCTAGTAATGGGCAAGGATGAAGAAAACAAGGGTTAGCCTTTTTGCTAGTAAATTGATCAAATCGTCAGATAGCATGCAGTGCACCATCAACTTCAGTGCATGCTTAACATTTCCGCCAATGCCGTGGATTATTCACCCTGCAAAAAGACAGTGCTTAGCGTGCAACTTCATATAGATATTCTACATTCCAACCAAGCTTGCATCTAGATATTTTACATCAGGACGGACGAACACAATTGTCTTTCTGTTCAATGAAAGAGTGACCTTCTCCATCTGACAAGAGTGATTCCCCTCTACACAGTCCCCTACGGAAGAAATTTTTGCTACACAGACTTGATTTCTATAGCATCTAACTCGCTTACCTTTTACGTTAGGACAATCCCAGCGAAAGTAAAGAGCCGTTGCTCTTGACATCCGAAGACATGCTTCGTTTCCGGCTTTGTTTGCTGGTAACATGCCATTCAGGCATGTCCATTGACATGTGCTTGATCCCTGTGGTCCAATAAGAACAGACACAGCGTTCACATGTCGCCATGGCTAATTGACCTCTGGAACGCTCTAAATGATAGCTAGATTTCCCTTAGTCAGAGAATTCTACTTGATCCAGTAGTTTGCCAACTCCTAAACGGCTATCATGTACGCCCAGTGCTGAGTTGAGATAGTAGTACACCCGTAGCCTGGGTGATAGGCCTTTGGCCGGCATGTTGCAATGTAAACCTGGTTGTTCAGACGGCATGATTGAATACATAATACGTTTGGCATCACCATAGCAAGCTCGTAAAATGCACTGCTCGAGTCACCACGATTGTGGAGAGTCGTCTGTGATGTGGGCAATAACCACAACTTCGGCAGAATCCGGAGTGGGGGAAACAAATAAGAGTAGGGAATATCATTGCTTCGCCTTGATCAACTCCTCTAGATGGATGGTTATCATGTAAACTGAAATCGCACCGATAACGGAAACCAGGGGATACTGCATGCTACGACGTACCTTAATGCACAGCAGAATCACCACGGCATCTCACCCGGCACCGCCTTGGTTAGAAGGGACAAGGTAGAGGAGAAACCAACCGCTGAGAGGAGTAATTCAATTTGTCCGTCTATCACATCTGCCGCGGTGGACCCATATCCTTTTGAGGGAAAATAGTAGCGGACTTGGCCCCGCTCAAGCAAGTGTTATTTCTAGCGGACGTTAAGGCCGCTCTAAATGCTAAATCCGGTAATTTGGAGGTCGAAATTGGCCCACGTGGGATAGCCAGCAGATACAGCCTGTGTCATAGCCCATGGCTGCCACACGACCACTATCGTGGGCTTCACCGACCTCGGTTTCTTCATCATTGATTCCGTTTAAGTCAAGACAGACTCGACATATATAAATTCCATTGCTACCAGTCTTGCAAATTTCCACAGCAATTATTCCATAATTTAAAACATCTCTCTATAAACGGTACTGCGCTAGAAACATGCCTTCCCTCACGAATGCTGCTCAACTTTCAACCTTGGATGAGAAGGACCTTGTTCAAGACTCTTCATCCAAAAACCTCCGTTGTCATCCGCTCGAATACGGTGGTTCCTTGGACCAGTATCGCGCCTTCGAACACACTCCTGCCATCGGTACCGAATTTCCAGATCTTCAGGTGTCTAGTATCCTAGACAACGATGAGGCCCTGCGTGATCTGGCAGTTTTGAGTGAGTTCTGATTCAAGACATTTATCATTTGATGCCAGCTGACGAGGATTTCAAAGCATCCCGACGAGGAGTGGTATTCTTCCGCAACCAGACTCTAGACCCTGATCAGTTAAAATTACTCGTAGGGAAAATGGGTGAGCTGACGGGCAAGCCTAGCAGTTCCAAGGTGTGTATCTGTGCTATGCAATTGGGCATCGGTTCTGACGAGAGTTTTCAGCTGCACAAACATGCTTTGATAGAGAGCCAGAAAGCTCTTGCGACCGAAATCAATGGAAAGTTCGACGATGAGGTCTGGGTCATTTCATCCGACGTATGGCTCCCAGCTTCCCTAGTTCTAGTGAAAAGCTTTTAACACAGCAGGATGCAGATCATGCGAAACCATTTCCCTGCAAGGTTCAATCCTCTTCGTCCACTTGCCAGTGACGAGTGGCACACAGAGCAAGTTTCATAATCCGCAAGGAGGAAAATTGTCCCATGCTAACTTTGTTTCATCAGTGTTGCTTATGAGAATATTCCCGCAGACTATACCATTCTGCATATGAAGCAAACCCCTGGGGATGGAAGTGGAAGGGACACTTTGTGGGCCTCCGGGTACGAAGCGTACAACCGGATGTCGCCATATTTCCAGGAAATGGTTGATGAAATGAAGGTGACAACAAGCCAGGTATTCATATTCCCATTATACCTATGATACTATATAACGGACAATGCTAAGTAAATATACGCATAGCCACGAATGCTGAGGGTCCTGACGGAACAAGACCTCAAGGTGGTGAGCGGACCGCGTGGGGCTCCGGAGAACACCAGCTCTGATTTTCAAGCTGTCCAGTAAGCAAGCACTCTCTATTCAATTGGGCCAAAGCAGCTTACAATGGCAGCCCGGTAGTTCGAACAAACCCCGTCACCGGGTGGAAGAGCCTCTACGGCGCTGGTGTATCGGCGCGGGATGGCTCTATACATGGCGTCACCAAGCACGAAAATGACATTCTGAGGGACTATTGTGAGCCACGAGGTCCAATTCCTCAGCATAGTTGATGGACTAACACGCGAATACCTAGTCGACAAGCTTATTTCTCAGAATCACGACCTCCAGGTCCGCTTCAAATGGGGGTTGGGCGACCTTGCTATCTGGGATAAGTGAGCCTGCCTTGATTTCCTGAAGAGTCTTTTTTGTTAGTCAAAGGGTAACTTGCTAATCCGCTCTCCCTATTAAGCCGATCTACCTACCATACTGGCACCGAGTAAGCCCTCGCCTCCTCCGATTCCTAAAACACCTGTTCTATTTCATGTGCGTATCTAATTTATTCGGTAGTGATTTTACGGGTTATCGTCAGGGCAATCGTGTCATATCCTTGGGTGAAAAGCCGTACTACGACCCTGCATCCAAAGTCAAAACGAGAAACACTGAGCACCAATACTGAGTAGTGAGTAGAAAGACGTGTGCAGCAGAATGGCCTATATAGAGCATGGGTTGCATCTGAATTCTCTTAGCATGGAATGTGAACTGCTTATGCCTTCAGAATTATTATCCCATGAAATATTCTGACAAAGATCGGTTGGGAGCTCATCGAAAGGAGCTGCAAGACGCTCTACAAAATATTGCACCTGATTCGATTTTTCTACTCTCTTTAAATTATAGGTTCTAAATCTTGAGATAATCAACAGGTTTATGCATTGTTACACGATGAATAAGAGTGCGGTTTGGACATGTTCACATTGCATTAACAGATTAATCATCATATTTAGTCCATTCCAATCAAGATCATAGGATGAGGAAAGTTGCAACCCCAGGCTTCCAACACGTTATACCAGGCAAAGCAATGCGACATCGTTACTCTTGTACTGGGAGCGCGTAACCTCTAGACGGCTATCTCAGCCATCTGGGCGGAAGGCGTTGTCGTGAGAGTACACACCCTCGTTCATCTGTGCTCTATATGAGCTACGGGCTATTGCAAGATAGTTATGGATGCTCGAAGGACCCATAACCTTCTCTATGAGAGTTTCCGACTGATCGATTAAAGACTCTAATGTGCAATGTTCTGTTGTAGTCGACATAGGGCTTGTGGTGTCGTTTTCCTCGTATGTTGTGGCGGCAATTCGTTTGAATTGCTGGAACTGTAGAGAACAAAGCTGAGCAGACTCCCATGCCGGCGAAAATTCCTCGAGTATTATAATGGATTTATCAATGACATCTTCTAGATCAGCGTGTTCGGTCATCGACGAGTAGCAGTAAAGGAGAATGCGACAGATGACTAGCAGCCTGTTGATAGTGATGTGGCTGAACGCCAAATGTCCATCCTGAAATTGCACATGCAAACTCTGGACATACGTTTGAGCAATATGCTGAAGTCGACCTGGTCCGTACGTGCTGCTCTGCGAGTTGAGTTTCGATGGATAATACAACATAGCCAGAATTCTATGGTAATTGACTGTCAACCACGAGATGGTAGTGTGAATTGGCACGTCGCTGTCATCCATCCGGGAATATAAGCAGCCTTGAGTGTACCAGTCTTGGGCTTGGGCACAAAATCTGTCAATGACATGGTGGTGGTGGTCTCTGCCGTGTGCGAACTGGGTTTGATGCTCCCTAGTCTCGAGGTGAATCTGCGACAACATTTTCCCCTCCAAATCACGGAGGGCGATCGACTGTCGCGCAATTTGCAGCGTAAGCAGGTAGTCCGCTTGTTGTGAAGATGCAAATTCTTCCATGGTCACACCGGGAAGCGGCACGTTGAAGTCGTTCTCTTCGATGGCAAATGGCAAGCCGTAGGAGACTGAAACGAGCCGATCCATTGAGAAGATAGACCAGAAGAGTCGATGGCGCCACTCCATTTCAAAAAATGTTGCCTGAGAACTAGGTTTTGCGTTTTGGTTCAATCCAATGGACATAGCTTGGCGGCCAAGAAAACCAGTGATAACCCAAGGCTGCCAGCCTTGAGGATCGTGAATGGACTGCAAAGCCAGTAGGTGAAGAATCTGAATTGACTCCACTGAAGGATCTTCCAAACAGATACGGACAACTTCGTGGTAAGGTACGCGGAAGCTAGCAAGAGTCTCGTCACTAACTCTTCGGGAGCGATGAAGTAGCGCGGCACCAAGTGTCATAATCAAATATGCTCTCACAGACCTGAAATTGATATCAATGGGCTCATGTTCAAAAAGGAAAGCCATGCCTGCAACCTCGGCTTCTATTGTGTTCTTGTTGAAAATTGGGTAGGTTCGGTGGAATTGATTAAAATATGCTTCCACAAGCGTTTTGCAAGTAACGTCGAGCGGGAGGCCTCGAATCGGATTAAGCTGTGGGCTTGAGGACTCATTCAATATGCCCGGGTTGTTCTCTTGGGCTACATCACCAGGGAGTGTTGGCTGCGAACTGCAGCTTCCACGATCGGTTTCTTTGTCGGTCCAATGTTGAAATTCGTTGACGATAGCTTTGAGGTCGATACCTGTCTCAAGAGATTCAACCCTGATATTACTGGGTAGGAGACTGTTGACAAATTCTGATAGCCAACATATTCTAGGATTGGCCAAGGATGAATTGGATGATTGGGGATAACTGCAGGAAGCATCTCCTCGTTTGCATACCTAGCCGAATGATGGCATTAGTCGCTTTACTTGGTCGAACATACAATCAATTGCTCACTTACGCGACATGCAGGCAGCGACCGGTCGCATTTCCTCTTAAGCCTCCTGCACCTTTGACAAGCGAGCCGGTGAAACCGATCTGATTGCCTTAATGTAACAGTACCTGAGGGCTTCGCAATACATTCTGTTTGAGGGTGTATGTGCGAACTCCTGTCGCTCGTCATGGGGGTTGCATTATCGCGTTGGTTGTTTTCGAGTCGAAAGCGAAATAGCGATCCGGACCTCTTCCATTCAGACATAGCAAAAAGGATGAAATGGCAACTATTCACTGAGTTTCTTCTTGTCATGATAGGTAAGGGCCTCTGATTTAACATGTCCCCAGACTGCCACGTGGGCGTGGTATGTATAGCGATTGGCCATCTGCATGACGCGACACTAGGCTGTATCGCTAAACCGGGTTTAACGAAGTAGGATCAAAGCCGTTATAACCACATGTCATCCCAGAGCTACAATTAGTCTTGACCACACCCAATAATTTAAGGTAGCAGAAATAAATCTTGTGTTAGTCCAAAATTCCAGGTGATTTTTGCTTTAATGGCATTGAATCAGGATTTCAAAAGATGACGCCACCTCAGGCACTGGGGATGTTGAGCACAAAGGTCGCGTTTATTGTCACCGCATGCATCATCAGTGTTGCTCGACAGCCTTCTATAGGCTGATCTTTAAAATAGGTACAACTTTGTAGGTTAATATTAATCTAGAATATCAGTAGATATAGGAGTTAAATTTACTTATAAAGGAATATTGATAGTAATAGTAGTAGTGAAAGTTGTAGTAATAATAAAGATACTAAGAATAGAGTTAAGAGAAAATCAATAATAAAATTAATAGAATAGAATAATAAGTATTGATAAGTTAGAGATAAAAGAGAACAACGTCGGCCTCAACCTCTTATATCAGGTTCTCGAAATGCATTAAGTTTATAAACTCGCTATTCTATATCACTTTAAAACGCAGCCCTTAACAGCAATGTATTAGAACAACTGTCGCGATCATTCTGTTTGACAACCAGATCATCATAATTGAGGACTGTATTCAACTTTATCTATTTGTGAACACATGGGTAGTTGATGTGATACGTATTGTAGCCATAGATCACTCAAGGTCAGTTAAACTATGCCTAACACGACACCTTGGCTGATTTCAAGATCAGTACCCAGTCATGATCAATACCTCCGCTGCTTGGTGGAACGAAGACCTTCCTGCCCTTGGCAAAACCACCTTTGCCTCCATCAATCTTTTGCGCCTTAGAGTTTCGGGGGTTAAACCATTGAGCTATATACTCCACGCCTGGCTGCTTCCATCGCTTAGAAATAGCACAGAGGTCTACTTAGAAAGAGTCTCCCTAGCCGGAATAAACCCAGTAGTATCCAGGGGTTATTATTACAGCGATATAGCGGTCGGATATATAGTTAAGAATATTATTATAACTACCCTTTGGAGATAATAGATACTATCTAGCAGGCTCTCTGTCCTTGAATATATTATTTAAAAGAGAGTTAAAAATAGAAGCAGTATATCCTGTCTGCTTAGCGCCCAGCTAGTAAAGAGCCTTATACTAGCTTATATTAGGAGAGAGTTTAAGCTAGGGTTTATAATAGTATTCAGACCTAGCTATAAGAGAGATATTCTTATAGGTTTATTAAATAGATAGTAAGCTATAGATAATTCTATAAGTACTACTTAATAGAGTAAGATAGTACCTATACTAAACTTTAGAAGTATTAAATATTAAATAGAAAGTATTAAAACTATAATTTATACCTTTATAGTAATTTTTAATATCTATTATTATTCTAGGGAACTATTTATATATCTAGAGAATATTATTATAGTTTTAACTAGAATCCTAGGAAGTAAGAACTATATAGTTATAATTAATACCCTCTAGATCAGGATATTTATAGCTAGATTAAATAGTATCTATAGATAGCCTTCCTAGGCTACTGTTAATATACTAGACTTAAAGTTAGTAACTAAATAAGATATATTCTTAAAAGTAATTATTATTAGTATATCTTATATTATATCTATATAGAAGAGGAGTAGCTAGATCAGAGATCTAAGGACTAGTAGGCTGGAATATAATAAAATCCTTATAACTTAATTTAGCTTCCTCTTCTCTTAAGCCCTTTATTATAGCTACCTAGATCCCCCTAGTATCTTTAATCAGGTTAAGAACTATTATAGGGTTAGTTAGGTTCTTCTCTAAGTATCCTGTACCTAGGGAATATTATTTGCCTAAAAACTATTTATATTGCTACTAAGTATCTTAGGAATACCTGGATATCTTTTACCTAGGTACTATCTAAGAAACTTAGTATTATCTTTATTAAAGAGCCTAGGACTAATAATTCTATATCAGATACTGCAAATATAATAACCCTAAACTAGTATATAGTAACTAAGAATACTATACTTAGCTACCCGAGCTATAACCCAGTTAATAAAGGTAAAGTAGCTCTTATTTAGCTAGGTTAGATCGCTATTTTCTATAGTGAGATTACTATAAAAGTTAGGGGATATTATTATATCGTACTTCGATAGAAGGACAGCTTAAATAACTGTAAATCCCTTCATAGCACGGTCTACCAAGTACAGGTCTGCGTCTGAATAATTCATATAATAAAAGAGTTCCCAGTTAGTATCAGTAACCCAGGTGAACGGATCACCACTAGCCGTCCGGTACAGATAGCGACCCTCGGTTAGGGTAGATGTAGCAAGGTCAGACTAAGGCATCTCCTTGGGCGAAGAAGATGCCAGAGCCCCCGAAAGGCAAGCCACTGCCGTGGCGATGAAAGAGATTCGAACCATATTTTGGTCTGTTTAAGTGATGACTGCAGAGTATTGATGTTCATGTCATCAAAACCCTCGGTCTCTATGCTCTATATATACTCACAGAAGGCTTGGCCTACGAACAGCATATTACCCTATGACACATACTGTTGCTACGCAGTTTTGAGGATATCGGAATATTGCCGGTTCAATAACGGTTGGATAAAATCACAGATGGTGGAAATCTGGGGAAACGCGGGGTCAGGAAGCAAGTGCCGCAGCTCGAGCCGACATTGCGGGGATAGTAAATCTCGGGGAGGAATATCATTGGTGCTCCGTGGTCGTTGCCCAGATGCCTTCACTGTCATTCCGGGGCCACTGAACTGTCTGACCGTATAGTAATGTCGAATAAGCGGGTATTCCTGCCATTGTGGCTTCATCGTAGGGGGCAGCTTCAATCGTACATTGCATGGGGAGGGATCTATTTAGCCGAGCGTCATATTTCGTCTACATAGTAGACTCTCTGGGAAAGTAATTAGCTCAGAGTTGAAGATTTCGGGCCTTCTCCAGATGGCAAAATAAATCTCGAATATAGGATACAGAGGCCGTTTTGTCCCAGAAGATAGCAAGATTTGCAGTAGAATTTCCATAGTCTCTAGGTCAACGTTGGCGATATCGCCGCAGTGGTTTTTTCCAGCAATAGACGGTCGCCCAACGTACATTGAGCAGATGGGATATACTAGATTAGAAAATGGAAAACAGAAGATTTTGCTTCATCAACTGGCAAACTTTGGCAAGCAGCCGCATAGGTATCTTGAGAATTCAATCGTGAGATATACAAATAGAATGCTTGAGTACAAAGACAAATATCTGTCCATGTTGAGCACTGTTGATTTCTCTCTAGATACAAATAATCTTCCGCTCCTGCGAGGTTCTGATGGCGATTATTCAAACCACACTACAGAATTCTAGATAATATATTTGAAGAGTGGACTCTTGTCTCCCATCTGAAGGAGTTCGGCATCGCTGTAACGCGCACGGATCTCTTCCTCAGTTCCTGCGGCATCCTCGAATCTGTTCTATCATTTATATTCAAACTTTAGAATAACAGTAGAAACAATAGCTGCCACGGAAATACCTAGACCGAAACCAAATCCCAGCCAGTAATTGGGCTTCTGATGGTCTAGGTAAATTTTATTTCTAATAGCACTACTAAAGTTACCTATTATAATGAGTAAAGCCATACCTACAGCTCGCTTCTATGACAGGGCTAAGTTATTTCCAACCCATAAGACGAGACCAATAAGAGGAGGGTAAATACTAACCAGAATGTAGAAGAGGAATGTATATATCAGACCTAGCAGCTGAGGGTAAGGAATTGAGAGTAAGCCTAGGAATCCAATAGCTGAGATACAGTAAGGGCTGATAATGAAAGGCTAATGGGTCTTATGCTTATCTGTGATAGTATTCAAAGGGGTGCCAGTAATACCGAGGAAGTAAATAGGGATTATAAGAAGCTAAGCGTTAGGCGCAGAGTAACTAAGGCCAAGAATAATACTTAGGGCAGTATATATAAATCCGTAGATAGAAATCGTGTTGCCCTAATATATAATTATTAGCTCATTTAGCCCGAAATATCCAGTTTAGCGGGGTCAAACAAACCCAGTAGATAATAACTGCGAGCCAGATCTTCTAATCGAGGAAATAGTTAAGGATAGTAGGCTAGTGAAATTTGTCTTATAGATCGACTTGACCAGTCTTGGTTCCGGCGTTATTTCTCAAACAATAGTATAAAAGGCTCGTTTAGCTGGCTTGAGAAACATGACAGTCTCAGGGCTGTCGGGCAATAAGAAGAAGCAGGTCGCTCTAAGAACGACAGTGGTAATTCCCTCAATGATAAAGATCCATCGCCATCTAGCGAGGTTGCCAATTCCATCCGTTTGCTGAAGGCCGAATGCGAGCAGACCAGAAAAGGCACCAGCCATAGAAGCAGCATCTTGGAATGTGTCTATGCCACGGTGGTAGTGCATACGACTCGATCGTTTCCATCCGTTCTATTGCGCCATCGTGGGCGAGTGCTAGTTTCGCCAAGGGCGACATATCCCTCCGTGTCTCCCTCACCCTAAGTGTCGCCAGCGGGTGCACCTTCGGCAGTGTTTGCATGTTGATGTAGAGCCGTGTGCCGGCCTGCGCGTGGCGTTCACTGATGGGTAGAATACCAGCTTCTGCTTCTACTACTGCCATTGAAACCGTCTTGAAGGCTCCTGTGATGGCTTGCGCACCTATTTTCTGTACCTCGTTCAGCTACCTGGTCTCCCTCTACCTGTATCGGTGGGACCAAACGTTCGAAGTGTAGTCTATCGTCAGGGCTACTATTGCTACAAACAACTGTCTTGCTATCCAGGGTATTAATATCTTCAGCCTTTATAGATATATAGCCGCCTAAAGTCCCTGTATAGCTACTTCCTTTATATATTCCTTATACTGTAACTCTGAGTCTATTACTAGTCCCAGTATCTTACTACTCTTTCTGTCCAGAAACTCATTCGAGAGAGAATTTTGGGTGACATAATCGAGTCCGAGACTCACTTTGACTGGGACGATCCGGGCTGGCCGTCAAATAATGAGGGTATTACCGAGTATATTCCTGGCCAAGGGATGCTATATGGCCTGGGAACCCACACCATCGACCAGGCCATGCTTCTTTTCGGCCGCCCCGAGAGTGTTTTCGCCATCTTTAAATCACACTGCGATGGGTCCCGCGGAAGTGCCATTGACGACTGGCACACCCTGATTCCTCAATACGCTAAAGAGAAGAATCAGAGCGTCGTTGTAACCATATCAAGAGCTCGCAGATCAGCTCCCTGACCCGGCAGCCTCGTTTCTTCATCCGAGGACGGAAAGGGACTTATATCAAGGTATATTTATCCAACTACGTCGTAACCATGCACTTTCCCACTATTGCCTTCATCACCAGAATCACCTTGATATCCAGGAAGAACAGATCTTTGCTGGGAAGTACGCGCCACTGTATCCCGAATTCGGTCTAGAGCCCCCTGAGCAGTATGGTGAACTGACGACCACGACATCCCATGACCTGACCTACCAAGCTGAGGATACAACTGCCCGCCAACCACGCTACGTAGGAAAGATACCCACCACCCAGGGAAACTGGAAGGGGTTCTACGAAGATCTAGCCCAGTCTATTCAGGGGGGCTCGGATTTCCTGCAAAGAGTAGATCATGCGCGTGATGTCATTCGGTTGCTGCGCGAGAGAGCGCAGACACGGGAAGGAGTGTCTCCTGGCACTAAGCCTTTAGTGACAATATATGAGAGAACTGTGCATGTCGTTGGAGGTAATGGAGCCACAAATTCAAGCCTAGTTGTATTGGATCATGGAGATGGCGGCAGGCAGTACTTTGGAAAAGAAAAAGCTATCACAGCCGCATGAATATCCCTCGATAGTATTGTGATGTCTGATTTTGTTTTCGCAATGTGTCAGCAAAGTAATGAATAGTAACTCCTAACCAGACATTCTCTTTGCTTGCTCGACGCGCTCCTTTGACCTGTTGCTCGGGGAGTAGTAACTGGGGAGCTGATGGCACAGAACTGAGGCAGCGGCGTCGGGGGTCGGGGGTCGGGGGCCACACCTCGGGGAAACCATAATGTTTCGGGGGATGAACTAGCTTTCGGGGAAAGGGGGAGTCGGGAACGGTCGCGTGCGGAGAAGAAAAATGTAGACTAAGCAAACAAATGCCGCCACAGGCCAAGGGTAGCGCTGCCATTGAATGACTCGTGGAGAGATTGTGCCAATTTTGCCAGTCACCAGATGTTCCACCGTCCACGACTAGCCATCCATAGCGCAGACGTTGCCCAAGAGTGAAGGAGGGCATGGCTTAAGTGGTTCGTCAATGGGGACCCCGCATTGCCCCAGGTTTGAGACTCGGCTGCAAGGCACTGGCCGTGTGTATATAGTGAACGGCCATCATCACCTTGCCGAGACTTTTTGCCGTCAACACCAGCTGAAAGATCCCATCTTATTCTTCAAACAATCGCACTCGGCTAAGATTGAGTCTTCTGTCTGGCTCGTGGACAGATCTGTGTCATTCGATTGTGAATTGTTGTCATTGTTTGTGCATTCTTGAAGCTCATCCCTGCTTCACTTCCTCGGCTTCAAGATGGGTTTCCTCGCCGAGAATCGCATCCTCAAGCATTTCAATCGTCAGTTATCATTATCGTTCTTGGTCATCGCTATATCCACTCTCAACTATGGCTTCGACAACGCCGGATACTCCACCACTCAGGCCATGGAACCGTTCCAGAAGCAGTTTGGAAACTACGACGAGGCTACCGGCAAATACCGTATCCCTCCTCAATGGCTATCCTTGTTCAACAGTCTCAACTACATTGGCTTCGGAGCTGGAGTAATCATCGGCAGCCTAGTGTCCGCTCGCTGGGGAAGGAGATGGTGCATGTTCAGCATGAGTGCCTGGGCTTTGATCCCTGCCGCCCTGGCGGTATCATCTACAACGCGAGAGCAGATCCTGGCCGCTCGTATTTTGAATTGTAAGCTTTGAGGCATAGCATTGGTCATTGGTGGATCTCACTGATCAGCTTAGACATCTACATCGGAATGGAGCTTGCTGTCGTCCCAGTCTATCAATCTGAAATCATGCCTACTGAGATTCGTGGTTTCGCAGTCGGTTCTTATCAATTTAGCTTGATGGTATTGCCAACCAGCCTTGGCTATTCAATGCATTACTTGGTTACTGACTTATCATAGCTTGGCTCGCTACTCGTCAACGGAGTTTGCCGCGGCACGAGCACACTCCCAGGGAACGAGGCCTGGCGCATCCCCTTTGGACTCTTCTTTGTTGTCCCAGTCATCGTCATGGGCTTGATCTTTTTCATCCCCGAGGTGAGGTTGATTGCAAATACCCCCAACACGACCACAAGTAACTCACATCAACCTTTCCCAGTCCCCACGCTGGCTCTTGACCAGAGACCGCAAAGACGAAGCCCGCGTAGCCCTTGGGAAGCTCCGAGGTGGAATCTTCACCGATGCGGAGATTGACAAGCAATTCGACGCCCTAAGCTACGCCCTGCAAATCGAGCCGGAGCAGGGAAACTACAGAGAGCTTTTCCAGAACAAGAACATCAAGCGAACGGCCATTGTCGTGGCCATGAATTTTTTCCAGCAGGCGACGGGACAGTCCTTTGCTTCTTCTTATGGTGCCATCTTCATCCGTGACATTGGCACCGTCAATCCATTCACCATGACACTGATTAATTCAATTGTCAATCTTGTCACTGCATTCGTCGGTCTCTATTTGGTAGATCGCCACGGTCGACGGTTAGTTTTCCCTCTCTCCCTTTTTCACACGTACAACCTAGTTCTAATTTTTTTTTTTGACAGTCCTCTTCTGTTCATTGGGTCTGCATGGATGTTCTGTGCCATCGCGACAATGGGTAGTCTCGGTACCGTCCCTTCACCATCATTTGTAGTCAAGACTGCCATTGTATCCATGCTCACAGTCTTCGCCGCCGGTTTCGTGTTCTCCTGGGCTCCATTAAACTATGTCATCACAACCGAGGTCCCCGCCCTGCGCCTCCGAGATGCGTCTCAACGTACTGCCTCTATTGTCAATGTCGTCACGCAGTTCCTTGTCAACTTCAGTATCCCGTACCTCATCTACCCGGAATATGCAGGTCTCGGTTCCAAGGTGGGGTTCATCTTTGCCGGTATCCTCGTCCTCACCGTCGTCTTTACATACTTTGCCGTGCCAGAGTGCAAGGGTAAATCCCTGGAACAGATTGACCGCTTGTTTAACGAGGGTGCTAGCCTGAGGAAGTTTGGAAAGTACAAGTCAGAGGAGGTTACCTCGAGCGAAGACGTGGGCCTGGGTGCTGGTAACGCTGATTCCAAGGGAAAGGTTGAGCTCAGAGAAAACTCTGTCTAATAAATTGTGTAGTGGTAGATGGAACTAAACGGGCGTGAGAGGATAGCTTGGTTGCTAGTTCGGCCACTGAATCAGCATTCAAGCAGATCAAACTAATTATCAGAAGTGTTTGTTGTATTTATATTTCACGGCAATAAGTCTTACTCGTCTGTGGCAATGCCAACTGAGCAGTGGAATGCAGGGAACTGTAGAATCACTTAGATTTTCTACACTAGGGTATAGAACCTCACGAAGTTGGGCGTTCTTGATTTGCTTGGGCGATACTTCTCATGTGGAGAAACTAGCTGTTGGCGAATGCTTGCTACAGATGTTGTCATGAACGACATCATCGAAAGACGAATGAGGTGTTTAGCCTGTCAGTTTTCGGAAGCAGAAGTACCAGGATTCTTAGCCGCTCTAGTTTATGTTGACCATTTTGTCTGCAGTAGACTAATCAAAGAGCGTTATATAACTCCAGGCTGGGTCCGGTGGCTTTGTTGGCAAATTGGTGTTCTACGATTACTAGGCTTCGGTTTGTGACGGAATTGTCCGACTGCGCTAAAATACTTCGTCAAAAAAATATTTGATGTCTGAATAAATATTTACTCATCATCTTGGGGGAATCTAGCACCCCCCTGTCGCCTTATCTCATCAAGAATCTCTAGGACCTTTACTGTTTCAGCCCAGGGCATAATATCGTTTTCCTTTTTCCCTGCCAGCACATCGGCTGCTACGGCATCAGCTTCCCAGTGGAAGCCGAGACCGGGATGTTCAAAGATGAATTTCTTGGACTTGAGTCCCGGGGTTTGGGTTTCTGTCCACCCTTCCCCTGATATTTTGCTACTGTAGGCAGTAAATGAGGAAGGCACAGAAGGACCAATACCGTTAACCGTAATAAATCCATCGGAGCCTTCTATCCTGCAAAAGTCTGCGCAGCCTTGCACTTCCATAGATGTTGTCATGATACCCTGCTGTCCGTTGGGGTAGAGAAAGATGGCAGATGTCGCCATGTCCACCCCTTCGGATAGTGTTTGGATAGCAACAACCTTGGGGTCCTGCGCTACATCTCCCGTGCCAACATCTAGACCCATACGGACCCAGGTTAGACAGTATACGCCGACATCGAGAAGGCTACCGGCGCCAAGTTTCAGGTCCCTCATCCGTGAGTCCGGGCTAGCAGCAGGAATATTCCTGAACTTCGCGTAGTCGCAAAAGACTCGCCGCACCTGGCCGATAATATTTTCCTCGTGAATCATATAGCGGAGAGTCTTTACAAGTGGAAAATGGCGTGTCCACGTGGCTTCCATGACATAGACGCCCTTCTTGTGAGCTGCATCAAAAACCTCACGGGCCTCCTTGGCTGTAATGGTGAAAGCCTTTTCGCACAAGACATGCTTTCCGGCAGCAATAGCATCCAGGCAATTCTGCTTGTGGAGACTGTGTGGAGTGCCTATGTAGATAATGTCGACATTTGCATCTTCATAGCAGTCCTGGTAGCTGCCGTAGATTGTAGGATTCTGTTGCGGTAAGTGCTTCTCAGCAAATGCTTTACCTTTCGCAATCGAGGATGACGCTATTGCCTGGATGACGTGCCGGGCGCCAGGGTTGCTGCGCTCGATAACCAAGTCGTTCACGAACCAGGAGCAGATGAGGCCAGTCGCATAATACCCCAACGCACTGTTGGGATGTCTCCCGAGTCCTGTTCCATTGCTATCACACGGCCGGGAAAACAATCTAGGCTACAAGAGTCCGGAGAAGCAATTGGGCGAACATTTTGAAGAAAAAGAAGAAAAAAGACACTTTGTGAGGCGGACATTTGTTAATATCCGTAGTTATGAATGCAGGCTGCCATGAGCTGGGATAGTACTCCACGGTTGGCCCGCGGGCGAGCCAAGTAGCTCATTACAATCTGTAAAACATAGACTATACGGAGAACCTGCAATTAGATAGTGTCAGCGCATTCAGGGTGAGTGGAGAAGAGTCGTCGGATCTCGGGGGGAACTGCACCTAGCCCAGCATCTGAGTGGACGATGGAGATGGACTTTTCTTATGCCACCATCGTTAAATCCTTAAAGTTGCTATCTATAATAGGACTAGGAATTATCATACTGTGAAAGATTTATAATTCAATAGGTAAAATTTACTTAAAAATAAAGATACATCTTAGCTAGCTGTATATTATATCGAATTATTTAATAATAATAAAACTTATTTAATAATTTCTTTTATTATATTATTATAATTTATAACCTAGATTTAATTTTTCATTTCTTAATAGTATTATTTGTATTATACAAATTATAATTTTTATCTACATCTTTATCTGGCGTAGTACTAGTTATGCCGCTTACTAATTCAGGTTATACTCAGTGACAAGAATTTAGCTGAGGTGGGGTCAGCAGAGCCCGACAGAGATTGCCTCTTCAACAAGTCTCGTCACTTCTGGCGGTCATTTAATGCTGGTTCAACCCTCCGCACCACTCCCCGAGGTGGAACTGGCAAAGATGGATGAGATGTCCAGCCACCCGCAGGCGCCCCGGCGCGCCAGACCGTCAACCGTTCCCCGACCTCGACGAGCGTCTGAAATCTGCTTTCATTGCCGCAACCGGAAGGTGAGCGAGCAGCCCCCGCAGCCCTCATCCGAGTCCTGCCACTTCCTCCGCCATTGCATGCACGGAACGGCGGTCATGGTGACGGATGGTACTCACCTTTTGTTTGCAGGTGAAATGTGATGGCGATCCTAGAGGGTGCGGGAATTGCAAGCGTCTACAATACGAGTGCTCTCTCTCCACGCCGCCTACCGAGATTGATACTCTAACCGGAAGCCAGGCTTGTCTGGAGCGGCGCAGAGTGAGAAAGGCATGCATCGCATGCCGAGATCGTCGATCTAAGTGTAGTGGGTCGTTGCCATCATGTCTCAGGTGCTACCGGCTGGGTCTGGATTGCCAGTACCCCAATGCAAGACGGGCCAGCTCGTTGAGACAGACCGATGACCCTGTCGTAACTCGTGGGCCATCGGATCATACCGCCTCTAACGCCCCTACGATTGTCAGCGGAGCTCAACCAGAACCAGCTGACCTGTTTGAGCCACCAACACAAGTCCCTGTGCCATCGTTACGGTTGGTTCTGCCCTAACTGACCTGAGCAGCAGGTTCTCGAGTCGGTTTGTTAACTCTTTACGCGGGCTAGAGCACCAGATATCAGTAGGGCCGCCATCAAGCAGTGCCTCGACGGCTTTTTTGAGTTCGTCTATCCCATCCCATGCCTGAGTTTCCTGCACCGCGCAAGCACTTTCCAGGCATGGTCTCAAGGCACGATCAACTCGAGCCTCCTGAGGGCCATTTGTAGTGTCGTATCACCCTATATATTCTCTGTTGATGCCGCTCGGAGCAGTCAAGCGCGAGGGTGGCTGCAAGAGGCGGAAGACCAGCTTCTCGCCCGCTTCGGCGAACCCTGTGTATCTGACATTGAAGCATGGGTACTAGTAGCTTTCAACCACGCAATAGCCGGGCGGTTCGGGAAAATGCTCGTGTCAATGAGCCTTGTAGCAAGGCTGGCGTATATTATGCGACTTCATTGGGAGGACGAACGAAGCCCTTTTCTAGAGCGTGAGCGTCGACGGCGACTGATGTGGGCAATCTATATCCTTGATACTCTATACTCGAGTGCGAGGGAAGAGTTCACGTCATGTCCGGCAAACACAATCCGGGTCCAACTACCTTGCAAGGAGTTCTTTTTCACAATGGATGTGCCCGTTGTGACTCAATCTCTGACAGTACCTCCTCATGTCCAGAGCCCGTCTTCGACCAAGCTAGGGCTGATGGCTTACTGCATTCGGGTTCTTGATATCCGAGACCGAGTGAATAGGTAATGGGAGATGCATAGTTAATACCTTTTTCATGTTGCTCCATCCTAGGAGGGTTCTTTACTAATGTCAATCGAGGCAGAACTTCTCTAGCAATGATCAACCACCAAAAACCGCTAGTCGATTCCTTAAACACCATCGGCAGCCTTGAGCAAGAGCTTCAGCAATTTCATAACTCCCTGCCTCTGGACTACCACTTCGACCAGAAGAATTTCTTCCTCCGCGCATACACTCCATTGCGCACAACTTTCCTTATGCTTCACGCCTGGTGGCATCAGACGCATTGTGACCTCTTCCGCTTCACCATCCCAGGGTTCCGTGAAGGGCTCAGTGCAGCTGATATGGCTCAACTCTCACCAGATTACCTCCGCATTTGTCGAGCCAAGTGTCTGTCGAATGCTCTTTCAGTATCCGGCGTCCTCGAGCTAGGAAATCAGCCTGGCATCGAAATCATCACGGATCCCTCGGTGGCTATGTGTGCGTTTCACTCCTCGAGAATCATCTCGCGTCTCGGACATCCGCCGTTGGGTAACATGCCTCAGCAAGAGCTCATCGAAAGACTCTCGACATGTTTCGTCGCGCTTGAAAAGCAAGCCGAGGTGTATCCGCGCTCCAGCATCCTCAAAGATGGAATCATGGAGCTTGTCGAAGATGCGCGGAGGACGCCAAGTGGCTCGATCTGGGAAGCCAAGGAGGACGAGAGGATAAACACGGAGGCATCTCCATCCCACGCAAGTACAGCCTCGCAGGTCTGCGAGGTGTATTCGAGATTCAGCGTCACGGACGAGATCCGTAAAATGAGCTTTCAATCTGATGGAAAATCCAATAACCAAGGGGCTAGAAACGATGAGAGACCACCAGAAACTCAACCGATACCCGCAACTGACCTGGTCCGTGAAGAACAACAGGCTGTCACGGGCGAGAGTTCACTTGCACCTGCGATACTGGACTCAGGCGTAGGAATTCGCGTTGCAGAGGAGGACCGGGCGCCAAACTACAGTGTTCCTGTCAATGAAGTAGTAGGTGGAGAGTCAGTTCCAATGTTGATGGGTGACATGTTCAATTTCGATTTTGCCATGGCAATGGCGGCAATCGACCCGAGACAAGCGCCTGCGCAACCAGACATGTTCCTGGACTCGTTCTGGCCGATTGCGGGGACTTTGAATCCCTCACAGAGCAGCGAAGATGACTGCCATGGTGGATAGTTATCCCTTATTCTAATTTTATTCGGCATTCTATCTAGAACTAGGAGCGTAGAGCCAAGGAATTAGATTCCGCTCCAGAAAATATCGTGCTCTATCACAAAGCTCGTACCTAGAGAACCATCCCCCGTGACGATAGATACAGCATACTCACCAGCTTCGCAACACCACTCGTTTCTTCTCTCATCCCAGACGGCGCTTGTGTCCGGTAGCAGTGTGAAAGATGCCAATCCCTTCTCGCCAGGCTTTAAAAATACTTTATGGAAGCCGCCTAGTGTTCTCGGAGGCCGCCTAAACCTAGATTTAGATCCCGCTCTAGGGACGAAAGCCATGTACAACCTAAGCACCTCGGCCCCTGCACGAAGGCCAGTGTTCTCGATATCGACACTGACTTCCCTACCCAATATGTGGATATTGGTTATCTTAAAAGTTGTATAACTTAGCCCATGACCGAATGGAAAGGCGACCGGAATCTTCCTAGCTTCAAACCACCGATATCCAACATAAACACCCTCAGCATAATGGATAGAGCCATTATCACTCCCAAAGCTGAGTGCGGTTGGCCCATCTTCAAGTCTCTCCTGAAATGTTACTGGCAGCTTCCCACTGGGGTTAACTTTGCCAAATATAACATCTGCAACAGCATTACCTGCCTCATTCCCACCATACCAACTGTGAAGGATTACCTTCGCTTGGTGGCGCCACGGCATGCCAATAGGGTTACCCGCCTGGGTAACAATTATGCTATTTGGCTGTACTTTCAGCACTGCCGAGATCAAGTCATCGACATGGTCAGGCAATGACATGGAGCTTCTATCCATGCCCTCTTTTTCAAGGTCATCATTTAAGCCGGCAACCACAATAACATGCTTACACCTCCTTGCAAGCTGGATAGCGCGGCGGATACCTTCTACTGGATCAAGTTTTAGACAACCACCTAGGCGGCAGGCCCCTCCTGGAATAGGCAGCATTGAGCTGCTAGTGACCTTTGATGTTGCTGCACTGCCGGCCTCAACACGCAGCTCATAGGATTGACCGCTAATCATATTGAACACTCCACGTCTTTCAGCGGAGCCCTTGCCGAAAAACATGCCACCTGGTATCTGATCTGTTTCATTATCAATAACCTGTTTATTATTGATAAAAAGTTTCGAAACTCCATAGCTTGCCAACCCAAATTCATATGGGCCATCATACTCAGCCACGAAGTTGGCACGCATAGACACATAGAACGTATCCTGCTTCTTAGGGTGTGTATAGTCCATCATCTGATACGATGACTGGGGGATTTTCAAGGAGTCGAATGGGATTCTGCCAGCACAGGTGTGCGGCTCGTTGTATACATCAATGGACACGCCAGGCTCACGGCTATCATTGGTGACATGGTCACCGGTAAGGCAAGGCAAAAGCATGTGTCCAAACACTCCGGGTTCGTAGAAAACCTTTGCTGAAGTCGGAACCTGGCCCTGGATGCCCTGAAACACAGAGACGGTATATGTCGGTTGAAGATTGGCGCTCCCGCCTCCACAGGCCATCGCGAGCTTGGCATTGGGCCCGATCACAGCCACCTCACATATCTCCTCTGGCTGAATGGGAAGCGTGTGGTCCTCGTTCTTTAGTAATACGAGAGACTCGGTGGCTAAGCGACGGTTCAGTTGCCTAATTTCTGGAGAGTCACGCGACGTCTCAACTATTGACACCGGGGCGGATGCCGCCTCGTTGACGAGGTTGACTATATTGCATACCCGCTGATCGAGGGTATGTTGATGCACTTGGCCCGACATCACTGCCAGGACGGCTTTCATCCCTCTGTGAATTGTCGGCCCTGGCATCTCAAGGTCCAAACCGGCATTCAAGGCTTCTGAGCATGAGTATGTGCCGTACCTGACGTACACATTAACAATCATGAGGCATCAGCGATAAAGCGGGTGTCTTCTTACCAATCGCTCATAACGAGCCCCTGAAACCCCCATTCTTTCCGGAGTATCTGGTCCAATAACAAGGAGCTTTGGGATACATGTTCACCGTTGACTTTATTATAAGATGACATGACAATCTTCGGCTGACCATGGCGTATCGCGATCTGGAAGGATCTCAAGTACACCTCTCTCAACGCACGCCCCGAGATGCGAGTATCTATCGACATCTTCTCCGTCTCCTGATCATTGGCAACGTAGTGTTTCAAAGCAGCCAGAGTCCCACGGCTCTGCACCCCGCGGATGATTGCGCCGGCGAGAACACCACTCAGGAGTGGATCTTCAGAGAAGCTCTCGAAGCCTCGACCGTTGAGTGGCGACCGGACGATGTTGACGGTGGGGCCCAGCCATACGTGCGCGCCCTTGGATTCACACTCACGGGAGAGGAGCTGGCCTGCTTGATGGATCAGGTCGGTGTTCCATGTAGCGCCAAGGCCGGTGCCACATGGGATACACGTTCCGGGCACTGGGTTGAAGAACCTAGTCCCACGGGCACCATTAGGTCCATCAGTGCAGCGGAGAGACGGTATGCCGTGAGCCGGCAACGGGGTTGTGTGCCAAAAGTCAGAGCCTGGGAGAGAATTGTCGTTAGAAAGAGTCTGGACGGTGAATTGGTTGGTCAGGAAGGGCATGAACCATGGAAGGCTATACAAGGAGAAGGATGGGCCAGCCCGAGAGTGAAACTTACCAGAAAGCAGAGATGCCTTTTCAGGGAGAGTCAACGTCTTCAAAGTCCTCTCAACATCCAAAATAGGTCGCTCGGGTAACTGCATTTCTGGTTCTCTATGTTTTGTCATAAATTTTGAAGGAACACGATGAAGAGAAATTCTAGTTGTGCGTCTTGAAATCAAGTAAGAAGACTCAAGAAGCTCCTTCGGTATCGGAGTTCGCAAGTTTAAGTTTCCAGAAAGGGGCTCAACGAAGGGCTGGCGCAGCGCATTCCAAAGACCTACTGTTTATAGGGCTGGGCGTGCAAACGACATTACAACACGTTTCTCTCTAGGTATTGAGGGATTCAAAAGCATTCCTCCTCTCTCTGATTGTCGCCTCCACTACTGTCTAAAGGCGGGGATTAATTTGGGTAGCTACAACAAGAGAATCGGAAGTCGGGGGTCGGGGGATCAGCATTAACAAGGGTATCCATTGCAACTGAGTCTCCCGCCAATCAGCTACCCTTACCCCTGCCTTGAGCTTGTGTGGAGGTCTTGCAAAAATTCGAAGGACGATTGATCCCTGACACTCCAATAGATAGATCTGGAGCACTACGTACTTGATCAAGGCTAGATCATGTCAAAGCTTGCTGGTTCCGATTGGGCTATTGAAATTGAAGTCCCATTATGGTCTTGGTAAGACCATACACTACGGAGAAATTTGTTCGTACCTGTTCGCGTGCAGCTGAACAGTCACATTAATGCACTGTAGGAATCCGTAGGGTGGTCCTAGCAGATGAAATGTGTGTCAAATTATCGCACGTAATGGGCCCGGAATGAAACTGTCTCAGATTGCTGGCCTAATGCCGACACACAGTTAAGGACAAATGGTTCAATCGGTGAGAGAAAATAGATGGTCAACTAGGCGAATTTGGCGCTATCAGGTGGCAAGCCTCACGCGATGATCTCAACACTCTTCGATTCCTCGATGCATGATTTTCATCACAAGTAGTTGGCTGAAATTCTTGCAGGCTCGACCGTTGTACCATCACTCCCATCTTGAGGATGTACGTGGCCTCGACAAGCCCCTTCGTCCTTGTTGAACGCGGCGGCCAAAAGGCTACCCAGGACGTAGGCATCCTCGAGTGCCGTACCAGCCATCCCCTTTATGGGACATGGCGGCATGGGCAGCGTCTCCCATGATGCAGACGAGTCCTTTGTGGTAGGTATTAGCCGGCGGGTGCTCGAAGACTGCCCATACATCGGGTTTCTGCAGGGACTCAATGACGAATTTGGCAGTGTCCCCCCAGTGGCGGTACTCGTTGACGACTTCCTCTTTCTCGTCGGTCTTAACTCATTGTTCTAATTCCCAACCATCTGCGCTACCAAATACCATAACTTGTTGTAGAAATCCATGCGTTAGCAACTCTATAAGACTTAGTTCGGGGAGGGTGAGAATGGGGCATCCCTAATCATTAGAAAGCTACTCCGCACCTAGACTTGGGATGGAAATACGCCAACCCACTCAGTGGGGCAGGAGCAACGTTGCCGTCGACTTCCCCGGCTTCCCCGAGAATTGCTTCCAGGCGTAGCATCGCCATGGCACCTGCAGTTAGGGCGCGTGGAGATCTATGGACGCTAGAGAGCAGTGTTCCCCTTAATTAGACCATCAATTTCAGAATGCATCTCCCGTACTTCATCAGTTTCGAGTTCGAAAAGACAGCGGCCACTATCAGAGTTGCAAATGTGCTTCAACGACAGGGCTGAGCTACGGGCCACGGCTTACAACAAGTCCTACTAGCGCAGCAGGAAGCGAGCCAGCAACCCAAACCAATACTATCACCTTCTAAAGATGTGAGTCTGTACACTTTTTATCGTCTACCAGGGAGCCTGACAAGCATAGGCGGTAGCTGTGAAGGAGACATGTGACTCGTTTACTTTCGAGTCTTTCACAACACAAGACGCATGGGAGCTTGGCCACCTGATCTATGCGAGGCTACTGCCCTTTGCACCCCAAAAGTCTGCAATCATCTCTATAACCCTTGCGGGCAGTGGCCAAATCCTCTTCCAGGCGCCCGTGGGGCTAGGCACAGCCAAGGATAATGAGGGCTGGGTCGCAAGGAAAGGTAACACGGTCCTACGCTGGGGTGCCAGTAGTTGGTACATGAATCACGTTTGGGAAGGCGATGAGGATCGTTTCCGAAAACTCTTTAGCATGGGGATGGAAGAGTCTGGTAACTATGCTATCCATGGAGGCGGAGTGCCTATACGGGTAGGGGAGTTGATGGAATTGTAGCCGTGGTATGTATTTCCGGCCTCAAGAGTGAGGAGGACCATGGTGCTATAGTGGATGTTATCCAGAGTAACTGGGAATAAATAGAATCTGGCCTGGCTTGGCTAAGGCTTCAGTAATAGTATTATCTTAGAAATATAACAAAAAGAGTTAAATAGGTTTTAGTATTATTAGTAGTTTAGATATACATAGATATAGGATACTAATAGTTCTATTAGTATACAATAAAAACAAGCCAGTACTACTATTATAGCGGAATAAAGTGAGCTACCTCACGGAGATCAGATTGCAGCTGTCCAAACTCTTGTCGACGATTCCACCCCCGAGTCCTTCATCCGCAATATGAGAGAGTTTCTCCAACCCGGTAATCAGATGAACGGGATTGCGTGGTCCACAGGGCTACATATTCCTATGCCGTGAAACTGGTCACCGTAGCGGAGCGACTGTTTGGGGACTATCACACATTCCTACGCAAGAGGTTCTGGAGGGATCTTCATGGGACATACACAGACTTCCAGTCATACTCAACCAACCGGAATTGGCTCTGTAGACTGTCGCTTATCTTGGCTATTGCGGAAGCCGGTGCAGCGAACGATTCGTCTATCGCGACTGCTGCGTCTGGGGGGGAGAATGCCTCCTCTAATTCAGAAGCCAATGAATCAACCCCATCGGCCCTATCATCAGGGATTGAGCTCTTCGAGCAAGGCCTCCTCATGCTCAAGGTCTCGTACGAGACACCAACCGTGGATGATATCGAGGCTCTCAATCTCGCTGTTTGTCCCATCCTCTGTCTGTGTATGATCGTCCATCTGCTGACATTAAATGGGACAGTCTCATTGCAGTTGCATCCTCAATCGTAGGAAATCCGCGTACATGTACGCAGGGCAAAGTATTCGTCTGGCGCGCAGCCTCGGCCTTGATAGACCTGCGCCGTCTCGCTCTCCAACATCGAGCGGGAGCACAGGAAGCGAGTTTGGTGGACTGCCTTTTGCATCGACCGATCAACCAGCGCCGAGCTCGGTCTGTGCCCTGCCTACGCTCGCAAAGCCGACAGCCTTGATCTCCCCGACTCGAGCTCTCTTGGCTTGAAGGAAAAAGAAGAGTTCTACCCCGCAGAATTGTTGAGCATGCAAATCAAAGTGTGCGAGATGAAGAGTGATGTGATCGAAACAGTGAGCACGCTGAAGCAAAGACATCGAGCGACCATACGAGATCATTGGGGAGTGCCTGGAGCGGTTGAATACAGGCAGGGAGGCTTTCCCGGGCGACATTTGTTCGTCAGACAAGATCCAGCAAGAATATAGCCATTTAGACGTCCGGGTATTATCATCAATGCTACTGCGGTACAATCAGGTATTCTATCAATGCGTTGTCTACTCTCTCCCCTCGATTTCATGCCAATGGCTCTCGCTTCAGTGCTATATACTCCTCCTTCGTCCCATTCTGTTTCATCAATTCGCTTTCATTATGCGCAATGATAGTGCCATTACCCTGTCGGACGACATACGCTCCATCAATCAAATCTGTCTCGGAGCTGCGCGAAGCAACGCGAAGATGCTGCTCAACCTGGCTAACTCACAAAAGCTAGGTATGCCATACCTTTTCTTAAGCTGCTCTCTTGTGTCACCATGTTAATGAATCCAAATACAGTCAAATACGGATACTGGGACTCCGTCCATCTCTTCTCTAGCCTGATGATCTTGAACCTTGCCGGTCTCATAAACCGCAGGCTCCAGGGCGCGGGCCAGTCAAGCGGAGAGGAGACGGAAAATGACGTTTCAATGTATCAGCAGGGCCGTCGCATCCTGCTCGGATTAGCAGAACCAGGGAACGTCCCCTCAAAACATCATCTGAGCATGCTTGAAGAAGTAGAGGCGATTGGAGAGATGCACGCGTGGCCGGGAGACAGCGAGCTATCCGGGTCAGAGAATGTTGGGATCGAGCTGGGTTTCGACAGCTGGGGTGAGCTGATAGTTCCTCCAGACCTAAATTTCGATGTTTTTAACCCTTCCTCTTCATATTTCCAATACATGTAATGTAAAGAAACACATGCACCATGTTGTCAGAGCTAAAATCAATTGGCCAATGAGAGCGCGTTGATAAGTGGATCCGACGCGTGAAGCCATCGCAACATAAACAACACGAATTGAGAGTTTTTGGAAGGATCAAGAGCCAACTTGATGATGAGAAATTATAGCTAGGTAGCTAATTGCAAGTTAAGAATAACACAGCATCTACTCATCTTCAGTCCCTACGCGACCTACGCTGTATTCTATTCCTACGCCTATACAGAGACGTGGTGGGGAAATTCCTAAGCGTAAGATTCAAATAAGTACACCATCTGTTTAATAATTATAATGAAAAGCGACGACAACTGATAATTTAACCCATATTAACTATTCCTCCTCATACAGTGGTTTTTAATGATCATTTAACTGAGTATTTGAACTAACCATCTCTCAGTAATATGTTCTCTCATCAGGCAAACATGGCAAGTTGTTACGCTGCACCTGTAAACTTTAGGGTAGGTTTGCTCATCATCGGCCGAGGCTTCTGCGACGCGATGGCTATTCCAAAATCGGTATAGTGCCTGATATCAGTGCAACTGACAAGGTACGTACCTCTAATTTAATCCGCCATCGGCCAAATCGGCCAATGGCACCGATGGGGGCCATCTTTGACGAAGAGCCAATGGCCGAACGTGGATAAGCCGAGGCTAATCAGTCGGCCAAATCGGAGGGACTGGCCGACGATTTGAGCACTTGATGCCAGACAAGGAATGGTGCAATCACTTCGCCCCCACTGTCATAATGTCTGCCTTCAGTTGTTCGTTGGACTCCAAAGCCTACCTCAGTCAGCAACGGGGAAGGGCTGTCTCAGGCCAGTCTGAATTAATTATGAAATGCCCAGATCAATTTCTCAGAGTGAAGAGTGGCTATAGGAACTTTGGAGAAAATTTCACTACGCATCCATTCCTTGTCTAGGGAGTTATCACACAAAGGCAGCAGCCACATGTTTCACAAGGAATGGAATATACCTAGCTAAAGTAAAATAATGACCAGCGTCATAAGTTTGCGTGTTTATGGAACGATATATAATAAAGGCCGTGAATCATGCGTGAGAAGATAAAGCATTGGCTCTTACGCTTGTGAGCGTCCGAGGTCACAGTGTTTAACATGGGGGCTAAAGAAAGCTATAGCAGACCCTATCGAACCTTGTGGCACTACTCTAGAGTTGCTCTTGTGTCATGCGGGGAAATTTAGTTAGAGCCCCCACCACAAGATATTGGAAATGAGGAGATACGGTTGATAAGGACCATGACCCCAAATCCTCAATCACACGATATTGATCCGGCCAACTCACAAAGAGCATGGCAATGGCTAAGGTGACCCAAACTGCAGTGAAAAGAAAGGCTAGACGCCACCGGACGGGTTGTTGGACATGCAAAGGTAAATGAAGAACTGATTTCATTACATTTCGGCTAACAGTTGAGCAGAACGTAGGGTCAAGTGTGATGGTGAGTGACGATGATGAGGTGACTGGATCAGCTGGTTGATAAAATAACCTAGAGATATGACCATTGTGTCTCGCTTGTGAGCGTCTTGGACTGCCGTGTCGCTATGGACTTCAGCTCCTTTGGCGCGAGGATGCGCTCACGCGAGGAATCGCATTGGGACGATCTGGTGCGTTGCCTGAGCCACATCCATTACAATACCCCTGCCTGGTCGAGTAGCTCATGTGTTGTAGGAACGTGGTGCAGAAAAAGAGGGCGATCGACCCAAAGTCAACAGGATACGAACTGCTTGGACGAGTTTCAAACCACATCACCTCGTGTGATCAGGGGATCGAAACCAACCGCGGCATACGCGGAAGACTGGATGTTCTTGAATACCACATATCAAGATTTCTGCTCTCGTCCCGAAGCGATTGATCCAAACTCCTCAACTCCGATGAGAGTGACCTTGGCGCCTGAACTCTTATCTTCAAACACGTTACAACCGTCTGAGCTGGAACCCGAAGACGAACTACATGAATATAACAACGATGGTAATAAAACAGTATAAGAGCGCAACTATGATGCCGATTTTTGGCTGAATAGTAATTGGGCTACTACAGAATGGCCAACAGGTTTCGTTTTGCTTTGTAATCCATCACCGCTTGGGCTGGACAGAAACGAAATGTTCCTTCTCGATTACTTCACTAACGGGCTTATCCCATGATGCACCACTTGGCCCGCAGAGAACCAATTCATCAGAGTTATTCTCCCGATTTGCTTGTCTGCTATAAATGAGCCACTATTTTACAACATAATGGCAATATCATCCTACCAGCTGTACATGCTGAAAGACAAGAGTTTTGAAAGAGATATCTGGATGTACCGCGCCAAAGCGCTTCGCGGGTTTCAATATGAGATTGCGCGTTTTCGAGACGATAGTCAGTCATCTAAGGGGTGGGAGCAAGTCATTGCTACCTTGATTATGCTCACCTTTTTTGATGTGCTTATCTTGTGCTCGGGTTAACCATATTGACTACTTCTAATATCACTCTATACCACAGATATCACAAGATGCCTCACCGGCGTGGTTAATCCACCAGCGCTGTGCCCGAAATATACAGGCCATCCTTCCTATTACAAACAGTCTATCAATGACCCAAATGGACTTGTCTCGGTTCTTTCGCTACTATTTCGCCCAGCACGAAGCCTTTGCGAGGACAGCTTACGATATCCTTGATCCCCATGCGGCGTCTGTGTCTTGGTTCCCACATGGGCTCGAGGCCGATATGACGGTTATCGATGCACTGCTGGGATGCTCAGATGCTCACCAGAGCTAATTTCCTTGATATTGGAGATATCCAACCTCGCAGCGCAAAGACTGTCAGTGACAAGCGCAACCAAGGGCATTTCCGAGGGCAAACATTGGCGTGAGAGCGGGCAGGGCATTTGCGCTTGGCGCAACAATATCGAGAGACGTTTTTACTTTCTGGAACAGGTCCTGCCATGCTCACCCCCTCTCTCTATAGACTACGATCAGGATGGCCAAAGTGCCATTGAAGAGCTCGGCTATATTGCAGAGACGCGCCGGTTGTCTGCACTGCTGTACATGTATTCAAGGCTCGACGGTATCCCACCAGGGTTCGCACCCATCGACAAGTTGACTACACAAATACTGGCCCTGATACCCAAAATATCTCTCCGTTCCCATGCCCTGCTGTGGCCTCTCTTCGTTGTCGGGAGCATGGGTATCGGAGTTGTCAACCCGGAGAGTGGAGATGCACAGAGGATTTTTGGATTAGAACGACTTGTGAGCTTGCAGCAGACACGGCAACTCAAGAATGTCAGGCGGGCAAGAGAGTTTGTAGAGGACGTTTGGAAGATGCGTGACTTACAAGGTCCAGAATACATGGGCGGATGGTACGATATCGGGCGGGTAGAAAGTTATGGTGTGAGCTTATGTTAGAATTGTTGATGGAATGTCATTGTAAGGTTTGGCACTAGTTTTTCTTGCACAAAAACCACAGAGTACTTTCTATCCACTGATTCTATTCTAGCTTTTGGTTGAAGCGGTTAAATGATCTCATGGCTACAGCGTTCAATGCCGTCTAAGAACAAATTGCTGGTATCCAATGACTTCGATGATTAGCATGGTTTAGCTCCTTGATTCTATGAGTGCCATAGTCTGGCTTCAACACCAGCCCTTCGCAATACCATCGGATCCTGCATGAGATAATGACTGAAAGCTTGTGTAGGCACCCGTATGTGAGAGTTCTCCTTACCAAATATGCAGACATCCCTGCTTATCATAGATGCTAAATTTAGCAGGCGTTCAAGTTCGTTGGGGACCCCATCGGTACATGCCGTGGCAGTGCCGAGATGTCACAGTCGGCAGTGTTCATATTACCGAGAACAATGTAACCCTGGCTAGAAACCAGGTGGCTGAAATTAACTGAGTAAATAAAAGGGGAAGTTCAGTACCTTAAGAGTGATCTGACGCCCTTAAATAGGTGGTGCTCTTGCCACTATAGCAGGCTCCCCTGTAGGTTTTAAAACCCTACTCGCGTTATATGCCGGATACTAGTGGATCATAATCATAGTGAAGAACGTGACGATATCATGGAAATGAAAAGGCTTTCACAGTGAATGAATAGGAGCTATGGATTTGATAATTGATAAATTTGTATTATGTATTTCTGAGTTGTTGAGTCCATGGTATGTTCGTATTTGGCTAATATTGAAATCCCGAGAATAGAATGTCATGAACCATGCTTTAGGATTGCTTACTTCCACACTACCTGATTCTCAGGAGTAGTAGCTCCACTATAACCCCTAAAAAGTACATCTTTGTACATTCATGGCAGCCACGAGGTTATGGGTTCAACAAGGTGTGTTTTTCAAGCTGGGGGGCTGTAGATGACTTTGGCGGCATGGTGTAAGCGGCTTGAGCCCCTGCGACTACGAAGGGGGCCACGACGATGTTTACATTCAGATTAGAACCCACATACCCGCGGGCTGCCTCCCTCTTCCGTTGCATCCTCTCCCACAAGAGTGTGGAACGCATATTCTTGCCTCGTCATGGCCAGCATCAAGGCTACTGTTGAGAGCACCCACAGCGGCCTCTCAACATCTACCCAAAGGCTGACATGTGTAAGTTTAGCCTGTTGCTACTTTTACCTGGAATTAATTCAGTTTAGGCCTGGTGCCTGAAAAGTCACAAGGGTCATGGATTTGCTGATAAGCCGTGGGTTCCGGTAGATTATATTAATATCCATAGAGCCAGGGACGCACGTTTCACGAATTAACTGGGGGCTAGGTCCAATTCCAGTTCTGGGGGAAAGGATATATATCTCGCTAGGCTATCTTACTTCGGAGTGAACATTTCTATCACCGAGTCTCCTTTACTTCGAATCTTCCCTATCTGTCATCATACTATCCAAAATGCATTTCATCAAGGCCGCCATCTCCCTCTTTACTCTCGCCGGCTTCGCCATGGCCCAGCATGACCACTCTGGTCTCGAAGCTCGTGAGGCCTACCAACAGTATCTCGCAGAGCGCAATGAGTACGAGTACCATATGGAGCGAGACCTTGCCACTCGTGTTAGTCATCCTTCTAATCCCTTTCCCTGGCAAATTTATCCTCCGTGCTAATAGCATATTCACTCCAGGGCCCTAAATATCAATGTATATTCTCTCACATTCATGACGGATATCAATGCGCTCTCTACGGTGTTACCCCTAAGTGTCCTTGCTCGAGTAGCAAGAGGGGCCAGAAATGCAGTTGTCCTAAATAGGGGGAGATACAAGGCACTCTCGAATATCCGTAGGGATTTTTATAGCTAATAATAGGCTACACTGATGAAAAAGCAGTCATGCACGCCTACTACTAAGACTCAAACTAGATACAACATTTTAGTGTCTATGTTGACCCCAATCCATCATCCTGTCCCACGCGGTCCAATGTCAAATGTGTGTACCTGAAGTCTTCCTGCTTATCAGATAAATCCTGATAGACTTCCACAAGAGCATCCATATTTTCCTTTTCGACTTGATGGGCCTTGCCGTACTTCTTGTCCTTGTGATGATTTTCAAGCCTGGCAACTATGAGGTAGAGACCCATCAGCAGAATCGCTGTGCAGTAACAAGACAACATCGTAATGGTTCCGCCAGTGTATGCGGGAGCCTGCGCCTCACGGAATGTCTGAGGTCCAATGAGGTTACCAGCTCCATATCCTAAGAGAAGAATACCGTACGTGACCACCTTCTTCGTGCTGCCCGCGGTGTTGGCCTGTGGTAGCGAGATGGCTGTAACATATGATGCTAGATGTTGTTAGCAGTGATACGAAATGTGTGCTTTTATGGATGCTCCTACCACAATAGCAGTACATCAAGTATAAGCCAAACATCTGGCCCCCAGTCGACGACCTTGGGAGGGCGTACACTAGAGCGGTACCGAGGAGATGAACGAGAGTGGCGAGCATGACGACAAATGTGCGACGGCCTTGCCATTTTGCAGCCAAGTAAGACGCCAGGAAGCCTGAAGCAGAGGAGATGACACCATTCGGCATGGACAAGAGAGCTGACGTCTAAGCATCAAACCCGAGATTGTTAATGATAAGTGCACCAAAAGTTATGAGACCCCCATTTGGGATGTTCACAGCGATGTTGAAGAAGAACATTATCCAGATCTTGGCATCGAGAATAGCCTCCCAAGCCTGATCCCACTTCCACTCGCTGCTATCAATGCCAGTTCGGTTTTCCGCCAGGCGCTGAACCGCGTGCCATCTTTCCTCGACCGTGAGAAAATGAGCGTTGATGGGTGAGTCTGGTAGGTAGAATATCATGAAGATCGAGTAGAGAACATTCATACTGCCGGTGAGAAGGTAGAGATACTGCCAGCGAGCGAGCGGGGCGTCAGCTGGAATCTTGCCAATGACCCATGACAGGAAGCCATTCACGACGGAGCTAAAGACAGTCATAATGACTGAATTCACGTTAGAAACCAATACTTGGAGCTCTCAATGATGAAAGAGGAGCAAAAGGGACTTACTCCCATTTCGAATGGGTTGCTCAGACTTCTTCCAAAACACTGAGATGAGGAGTGTGGTACCAGGGTTTATAATGGCTTCGAAGATGCCCATGAGAAACCGTAAGACCATGAGCCCGGCCCAATTGTGGCAAGCGGCGATACACAACGTCATGAGAGACCAGCACATAGAGCAGGCGCTGAGGTATTTTCCCGCTGGGAGTCTATCTATAAGATAAGTCGAAGGCCAAATACCGACAAGCATCTTGAATAGCATTAGATGGTTTCAAAAGGGCGGGCTAAAGGGAGAACTTACACCAGGGGAGAGGATGCTACCAAGCCAGCTGTAGTCCTGGCCGTGGAGGTTGCTGTCCTCTTTGAAGCCGTAGAGAGCCCCGGTTGCATGTTGAACCTTGTCGACAGCGGCAAAAAGTCCATGAACAGCAACTAAAGGAAAGCCTATGTTAGCGTTCTGCTTTCTTTAATCAAATCATATGATTCGTACCAAAGGAATCATCCATCGGTCAATCTTGCGAACGATAGCCTTTTCCTGCTCTGGTGTCATTGGAGGGAATGGCTCGACAGACGCAAAGGAACTGTGCTGCTTGGTCCACCTCCTTGGACTGGGCTTGCTTGACGTTGTCATCCCCGCCTGCGACTTGGTTACTTGTCACAGGGTGGATGATGTCCTCGCCAGCAACGGGCATTTTCTTCTCCTCGATTGAAGACATTGGGCAAAGCTGAGTTGGATTTTAAGATATTGGCAATAAGGCGGCAGAGAAAAGGTGAAATTCTTTGGGGGCTGATGTCTTGGAGAGTCTGGAAGAACGGGAGAGATGTCCAGCCTTTTGTAGCCGGTCTGTCTGTGATGGTGTTGAATGTTCATGGTCCCGGGATCTGGGAGCTGTGTTATCAGTTCTTGCCTGCAGGAGTTGGAAATCTAGGCTATCCGGTTGGCCCAAGATCCTGGGGAAGGGATATGACACGATAGTGGCACCCTGGTTGGACTCTGATATTGATTCTGGCGGGGCCCAGGCAGGTCGACGCGAGCAGTCCACATTCCCCTCGTTATTAGCCCCGTGCCAAGCCCACTCATTACGGAAGCTCGGAAACATGAATCGATCATAGTTCGACTGCCCACCCTCCCTCATCGCGTCGACCTGATCTTTTTCGAGAGGCGTCGTCTAGTGTTATCGCAAAGCGGCCTTGGGGTGCACTGCTCGCATAACATCGCCTCCTTTCTCGGCATCTATCGTCATATTTCGTTTCATGAGAGCGACTTCGGACAAGAAGTCACGTCCCCGGAGCTGATCATGTCTGGAAATTCATTTATAAATACATCGTCAATGTCCTAGATTAGCGAGGTATGGCCAAACAGTAATTATTCTCGTCTTAACATATTGCCAACCATGAGTTCAAATCCAACCCTCGCTCCCAAAGGCATTAGGTTTGCCATAGGTGAGACCTCTTGTAGCACCTTTCTGACTTTAAGTCTCATTATTGATATGTATTAGACCGGGGTGGCACTTTTACCGATGCGTGGGCGGCAGTTGAGGGCCAGCCTGACATAGTCCTCAAGCTTCTGTCCGTTGACCCCGAGAACTATGCAGATGCACCTTCAGAAGGTCAGAAATCTTATTCATTGCAAATGAAATCAATCTGACCGCGAATCAAGGATCCGACGAGTGCTGGAGCAGGTAACCGGAACTACAATCCCTCGATCCTCGCGACTGCCGAAAGAGCACATTGAATCCATCCGGATGGGCAATACCGTTGCCACAAATGGTATAGATCTGGAAAGCTCATACATTATCCACTGTCAACTGACAAAATCCTTGTAGCTCTCCTCGAGCGGAAGGGAACTAGGCTCGCTCTCGTCGTCACAGAGGGCTTCCGCGACCTTCTCGACATAGGTCACCAGTCTCGCCCAAAGTTGTTCGCTCTGGATCATAGAAAGCCAGACACGCTGTACGAGGAGGTTGTTGAAATCTCGGAGAGAATCACGGTTGAGGATTTTGAGGACCGACCCGAGGAGCTCGTCCTGCCCACCAAAGGTATTCCTGGGACACTGGTGGAGGGCTCAACGGGAGACATCTTGCGTATAATCAAGCCTCTCGATGTTGAGGAGGTAAAAACAAAGCTACTTGCTATTCGAGAGAAAGGGATCGATGCCCTGGCCATTTGCTTCGCTCACTCCTATCTTTACCCCCAGCATGAAGAGGCTGTGACCAAGATTGCCATGGAGCTCGGCTTCACTCATACATCCGCCTCCTCTATCGTAGGCGCGAAGATGATCAAGATGATCTCGCGAGGTAGCTCCGCCTCTGCGGATGCATATCTCACCCCGGAGATCCAACGCTATGTTCAGACCTTCGCCAAGGGCTTTGAGGGTGGCAACTTGGATGGTGTGAGGTGCGATTTCATGCAGAGTGATGGCGGCCTGGTCAACTATAAGTACTTCAACGGCCTCAAGGCCATTTTGAGCGGACCTGCAGGTATGACATCTAACTGCTCTTATGAACTATCATGTGACTGACTGTCAATCACTACCAGGCGGCGTTGAGGGTTACGCTCGTACCTCATACGATGGAAAGACGCCAGTTGTCGGATTTGACATTGGTGGCACTTCGACAGACGTTTCTCGATACGGCGGATCATTTGAGCATGTTTTTGAAACGACCACGGCTGGCGTCGCGATCCAAAGCCCCCAGTTGGATATCAATACTGTGGCAGCTGGGGGCGGCAGCATATTGTATTGGGAAAACGGTCTTTTCAGAGTTGGACCCGAGGTAAGAAGCTTGATGGCTTAATCTTGAAACTGATAGCAGACTAACCCTACAGCACAGAGTGCTGGGGCGCACCCAGGCCCGGCTTCCTATCGCAAGGGTGGCCCTCTTACAGTGACGGATGCCAATCTGATGCTTAGTCAGTTACTTCCCCAGTACTTCCCCTCCATCTTTGGTCCGAACGAGGATCAGCCCTTGGACGATGGAATTATGCGCCAAAAGTTCACTGAGCTGGCGGACACAATAAACCGAGAGACCGGCCGTTCCATGAGCCCCATGGAAGTAGCAAATGGCTTCATAGACGTGGCTAATGAAGCGATGGGGCGGCCTACTTGTGCCATCACAGAAGCAAGAGAGCATGACACCTCAGCTCACAACTTGGGTGTTTTCGGAGGAGCGGGTGGACAGCATGCCTGCGATTTAGCCAAGAAACTGGATATCAAGCGGGTCATTATTCACAAGTTCTCGAGTATCCTCTCAGCATACGGCATGGCTCTTGCTGGAGTTTCGCAAGAGCTACAAGAGCCAAGCAGCGAGACGCTTTCCGCCGAATCTATGCCAAATATCCAACAGAGAATCCAAATTCTCAAGAGTGAGGCAAAGGCCAAACTGCTCGCCCAAGGGATAGATGAGGATGCCATTCGATTCGATGTGTATCTGCATCTGAGATATGAGGGTACAGAGTCTCAACTCATGATCCATGAGCCGGATGATGGTCATTTCAGGTTCGCCTTTGAGAAAGAACATTTAAGGGAGCTGGCGTTCTTGCTTCCAGACTCTAAACGGGTTCTCGTCGATGATATCAGGGTCTGCGGCGTTGGGGCAAGCGAACACGTCAGTCAAGACAATGGTCGCCTTCGTAAGGAGCTAGAGGAGACCTCATTTGTCCCCATCGAAGCACGAAATGCGGCTCACAAGGTTAATTTAACATATTTTAATGTGCCCTATCCCACACTCTAACTTCCTTCAAGACAAAGTTATACTTTAGCCCAGTTGGATACCAGATGGCACCGGTGTTCCTACTGGAGCAACTGAAGAGAGGCGACGTTGTGGAGGGACCTGCTTTAATTATTGACAAGACGCAAAAGATTGTTGTCGCCCCTAGCTCGAAAGCCTCGATCCTGACTTCTCACGTAATCATTGATCGATCAGATGAAAATACGGTTCCTGTCGTGGACGCGACGGAAGATGTGGCCGACCTAATCCAGCTGTCCGTCTACAGCCACCGTTTCATGTGGATTGCGGAACAGATGGGTAGAACGCTCCAGAGAACCAGTCTCTCCCTCAACATAAAGAGAGAGTAGATTTCTCTGGCGCGATATTCGGGCCGGACGCCGAGCTTGTCGCCAACGCACCGCATGTCCCGGTGCACCTGGGTAGCATGAGTTACGCCGTAAAATACCAGTCGGAGTTTCACAAGGGTAATCTGAAGCCTGGAGATGTCCTCGTCTCAAACCACCCGGAAGCCGGTGGAACTCATTTGCCAGATATCACTGTCATTACTCCCGTGTTCGAGCCGGATGGAAAGACGATTTGCTTTTATACCGCTTCTAGAGGCCATCATATGGATATTGGGGGACTGAAAGGAACCTCGATGCCGCCGGATTCGACTTCATTATACCACGAAGGTACGTCTATCAAGTCTTTCTTTTTAGTGAGAGATGGAAAGTTTGATGAGAAGGGTATTTGCGATATCCTACTCGAGCCCGGCACGCATGATGGCTGCACTGGCTCTCGGAGACTTGGTGATAACATCTCAGACTTGCAAGCGCAGATTGCCGCAAACAACAAGGGTGCGGCACAGGATCCAAGCGCTGATAGCCGAGAATGGAAAGAACAAGGTCCATTTCTATATGAAAAAGATTCAGGAGAATGCCGAAATTGCGGTCAGAAACTATCTCAAGGGAGTTAGACAAAAGAATGGAGTTGCTCTTCTGACTGCTGAAGACTCGATGGATAACGGATCGACAATGAAGGTTTCGATCACAATTGATAAGGAAGGAACTGGAATATTTGACTTTGAAGGCACATCTTCGGAGATGCTTTCGAATATGAATGCCCCTCCTGCCATCACTTACTCGGCGTTCATCTACACCATGCGGGTTCTGATCAATAGCGATTTTCAGCTCAACCAAGGATGCCTAACCCCCACAAGGGTTCTCATCCCGAAAACACCTTTTTGAACCCCTCTGTTGGCCGAGCTGTCTGCTGTGGCAATACACTCACCTCCCAGAGGGTTACTGACCTCTTGCTGAAGGCCTTCCGCGCGGCTGCCGCCTCGCAAGGATGCATGAATTGCATGGGCTTCTTCAGCCAAGGTGGGCTTGGTTTAGATGGAAAACCACTGCCGGGATTCACATACAACTATGGAGAGACGATTGCCGGGGGCGCCGGTGCTGGGCCAACATGGCACGGCGCAAGTGGCTTACACACCCACATGACCAACACCAGGACCACGGATGCTGAAGTATTGGAGAGACGATACCCCATCCTGGTGCGCGAGTTCTCCATCCGCATAGGAAGTGGCGGAAAGGGCAAGTTTAACGGTGGTTGCGGCGTGGTGAGAGACTTTGAGTGCCGTGCTCCCCTCACCTTCAGCATGATCTCGGAGCGTCGAGTGAATCAGCCCTATGGGATGGAGGGTGGAGAACCTGGTCAACGCGGGATAAATTACTGGGCTCAGCGCAATGAAGATTCATCGTATACTTGGCTCAACATAGGGCCAAGGGGCCAAATTGATATGGGCCTGGGTGATCGATTCGTTGTTCACACTCCAGGGGGTGGTGCTTGGGGCAAGGTAGGGGATGGTGATTCAATCGCCATTGAGAAAAAGAATGTCGATTTCCAGCCACGCGCCAATGGAAGCCTGAATGCTTTCCTTGCGGCTCAGTTAGAAGCTTAGGCTATATAAAAGCCGCAGCTAAGATCCTTAGGGAGATATTGAGGTGGGAAATAATGAGTAAAGCTTGGAATATAATCTCGCTCAGCAAGATGTAGGGATTGGAGGTCTAAGAATGAGATCTCTTGTATCCCTAAGCATAGGACCTAGATTCTCGCATCAAGGCAAGATCTACTGTCTGAAGTATGTCATTGAAAAAAAAAATAAAAAACATTTCATTTCTACATAGTTAAGATGATACAACCCAACTGATTATCTCATTATACATATTATTCGTAGCCTGCAAGATAAATCTTGGACCTCCCATTAAACCACGACTTAGGTTTATCCAACACAGTATGTCTACCAACGAGGATCGTTGTTTATCCCGGTGCCGTATATTCTTGGCTCATTAGTGGCCTCTATCCTCGTTGTGCGAATAATGCCTTCCTCTGGATTCATCTTATCATGGAGGTTGGACCTTGACGCGGGCATTGCTTGCAATTGCACAGTGTCGTCGACTTGATAGTACCCATTCATGGACGAATTGGGATTCTTACTTCGCCAGTGGGACGATTGAGACAAGCCTTGAGATGAAGAGCCGCCCGACGTCATGAGCCCAGCCCTGACAACGAATTTGCCAATCCAACCTTTCGGCCCGTACACCTTGGGCGCGCAGGGAAGACTGAAAATCAGGTAACCACACGTCATCTCAGCCATGCACATCAGAGCAATGGGTGAGATGGAATAAGTACGGTCCTCCGAGTGGTAGAGATGGTAGCCGGCTTGGAGTCGAACAGCAGCGCAGGCACATGCCCTACAGAACGAGTTTGGTCGTTAGCAATTTGACGACTTAAACTCGGCGACTAGATAAAAGATGAACTATAGAGAGCGCGGTATTTACTTACACGAGACCAATAGAAAATGCCAAAGAAATGTGAAACTTTCTCTTTGACGTCAGCTTCAAGCCCCAGATCTTCTTCTGAGGGAGAATCAGCATAACGACGTCGGACACCAGATTCATCGAGGCGCTGGTGATGAATATCACTGAAGTATCCGAACAGCGCCCAGGCATCGTGGTATACCATATCTTCTCATGGGGGATACACGAGAAGACGAGCGTCAAGATGGCTCCAATGTAGTACATGGAGACCAAGGCCAGCAATGACCAGGAAATTCTCCAAAACCAGCCGCGGGTTCCGGTCGGTACGAAAATACGAAGCCATTCGAGAAGGATTGCGATTTTTATGCTGGCCATTGTTGCTTCATAGATGACGCTGTCATTGTGGACGATCTGCTCGCGCGTGATCAGTATAAGTTTCGGTTGCATCGCATCAGCTAGGGGAGCGTTACGTATAGCACAAGCGGCAAGTCCTCGAGATGTTTGTCCCATTGGTGAACATAGAATCCGCACGCTTCCCTGAACCAAAATAATATACCGATATATGCGAAGAAAAGAGTCTGGTGGTAGAATGGATATTAGCCGACGACTGGCTTCCCCTCGGACTAGGTGTCATTCGTGCGACGTTGGGCAGGAGGCCTTACTACTGATGCGAAGGAGAGGACTGTGTATTCGCATTAGTACGCAATGTTTACACGGGAAAAAAGATGGCAGGTCTCAAACACTCACAGTCTCCTATAGTCAACCTCTGTCGCGTCGAAACGAGATATGTCCCGCGGGTGATGACACAAAACGACGTGAGGAGGATGCATATGATGATGCCAACCATGGCCTCGGTATCGCGATTCGGAGGGTTATCAAACTGCGGGACTTGCCCGTCGGGGGGTGCCAACCCAGGCTTGCCAGAGTATTGAGTGACGGGCTTGGGCGCTGACATGGTCGGTTACAACAGCTGCGAGTCACGACGGCCGCGGCGACGAGAACGAAGAGGACGAGGACGACTTGGGGATGGTTTGGAAAGGGTTTTCGGAATCAAACAACCAGACCTGGATGTGGCATACTGGAAAGACATACTTGGCCCATTCGAAGGGACCTGCCTATGACCTGCCGATGACAGACAGACGCAGAGAGTCGTCATGCATGAACCGAAGGACTTCGGTGTGGCACTGCACGCACTGCCGGGTTAGTGATCCTTTCACGGATCGGCCATGATTTATCGAACAAGTTCTAAATATCGCAACCGCCGACTCTGCCCCTCCGAATGGATATCCGGCTTATCAACGTGACAGTCGGAAGGATTCCAGGTTACATCGGGCTTTGGGTCGCACAAGTGCTGCTCCGCCGTCGATAATCTGTAGTAAGTGCCGAGGCATGGTTTAAGGGAATCCTGGAGCAACAGGCAGACCAATCGAAAGGCCCAAGAGCCCGAGATGTAGATCTGCAAGCGGGAAAACCTACGAATTCGAATCCATTAGCACAGTCATTCTGGTGGGCACGGCACATGCACACAGAGAGGTGACAGATTCGAGGTTGGTTCACTCACCTTGGAAAGACTTGGGCCGATCTTCCGGAACCAGCAGGGGGGCCCTGGCCACATACGATGTAAGACCCGCCTTGGTACTTCTCGTAATACTGTGGATAATGTTAGAAGTCTGTTTCTGTTCACATTCGCGCGGGAAGACGTGATGAAACAGTCAGCCTGCTCGGAGGATACTGCCAGAGTTGGGTGTGGTTGTGCCGATTGCCCGTGCATATCGGAGGCCACCGATCTCGACTAGAAGCGGCAACAGCCTAGCACATTAACCCTGTTCCCGCCTGCCTTTTCGGTAACCTGCGAGATGGGCGGCACCTAAAATGGCCACAGCCTCAAATGGCCTCAGCTGAACGTCGTCTGCTGTCATGTGAAGTTCTAATTTAAGAACAAGGGTTGGTATTGGGAATTATAACGGTATGATTATGTTAATAACAATAAGTGGGACTTAGTAGTACTGAGCTATAAATTATTTCTATTAATTTAGTGTTTTTATCTATCTTTTATATATAATAATAAAGAGAAATAGCTTTAAAGTTTTAAGTTTTTTTAATTAATATATTAATTAATATTTAAATATATATTAAATTTTCTCTTGGAAATAAATATATATATAACTTATTATATTTTTATAATTAAAATAAAGAATTTCAAATCTAAAAATTAAAATATATTATTTTAAAGAAAGAAATAATTTCAATTATTAATAATATAGATAAGAAAATATTAAAGTATAATATTCAGATATAACCTGATTTATAGGTCAAGTTACTTTTCAGGGAGTATAACTATTTTATTATTATCTACTCTGAGCCGGTGATAACTCGGTCATAGGAGGTCAAGCACGGCTTGGTCTTCAGACACTCTCTGACATCAACCTGCATCATACTCCCTCCAAACCGGCCATTACTATTTCAGGCATGTGTATACATAGGCAGGTCACTTCCCAGGTCCTTGTCGGCCTTAAGAACGTACCATGGACTTATCGTATGTCTAGTATCCTCTCATGAGAAGCATTGAGAATAGCTCAAGTGCTTCTTGAAGTGCTTCGGGATACTGAACTCCCTCTGGCCACGCATACAAAAGTGCCTTTCCCCACAAGGAATCTTATGCCAGATATCAACATATTTATCGATTACCCATCTAGCCTTTTCCATTTCCACCTAAGGATCATAGAGCGGTGAGAGACCGAAAGCGAGGCCGCATTTTCTACGGGTCGGCTTATTTACATAACATTTCCTGCTTGCACATGCGTGTCATTGTACTATCAACAAGGTACCAAAGAGGTAGGCATTATATTGCGTGTGGCGTGATAGTACGACCATAATCCGCATTTTGGGATCTCCAAAAAGGGGCCAAGGGGCAAATCTTACAGTCCCCATGCTTCCACCCACGATGCCATATCCCCTTGCTGGATGGCCTGCAGATCTCTTGCCACTTCGCTCGCCGCTAAGAGGTTTTTAATGTCAACGTCAATACTGTCAACTGCGTCCCCACCATTACCATCCAGTAGAGACTCCTTGTAGAAATCCACCAGCTTCAGGGCCGGGTTCTGATGAATCAGATGAGTGCCAGCGCCACTGCCCTCGTCAGCATCCCCACTGTCCTTGCCGCTTCCCTCGACCTTTGCGATCCATTCAGCTGGGGCTAGACGCGCCAAATTCGAGGGTGACACCTCGTCTAGCGCGGGGAGCAAGTCTGACCACTCGCTGGTCTGGGGGTTCACCACGTTGTACAGCACGAACCCGTTACTAGACTTGGTTACGGAGCTGAGTTCACTGACAATCTCGGCCAACTTGTCTACAGGCACCCAGTTGATGTCCATTCTTCCCAGCGTGTCCGGCACGGCGCCGAGAAACTTTGAACTAATGGCCAGAGAAGGGAACCACTCAGCTGGATTCCAACCTCTCCGCTTTCCAGAGATGGGCCCGCAGATCTGACCTACGCGAAGAACTGACACCGGTGACAGGGAGCGCGTCGCGTGGGTCTGCAAGAGGCTCTCGCAGATGTATTTGGCGCGGGCGTAGCCCATGGGTATGAGATCCCGGGCTTGTTCTGGGGTTATGACAGCTTCAGGGATGGTGCTGCCAGCCTTGGAGGACAGGCTAGCTGCTGAGATACTTGAAATAAATAGCACGGCTGGCGCTTTCTCTCCACGTGAGGCCAGCTCCAGCAGGTTCACCAGGGATTGGATGGCGGGTTCGAAGGACGCCACGCTCAGGAGGAAGTTGACAGGGAACGCGTTATGAATAATTGATGTTGTCTCGCTTGAAAGCTTGGCGTACTCTTCGCCCGACAAACCAAGTTGGGGCTCTTGGAGCTTGGCCTGGAGAAACGTAAGGCGACTTTGTTTCTCGTTGCTGGTGACGAAGCTAGCAGCTGCATCAGGTGAAAGTCCATTGACTTGTTGGAGAAATGCCAAGAATTTGGAGCGCGCTGCGGCTACAGGGCTGCGGTTGAGGCAGATGACGTTGACGGAAGGATTGCCCAGTAGAGTAGACAAGATGTATGACCCGAGAGAGCCCGTGGATCCCGTCAGAAGGATGGTCTGTGAGCCGCCATCTTGTTGCTTGGTGCTGGGCGCTGTGTTGAAGCCCTTCACCTTCTCGGTGTACTTGGCGAGCAGCTTTTCCACATCTTCCTTTTCGATATCCTTAGGCGCCGTCTTGGCGTCACTGTTTGTGGTCGAAATAATAGTGGACAGGCTGCTTGCCATCTGCCGGATGGTGGGCTGCGTGTACCAAAGCTTGGGGGTAATTTTCTCCAAGTGGTCATCTGCCACGCCATGTTTCCTCAACGATGCCTTTAGGCGGGCTAGTAAGATAAGAGTGACGAGGGAATTAATACCGAGACTGAGGAGATCGTCGTCAGCGCTTAAGGTGTGGCCCTTGAGAAGGTCAAGGGTTTGAATATGTAGATCAGTCAAAAAGGGGACCAGATCATCGGCTTGGGTCGACTTGATGGGCACGAGTCCACTGAGAAGGAGGCCCTTCTCCACATTATTGTAGAGCTCGTCAATCTCAGGCTCGTACTCGGTGATAGTGAGCCGCCTCTGTATGGTCCCTTTAGGAGACCGCAGAAAAGGCTTATCGGGTTTGGCAATCAATAGCAGTTCTCGAGGCACCCTGCCGAACTTGGGGGCATCATTGTTAGCTTCTTTGACCAGCTGCCAGATCTCCTCGTAAGCCTGGGCTTCGTCTGCAGGGGTCTCGGTCAGCTCGACGAGCATGCACAGACTGAAATGATGAGAACCAGCCACCAGCACGCCTTTAACGTTTGGGGCATTGGACACTTGGTTCTCCATCTCAGTGGGGTCGAATTTAAGGCCATTAGACATGACTACCCAGTTGTCAACTCGTCCACGGTATACCCACCAGCCGTCTTCGCCTACTGGTGCGTACAGGTCCGAAGTTCGATACTCGTGCTCGAGGTGCGGGTACACATGAAAGAAGCCAGAAGAGTCTTCAATCCGTTTGGTTCGTGGGAAGACGAGTTCGTACAGCCCAGCAACCATCTCCTCCATGCGCTGTCCGAGGTCCACAAACTTGAACGTGTTGAAGTGCGAACTGTCTTTGGAAGACTCGAGATGGCATGCGACTCCCTCAGTGCTAGCCATGAGCGGATACAAGTGCTTGCAATGCTTGGCCAGCTCAGCACCACGTGCCGGGGTGATGGGGCCGCCATAGTAGGCCACATGGTCCAGCTTGGAGATGACTTCAAGCGCTGGGGGGTGGGTAAGGAGAGACTCAAGTACCGAGGGGGGCATCACTGTGGAATTACACTCGGCGATCTCTATAATTGTCGTGACATTGGCTGGGGATAGCGGCGTGCCGGGGAACGGAACGACCAGCGTGTTCTTACAGAAAACGGACGCCATCGCGGGGCCCATACCACCCATATGGAACAAAGGGAAAGGCGAGAACACCTGGGTGGCTTTCAGAAGATCTCGCATGAGATTGGTCCCGTTGGGCGCTGAGAACTCATCTTGTAGAAAGGAGGGGATGATGCTTGCGCCTGCATGGGTCCAGTAGATAGGCTTTGGGTGGCCCGATGTCCCTGACGTATGAAGGGCCATGAAGCGCACGTCCTTCACCTCGTCCCATGTTTTATCAAATGGGTAAGGGTCAACGGGGTCCTTGCTGTGCAGGTCCGAATAGCTTAATGCCACCTGAGCATCGGTAATGTCTTCGGTAGCCTTTCTAAGCGGCAGTAGCATGTCAGCCACTTCGGGCGCATATAGAAACTTCTTAACTCCAACCGTCAAGAAAAGTCTACGATTGGCTGGAACTGGATTTGCTAAGGATGGGTAGAGAGCCTGTGTACATATAAGTCAGGCTTGTTAGATGCGTGAAAAGGGAAGATGTGCGACCGAGGGTCAGGTAAAGGACATATTTACACATTTGCCCGTCTTCATAGCTCCAAGTACCCAGATCACGTATCGTAGGTCGCTTGGTCCCATATAGGCGAAGATGTCTTCGGGGCAGTTCTGCTCCAAGAATTTTGCAGCTCGATTGGACGCGTTCTCTAGATCGGCGAAAGTGACATCCTGGACTTTGCCGTCCACAGACACGACCTGGGCATAAGGCCGTGCCTCGGCAACCCGGCTTCTAATGGCATTTGGCCAGAGATGCTCAGTCGATTGCAGCGCCATATTGGTGAGGATGATTAAAGGGGGTCAGAGAGTGAGTCAACAATGTGAAGATTGTGTGAGCAGCTGAGCAAATGCACACAAGTAAGTTGAACGGTTTACAATGGGTTGAGAAAGTCAAGTGGAAGCTGGGACAGGTCTTTTGAAGGCAGACTAATAAATGTCATACAATGGTACTTATAGCCTAAACCAGTTGGTTGCAGTTACTGCGTCACATTTTACGGGAGAGCTATGGGCCCAGGAGCATTGAAGGTAGTATCTCGACCAACAGTTTTTGTAACTACTAAGCGTTGCCAAAGATGGCTATTGCAAACACTCGTACGGATTAAAGGAACAAAATTCAATGTGAATGCAATAGGCAGCTCTGCCATAAGTTCCCTTTTCTTAGGTCGTCTCTTATTAACTAGGGCTTCGACTGTACATAGAGTTGACGAACTGAGTAATGGGAAGCATCCATGTCAATCGGCCCTACCTAAACCCTCCGTTATGCCTCTTGATCTCTTGGTCCTACGCTAAAACCCTTCCTCCGCAACTCCGTTGGTAGTACACAATTTCCCACAATGGCATTGCCATGGGTCCTTCTCGCCGATCAGTGTCACATCGGGCCATCAGCTTGAAGTCTCACAATATGGCCTCATCAGCCAATCAACCTGACGCACGTGGATCCTTCGCTGAGGTATCAGAGCACGGACGCCAGGCCGGTCTATCCGGAGGACCAGCCTCTGAGGGGCAGAATCAGGCTGGCTGATTAGACCCGCAGGTAATATCTAACGCGCTTTGAGGCTTTAGCTGAGTGCCAGCTGCCATACTTCCGGCCCGTGCCGTGATAGCCGGACAAGACCACCGAGGCCTAAAGGGCGCCGGCTTGAAGCTAATCGATACGATGGACCGAGGAGAAGAGGCCAGTCGAAGGCTAAAACATCTCATGATTCAGGATTGCTATAATGGAAGCCTGGCCGGGTCATCACCTCTCAATGCGGTAACTCTGAACAGCATGGGGTTGATTCAGGGAGGCTGAAATGGATGGGCTGTTAGTGTCCCTGACATAACATCGCTCAATGCGACATAACATCGTTCAATGCCGTTCCCCAGCAAAAAATGGATCCATCCAGGGAGGATGAGAAGTACTTGGCATTAACTTGGCATCCCAACGCCATAGCTCCGCAGTGTAACCAACAACACGGCCCACATTGAGTCGTCCCCTGTCCATTACGAATACCGTGAGAGGCCAATAAACGACGTTGATGGCCAAAGGATCCTGTGCAAGCCTCAAGGATCGCAAACTTTAGCGCGATACAACTGCAAGTTGGCCCAGTTTTGCCGCCAGACAGAAATGCCTCTTTCTTCTGGCTTGTGACATGATCAGCACAGTATTAATTGCAGATTAATATACTTAGATAAGAAAGCACTTAGCCCATCTGGTATTGCATTAATTTACCTCTTACTAATAAGTAAGGGGAAATTATCAGTTTCTATCTTCTTATTACAGTGGGCTAGAATAAACCGCCAACGCAAGTAGTTTTAAAGACTTATATCATATAAAACTATTTATTAATCTTATATATCTCTATATCTCTATATAGCTAGGTTTTTCTGAATTATAATATTGATTGCCTTAGCTTATATAAATAAAAAAGTTAAAAAAATAGAGTCGAAGGTTAGGTACAGACTGAAACTTAGTTAAAAATAAATTATATAGATCTAGTTATATATAGCCTGATCTTAGGATATCCCTTATATATAGTAAAAATCTTAAAAAAAAAAATTAAATCTTAATTTTTTTTTTAATTAGTTTTACTATAAATAAAGATATATTCTAAGATCAGATAATATATAACTAGATTATATATATTTTTTAAGAATATAATTAGTAGTTTATATTTAAATCTTTAACTCTATAAGATAAAGTTAGATATTATAATTTTAGTCTGAATATAGATATTAATATCTTAAAAACTCTAATAATAGGAGCTATTTATATAGCTAGATATATAAATAGTCTGGCTATAGCTATAGTCCCTAAGAGAGAAAGCTTATTATCTAATAATAATAACTATTTTTTCTTTCTATTAGAATTTATCTTAATTACTTAATTATTTAAATTATATTATTAATTAATTACTTAATTAATTAATTACTAAATACTTTAAATAGTTATAATATCTAATATAAATATTCTAATCTTTTAGAGCTTATTTAATACTATTAATAAAACTCTTAAAGTAATAATAACTATTATCTAAGATAATCTAATATAACTATTTACTAACTATATTTATTATATATCTTTTTAATTAGTTAAGAATCTGCTTATAGTAATAAAGCTACTTTTAATAGTATAAATCTAGTAGTTATATCTACTTAGTTTATTATTTTACTATATAGCCTACTATTAGTAGCTATTATAAATATTTATAGAGAATTAAGATTAGTTTAAATAAATACTATATCTTAAGAATAATTACTCTCTTATATAAGCTTACTATAGTCTAATATATAATTTATAGTTTTAGTATATTATATACTATATTAAGTTAATAAAAATAGAAATAGCTTTTAAAAATTAATTATTTAAGTTTTATATTAAAATTAATTATTTAAGTTCTATATTATATTTAGTTATATTTAGATTAGAATATTAATTAGATTAGATTAAACTTAGTATTAATATATTAGAATTTATTTTAATTTAATTTAGAATTATATATATTTAGAAATAAAAAAATTAGTTACTTTTAAAATTATAAGTTAATTTATTTCTATAAGTATAATATATATTTACTATTATAGGAAATTTTTATTAGAAATAATATAGATTTAATATTAATTTAATATCTATTTATATATACTTAGTTATACTATATAATAATTAAATCTTAATAGTAAAATATTATATATATATATTATATTATATTTCTTTTACTAAAATAAGATTAGTTTTTAAATATATTCTTTTAAGTAAATAGTAATTATAAATAAAATATTCTATATAGATTTTTATTTTTAAATTATTAATATTCTACTTTTTCTTATAGAATAAATATTTAATAGTTTTAAATATAGTTTTAAATTAATATAAGAAATATTACTAAAGTTTTTTCTAACTTAATAACTTAAAATACTAAAGTATTTTAAAATTAAAATATTGATATAGTAAGATTCAATAAATATAGCCCAGTAATATATACATATCATTATAATTTATTCTGTCGCGTATGGAGTGAGATTGGTAGACTAATGTACATCTACCAGGTAGACACGAACGGGTTATGTTGATATGGAGCTCGGCTTCTTGCAACGGACAGATAGTAGGCAATGAGAGATGGCATAGGACCAGAATTTAGGAACGATCACGTCACATCGTGGTAGGAGGTGTCCACTATCTCTACAGGCCATGTGTCCATGAGGTGTGAAGTCCTGTGTAAGGGCAGAGGGCTTTGATGTGGCCATCTCCGCCTATCCCGTTTATATCCTCCACCTAATCTTTCCAATTTGGTAGCCATCTCTTGGTGTTGGCAGTCCTTACTGACACAAGCCATTTGGTCATAACTTTTGTGGTAAGGCGCCATAGTGGCTATAGCTGTTGTCGAGATGTCTTCAAGTCCGGACACTGCATCTAAGGATGCTTCTCCTCTAATATTCAAACCATTGGCCATCTGTGGCATGTCAACACGCCTCCCTGGCGGAATCAGCTCTCCGGAAGATCTCTGGGAATTCTTGTTGGACAAGCGAGATGCATGTGCTAGGATTCCACCCTCACGATGGGCCACGCATGGGCCACAGGGAAACTCTCCGGGTCAAGATGTAGAGAGTACCGACATCCCGGACACGCCACACTGGAAAACCCACTCGTATATGTTGAACGATATCGACATTGGGGCCTTTGACGCTGGCCTCTTTTCGATGACACGAGCCGAGTTGGGCATGGTAGATCCTCAGCAACGGCTTCTTCTAGAGATCACTCGGTAACTGCCCAATTCCATGGTGAGGGCTAATAAATCGCTGACGACTTGGCAAAGTGAATGTCTCGAGAGCGCTGGGGAGATGCAATGGAGGGGCAAAGACATAGGAGTGTACATCGGTACATTAGGAGAAGACTGGAACGACGTGCAATATCACGACCGGCATGATTTGCATACATACAAGGTCACCGGGACGGGAGATTTTGTACTGTCCAATAGAATCTCCTATGAGTACGATCTCCGGGGACCCAGGTACATGAATAATCCTGTGAATGCGCATCGCTTCTGGTAACTAATGAACAACACTAGCCTGACAGTGAGGACAGCTTGCTCTTCATCTTTATACGGCCTGGATCTGGCCTGTCAGGCGATTCACTCAGGCCAGGCATCCAGCGCCCTAGTTGGTGGTGTAAACCTAATGACAAATCCTGCCAGTCAGTTTGAACTGCTCGACTTGGGAGTCTGCTGATATGAGGCTGATGGCTTTTCAAAACAATACAGAAACCGAGACAATGATGCACTTCGGAGTACTCAGCAAAGGTGTCTCGTCCAAGTCATTTGATGCCGACGCTGACGGTTATGCCCGCGGGGAAGCCGTGTCCATGATCTATATCAAGAGGCTAGAGGACGCGATTCGCGATGGCAACCCAATTAGAGCTGTGATCCGATCCGCGGTAAGTAATGCAGATGGGAAGACCTCAGGCCTAACGAAACCAAGCGGTGCAATCCATGAATCTCTCATACGCTCCGCATATCGTGCTGCCGGTCTTGAAAGAGAGATAGGGCGTACAGGGTTCTTCGAGTGCCACGCGACTGGTACCTCGAGTGGAGATCCCCAGGAAGCTGGCGCGGTCGGCAGAATCTTTAAAGCCCACGGCGGTATTTACATGGGATCTATAAAGGTGCGTGAAGAGTGTAATGTCCCATGTCTCAAGGCGCAGCAGGAGTGAGCTGACGGTCATTTTATTAGCCTAACCTCGGCCATGCCGAAGGTGCCTCGGGACTTAGTTCGCTGATGAAGTGCGTTATGGCCTTGGAAAACAGGACGATACCACCCAACATCAAGCTGAATAAACCTAATCCGAACAGTAAGTGAACCTTTATCTCTTCTATTCAAACTCCAATTTGATATCGAGTCACTGACTTAACTGATCACTTGCTATAAATAGTACCGTTTAAAAGGGCTGGTCTGCGTGTTCCCCTGGACGCCCTCCCGTGGCCAGAGGACCGCTGCGAACGCGCGAGCATCAACTCATTTGGCGTTGGGGGATCCAACTCTCATGTCATTCTCGAATCTGTCGCCTCTTTTGGGGTGCCATCGAGTGCTTCTGTGACCTCAAACGGGGTTCGTCCTACCACAAATGGAGTTCATTCTGCCACAAATGGAGTTCATTCTGCCACAAATGGAGTTCATCCTGCTGCAAATGGCGTTCATCCCACCACGAACGGCCATTCTAAAACCAATGGAACACACGCTACTATTGATGGAGAACATACTCCGGCTGACGGAAGTTTTGCTGTTACAAACGGGGCAACTGTTGGGAAGAATGTCCAAACCAAAGCTCAGCGACTTGTACCGTTCACGGCAAATGATGCCGATTCAGCCCGCCAAGGCGCCGTCAAGCTCAGCAGCTTCCTTGCCAGCCACCCGGACCAGTTAGATGATGCCGCCTACACGATTGGGATGCGGAGGCAACATTTTCCATATCGTTCTTTTGCTGTGATGAACAAGGAAGATGCTGCCGGCAAGGTGACGTTTTCAGCCCCTGTACGAGCCTCCTCAATGCAACGCACAGTTGTATTTGTCTTTACCGGACAAGGGTCCCAGTGGCCCACGATGGGGTCCGCACTGCTCTCGGACTATCACACAGCCATGGAGGATGTTCTGCATATGGACAAGGCGCTGGCTTCACTAGGCCAAGATGTCGCCCCTACGTGGACTCTGGCAGGTAAGAATTCTCTATTTGAGTTGGTTGATTCGTTGTTTCATCGCCGTCGAATCCTGAAGGTTGCTAATTAGACTCAACCGCTGTAATAGAGCAACTGAGGCTGCCCAAGGAGACTAGTCAAGTATACAAGGCAGACTTCTCCCAGCCCCTGTGTACAGCTATCCAAATCATCATAGTCAATCTTCTGCGGAGCTGGGGCATCGAATGCGCCGCCGTCATCGGGCATTCTAGTGGGGAGATCGCGGCCACCTACGCGGCTGGGGCTCTGAGCATGGACGAAGCCATCATCTGTGCCTATTTGCGTGGAAGAGCCACGGTCAAGTACCGGACCAAGATGCCACAAGGAGGAGGCGGTATGGCGGCTATTGGTCTTGGGTCGAAGCAAGTTCAGAAATACTTGGTTGATGGGGTTGTGGTCGCTTGTGAAAACAGTCCGTTGAGCACCACGATATCAGGAGATAATGACAAGTTGACCGAGGTCCTTGATGCCATTAAAAAGGACCAACCCGATGTGTTCGCTAGGTGCCTCGCGGTAGATATGGCCTACCACTCTCGTAAGACACTTGCCTCATTTTCTTCTTGCCATCCACTTACCTTTGTTCTCTGGGCACTGGCTAACGAAGACCATCTTGGGTGGCAATCCAGATCATATGAAGCTGATTGGCTCGGATTATGAGAAGGATCTTGCACCACACATACAGAGCAAATGGCCATTAGTTAAGTTCCTTTCTACAGTTACCAATGAAGTGATAGATGTAGACGGTGCGCTCGGTGCTGCATACTGGCGATCTAATCTGGAATCTCCTGTCCTCTTCAACACAGGACTGAAAACTCTTCTGCAGCAGACGGGAGGCAATACCGTCTTGATCGAAATAGGACCGCACTCTGCACTTTCAGGGCCCATCCGACAGATACTCAATGAAACATACAGCAAATCGCCCCCTCTATACGTTCCTACACTGATTCGCTCCGAGAACGAAAGCAAGGCACTGCTCAACACGGCTGGTCAGCTCTTCTGTCAAGGCCAGAGGCTACGCTTCGATGCCATCAACCCCACCGGCCATGTTCTCCCCACATTGCCCACCTACCCGTGGAATCACAGTACTAGTTACTGGTACGAGAGCCGCGTTTCGCGTGAGTATCGGGGTCGTCGCTATGCCCACCACCCCATCATCGGTAGCCGAGTGGCCGAAGCCAGTTCATTGGAGCCTCTCTGGCGCAACTGGCTCCGGATCGAGGACATCGAATGGTGTCAGGACCATAGGATTGGTAGTGATGTCGTGTTTCCGGGAACTGGTTATCTGGCAATGGCAGGCGAGGCCTTGCGACAACTCTGCCCAGAGGCTAAAGATATCTCTTTCCGGCAGGTGACCATTTTGTCGGCGCTGGTTCTGGGAGGAACCGAGGCTACGGAAACTCTTCTGTCAATGCGTCGGCACAAGGTAACCAACCTCCTAGACTCGGCATGGTGGGAATTCAGCATCTCGTCCTACAACGAGACATCGCAGCTGTGGAACAAGCACGCTTTCGGCCAGGTCCGAGACGGCAGAAACGAGAGCGACGATGGTCGTGATCAGACTATCGTCCACCTTCCACATGAGGTTGAGTCGGGATACTGGTACAACACAATGCGAAGCGTGGGACAAAACTACGGACCGCGATTCCAGAGGCTCGATCGCATTTCAACCCATCTTCTCGACAACAAGGCTGTGGCCGACCTCAAACCAGACGAGACGGACCCTAACTACCTGTTCTTGCACCCGGCGACTTCAGATGCCTGTATGCAGCTCTTCTCGGCCGCCATGGCTCACGGCCAGGCCCGTTCCTTGCACGTGAAGGCGGTTCCCACGTACATTGGCGAGGCTTACTTCAAGAAGATGAGTGCCCACAACGGGAGCAAGATAACGGTCGGAGCATCTATCAACAACCAGATACCCGGATCGCCAATGGTTGGCACTTGTGTTGCAGTAGACGCGGCTAACGCGGTGGTGCTCCGCCTCAAGGATGTGAAACTGACACCACTGGATGAGGGGGACAATGATGCCATAACTCAGCAACAACAGCAACAACAGGTCCCCAATGGCAGCCAGGATCCTCATGCCGGTGCCCGGCTACGGTGGCGGCCCGACTTTGACTTTCAAGATGCCAGCCAACTCATACGATCCCAATCCGCCTCAAACGGCATGGCTGTACGAAAGCAAGCTTACTACGTTCTCCAGAAACTTTTGCTCTTGTGCTGCTTAACGGCCCAATACCAATATGTGCAGATTCAACCCTCTAAGCCATATTTGGCTGAGTTCCAGAAGTGGATGACTCAACAAGCGAGTCAAGTTAGGGATGCATGTGTCCAGGTCGGGGATAGAGACGATGACATTGTATACCCGCTGGTGAAGCGCCGTGAATCAGAGGAATTTCTCGGGCTTAATGAGGAACAGCGGGCTACTCTTATTAAAGAATTGGTTGAAAATCTGCGTGAGACAGAATATGGCCATGTCGGCAAACTCATTCACCGGGTATACCTTGGCCTCGGGGACTTGTTGAATGGTCGCCGCGATGGTCTAGAGATTCTCCGCCAGGAAGAAAAAGAACAAGGTGTTGACCATGAGGGAGGCGAGGAAGAGGAAGACCCGTTCACGAGCATCTATAACATCAGCAACCAAGGATGGAACTACGCTCCTTTCCTCGAGCTCCTGAGCCACCGCACTCCCCATCTCCGAATCCTGGAGATCGGCGCCGGCACGGGCGGTACTACAGATCTGATTCTCCGCCAGCTTGATCGTGGTGCTGGAGAAAACAGCATGAGCACAGCCTTCTACTCGTACACATACACGGATGTGTCGGCGGGTTTCTTCCCCGCGGCGATGCGACGATTCCCTCGCCATCGCTATCCCAACATACGCTTCCAAACTCTAGATATTACCTCGGATCCCGTGACTCAAGGCTTTGCACCCGCATCATTCGACCTCATCATAGCAGCCAATGTCCTCCACGCCACGCCAGAGCTCGGCCGCACCCTGTCCCACGTGCGGAAGCTTCTACGTCCAGACGGCCGGCTTCTACTACAGGAGATCAGCATGGAGGCCCGTTGGGTCAACCTTATCATGGGCGTTCTGCCTGGATGGTGGCTTGGCGGCGACGATGGACGCAAGGAGGAGCCGTATGTGGCTCCAGCGCGATGGGCCGAAGAGCTACGCAAAGTCGGCTTCTCGAACACTTCGATCGTTCTGGACGTGGACGAAGAGCCGTTCCAGGCCAACGCCACTATCGTCGCGGCTCCTGCTGAGCCTGATGTCCTGCATGCCAATGGCGACTTGACGTCCTCTGTCTCCCTGCTTTGCCGACAACCAGACGGCGACGTGGCCAAAAGAGCATCCGACGCGTTGCAGAAACTAGGGCTGCACGTCGATGTCATTAATCTTTCAGATACGCCACGCGGCAAAACGGTGATATCCATCCTGGATATTGAAGAGGAGAAGAAGGCCTTCATCCGGGACGACACGCCCGCGGAAGCATACAGCCAGGTTCGAGACTTTATATCCACCAAGATCACGCCTCCAGAAGCCGGTGGCTGCTTGCTATGGCTGACGAGGCCGAGCCAACTGCATTGCACCGACCCGCAGTATGCCGCCATCGTAGGCTTGTTGCGCGTGGTTCGCAATGAAACTGGGCTCGCCCTCTGTACACTGGAGATGGAGCAGGAAGAAGGTGATTCGGATGCGTCCTGGAAGTCTGTCGTCGATGTGTATCACAAGATCCTGCGTACTCGTAGCAGCACGCAACCCCAGGATGACATGGCGAGCCCAGACTGCGAGTTTGCTTACCGCCGGGGCAGCATCTACCTTCCACGCTTCCATTGGGTTTCTGTGTCCGATGAACTGGTCGCTGCCGACCTCCAGAGCCCCAACAAGCCTACCGACAAGGTAAATGGACATCTACTAGAACAAGAGCAACAACGGACGTATAAACTTCTCGAAATCGGTAAACGCGGCTCACTAGAATCCCTCCACTGGACAGAAAACCGCCTGCCCCTCCCCTCGGAGCTCGCATCTGACGAAGTCATCCTCTCCATCCGTGCCGTAGGGCTCAATTTCAAAGACACCCTCACAGCCATGGGACTGATCCCCAGCATCGCCAAAGCTGGAGACGGGTTCGGCGTAGAATGCTCCGGTGTAGTCCTCGCCGCAGGCCCTCTTGCATCGGAAACCTTCTCCGTCGGTGACCGCATCATGGCCGTCTCGCGGAATGCATATGCCACTGCGACTGTTGTGCGGGCCACAAACTGCGTTCGGATCCCCGACGAACTGAGCTTCGAGGACGCCGCCACCATGCCCTGCGTGTATCCCACTGCCATCCACGCAATCATCAACCTGGCAAGGCTGGAAAAGGGTCAGACGGTACTGATTCACTCGGCCTGCGGCGCCGTGGGGCTCGCAGCTATGTACATCTGCCTCAACGTTGTGGGAGTGCCCATATCCGATATTTATGCTACCGCCAGCAGTTCCGAGAAGACTGAGTTCCTGACGTCTACCTTCGGCTTGTCTCCATCGCACATCTTCCACTCCCGCAGCGCCGCTTTCCTCCCAGGGATTCTCCGCGCTACCGAGAACCGTGGCGTAGATCTTGTGCTTAACTCCCTGTCTGGGCCTCTACTCCACGCGAGCTGGTCATGCGTCGCAGAATTCGGGAGTATGGTGGAGCTAGGGAAGCGCGATTTTCTAGACGGGGGAAAGCTGGAGATGGCGCCTTTTGAAGGGAACAGGACTTTCTACGGGCTAGAGCTAGTGCCGATCATAGAGCAGAGGACAGCTCTGTTTCGGAAGTTGCTAACTGATCAGATGATGGGGTGGCATAAGGAAGGGCTGCTGCCCCCTATTGGGCCAGTGACGAGGTTTGAGGCGGGCGAGGTGGTGAGTGCTATCAGGAAGATGCAGAGTGGCAACCATATCGGCAAGCTGGTGGTTCGGATGTCGGATGATGGAAGAGGGGATCATGGTGAGCTTGTTACAAGTTCTGGATCGAGGACGAGCACGACAGCAAGTGGAGAAGGAAAGCAGCTGTTCCGGGAAAACGCCACTTATCTCCTAGTTGGAGGGCTTGGAGGTCTGGGACGGTCCATCGCTTTCTGGATGGTGCAGAACGGGGCACGCCACTTTGTGTTCCTGTCCCGCAGCGGAGGAGCCAAGCCAGAGGTTACCGCGCTGGTACGTTCGCTCCAAGGAGCTGGCTGCACAGTCGAGGTTGTGGCCGGAAGTGTCACGAACCTAGACGACGTCTCCCGCGCCTTCGGTCAGGCTCGTCTGCCTGTGGCTGGGGTTCTTCAGCTGTCCATGGTGTTGCGGGACGGGCTCTTCGCCAATATGCCCCACGAAGACTGGGTAGCTGCCACGGGTCCCAAGATTAAAGGCACCTGGAACCTGTACCACGCCCTCTCAGCTTCTCAGCAGTCGTTGGACTTCTTCGTACTGTTTAGCTCCTTCGCTGGCGTCATTGGATCTCGAGGACAGGCTAATTACAGCGCAGCCAACGTGTTTTTGGACGCGTTTACGCAGTATGGCCGAAGCCAGGGCCTACCGGTAGCGGTTCTCGATGTAGGTTCCGTCGCTGACGTTGGCTTCGTGGCCGAGCAGCCGGACTTGCTCAAGTTCTTCAAGACGACATCTCACCACATCCTGCGGGAGCAGCACGTGCTGGATGCTCTGGAATTGGCTGTTCGTCAACAGCAATGCTTCCGGAAACCACTGGCCAACGGTGTGGCACCACATGCGATCGAGGATGAAAGCTTCGTGTCCGACGCCCAGCTCGTCCTGGCCCTGCGATCCACCATCCCGCTGTCGATGCCAAACAACCGGAATGTCTGGACGCGCGACCCCCGCATGAGCCTGTATCGCAACCTTGAAGCGGCGGCTGCAGACCATGATGACGACGGTGCTAGCAACGACAAGAAGGAAGAGGGAGAGGACGCTGTTGTTCGGAAACTGCTCAACACGATTGAAACGAACCCGTCTGTCCTCACCGATGATGAGACTTTCATTGTCAGCTTGGCCCGCAGCATCACAATTGCGGTCTACAGCTTCATGATGAAGCCTTACATCGAGGACGAGGTGGATATGAAGGTGGAGCTCACCGCGCTTGGATTTGATTCTCTGGTGGCGATTGAGCTTCGTAACTGGCTCCGACAGCGTCTGAAGCTTGAAGTGACCGTCTTGGAGATTATGCGCAGTGGCAGTCTGATTGGATTGGCGAGATTTGGAGCTCGCAAATGGTCGTCGGCAGTTTCTAAGTAAGGCGTCAATATAGTTAATTTAGCTGGCCCAATACGATGGGCGCAGGTGTGTATCCCCTGCAAACTCGGAGGAACCTTGCCAGGAGAAAGCGAATGCGAGTCAAAGATGACAAAGGATTTTGATTGTGCGGGTTCAAGTTAGTGATGGACCGGATTTGGCGACTCTCAAATCCGCGGGATTGAAGCTCGGCTCGGCATTGGATCACAAACTCGCGGGATTCAGAAGGTATCATGATTCATCGCGCTATACAAACACTATGACGCCCTCATCTTATATAATTAGTATTCTCGTCCAAATGTCAACTCTTTTACCGTCAATATCATCAACATAATCATCACCATCATCTCAACAATCAGTACCCAGCCAGTTTCAGGCACTTCAACCATAATCTACATCTCAAATCCTCTTCTCAAGAACTTAACCCAATAAAGCAATGTCTCTCGGCGGTCTCAAAAGTTTGGCTCTCCAGGCGTTTTCGCCAAAACCTACCATCACGGAGAAGAATATACCCGATTTAACGGGAAAGGCAGGTACCCTCTTCATGTCCATTTCAGCCAGCCTCCTAACAAATGCAACATAGGTCTGCCTTGTCACTGGTTCCAACACTGGTATTGGTAAAGAGATTGCACAGATTCTGTACGCAAACAATGCCAAGGTTTACCTCGCCGCGCGGTCGGAGGAGAAGACACAGAAGGCCATGGATAGCATAAAGGTTGCGGTTCCCAAAAGCACCGGCAGCCTGGAATTTATCCGACTTGACCTGGCCGACCTCACAACTATCAAAAAATCAGCAGAAGAATTCCTAGCCAAGGAAAACGAACTACACCTTCTTTTCAACAATGCAGGTCTAGGATGGCCCGAGCCCGGCTCTAAGACGGTCCAGGGCCATGAGCTGCAAATGGGTGTGAACTGCCTCGGACCCTTCCTATTCACAAAGTTCCTTACTCCCACTCTCATTGGAACAGCCAAAAACTCTCCTAAAGAGAGCGTTCGTATTATTTGGTCTTCTTCATCGGCTTGCGATGGTTTGGTTGTCGATAATACGTTTATGGATTACGTGGAACACCCTGAGAAAAAGACAGTCCACCAGCTATATTGCACAAGCAAGATCGGCAACTACTTTTACGGTGTAGAGTATGCGGCTCGCCACAAGGCTGATGGGGTGATGTCGATCTCTTTGAACCCCGGCCATCTAGATTCTGACCTCTGGCGCACCCAGGGTGCTCTCAAGCACTGGGTCCTCCGGAAGACTGTTTTGCATCCAGTCGTTTACGGCGCATATACAAACCTCTTTGCAGCATTTTCCTCCAAGCTGACAATGGAAAACAATGGAACGTTTGGTAAGGGCTTTCAAGACCCAAGCTACTGGTGTATGGCATAGCTAACTTATGGTTTCCTTGTAGTGGCTCCCTGGGGGAGAATATGGCAGATGACGTCTGACAAAGTCAAGGCGGTGATTCCAAAGGAAGAAGGAGGTTTTGGAACTTCGGCTGAATTTTTGGATTGGACAGAAGCCCAAGTCAAACCATACGTTTGAAGGGGCGGTCTTCGCAGAATCACTCACATTTTCATTGGTCATAATTTCTAAGTATTCTAAGCAACTGATAGTAGTAATATCCTCATCTATTCATAGTGTTTTCTGATTATATGAGATTGAACAATGAAGGTGACCGCGGAAACCGCGAATATAAAGGTATATTCCGATATGACGCTTTGATGGGACCGACTTCCTTTTCGACGTACCACTACCTACTAGGTACAGTTCCCTCTCAACTATATAGGTGTTTTTGAACTCGAATTGATTCTTGAATGCCTTATAGAACGTGTACTTTTGATAGCTCTCGTACCATAATGCACGTGCATATTTTTACGTGCGTGTTCATCATCTAGCCAACAGCCCTAGGGTAGCTCATTGAATATTGTGCAGCAGCCAAAAATAACTCAATTGACATGGATAAGTGGATCGGTACATGGAAAAATACGTGCTTATTTTGGCACCGGCAAATCCGCTGTTGGTCCGATGAGCAGACAAGGGCAGGGTTTGAGGAATGGATGAGAGGAAGTGCGAGATCGGATCACTTGAAGTGGCAACATCAGAATAGCTCTCACCGTAGTACTGGAGGTCTATGTTGATACGTTCGGTATTTTCTTTCCTTTCCCGTCACCTTGCCTCACGCCTCACGCCACACTCTTCACTGCCACAGCAGCTTCGGACTTGATTCATCTCGTCGAATGCGAGCAAGTGGATATACTGTGGCTTCGGATCATGTGCTGACTGCATCGAGGCTGTGCCTCACTAGGCATCCAAACGGCTCCACCGCTTCTGCCTCCTGCAACCACGAATAATAACTGCACCAGCTGTGAATTGACGTTACCTCTAGCCTGGCCGTTCAATTCCGTGAATCTTCATGCCTTCATTCCAACATGGAAAGCAGTAGCCATCTGGCAATGGACGTCGTCCTGCCAGCTTTTGATTTCCAGCCCTTCGAGTACACCGACATTTCATCAAATGAGATTCGTCTTCTTTCCTTTGTTGAACGGCACGGCCAGCCAGAAAGCTATAAACTAGGCAGCATCCCGTTGATTGAATGCACGCTAGAGACTGTCGATTTCTACACCAGCCCGGCATACGAAGTGCTGTCACACGCCACTGGCAATCCACTCGCTGTGCAGCCAGACTCCAACGATGAGTACGGGGATGCATGCAAATGGCCCGTAGCTGTCAACGGCCGGCTGCTCTATGTGTCTAGGAACTTGTATGAGGGACTGTCGCGTGTTAGACAGCTTCGGCATAACTCGAACGTCACAGCGGACGAAGAGACGCGGTACAAGCACGACAAGACGCGGTTGATAAAAGCCGCAGAGCAGGGTATGCTCGACGAGGTTCTCGACTGTCTGCGCTCCGGCGCCCATCTCTATGCCAAAGATGAGTTTGGGAAAACGGCACTCCACTACGCTGCTGAGAATGGCCGGCTTGAGATGGTTAGATCCTTGCTCGAGCATGGTGCGAGTTTAGATGACCTTGACAAGAGCCACCGTACCCCATTTGCGTGCTGTGTGCAACAACGACGCGGAGAGTACGAAGAGGTGGCCGCACTGCTACTTAGCTGGAAGGGAGAAGACCGCGGAGACCCTGCAAGAAAGATGGGGGATCCGTTGTGGATTGAAGCACTGTGTGTTGACCAGAGTAACGTGGAAGAACGCAATGTCCAAACCGCCATGATGACACAAATCTTATCCCAAGCCAGGATGGTTATAGGCTGGCTTGGAGTGGATGATGCCACTACATCTACAGCTTACAAGCTCATGATGGAGTGCGACAGCATAAGGCCGTCCATCGTCTACTATCTCCAGTATAAGTGGGATACGGGTGTAGATCAGGAGATGGAGATAGATTCAGAGTCAGATACTTCTTTGCTCTCTACCCGCGAGGTCCAGGCCATCATGACTTTACTCGAGCGCTCTTGGTTCCGACAGACCAGTGCTTCCCAAGAACTCGCAATGGCAAAAGATGTTGCTCTTTATTGCGGACCCTATACTTTTAGCTGGACTGATGCTTCGATGCTCCTAAGAATTATCAAGAGCAGCGACAACGCCGTCCAGAAACGAAAACTCGCATCCATCACAGCGGAGAGTCAATCGAGTGCCTTGACATTACGGGGGAAGAGGACACAATCGTGGACCAACCTTGTGGAAGATAACGTAAGGCCTCATAAAAGGGTGTCTCTTCAAAAATTTCAAACAAGTTAGATTTTAAATTAATTCTAGAATTGTTGCTGCAAGATATTATTGTAAGAGATACATCTAGGGTTTCTCACTCTACTGTCTATATTATGTTTCGCTCAACTTTCTACTTAAGTGAAGAAGTAACAGGCTAGGTTCAGTCATGGGCCGTGAGGAGGAGTTAATATCATGCCAAAGAATATGCCAAAGTGAAATAATTTCGGGTCTACACAATATGAGTGATCAAGACCGAGATCACCACAATGGATTTAATGCTAATACTTTTGGAAACGTGACGAACGAATTCTCTACTATCTATGCAATAGCACTATGCAGTTAAAATAGCAGAAAAAGCTTCGAGGGATAGCAGTACAGCCATATAAATCTGATCCCACATTCGCACGTTCCCACGTACCGAGTTCTTCTAGTAGTTGCCAAAAGTCACATGCAAACCAAGCATAGAAAGCATCGTGATCAACAAGGTCAAGCTAGGCAGGCTGGAGGAAGCGGCTGAGTCATCGGCAGCATTGTCGGAAGAGTCTGTTCCGGTAGAGTTCGACGCATTGCACGTTTTCCCTGTTTCCGGAAGCGCCTCGAACGATGATGTGATGGAAGTTGACGCAAACCTCTCTGCCTCAGGCTTGGTACTGTCTGAGCAGAAACCTACAACTCCTGTCAATCCATCTCTAGTTGAATTGCCCAAGTCGAATTCTGAGCACATCATGATAGTGTTGGCTGGGTAGTAGTCAACCCAGGAAAAACACATTTCTTGTTGGCTTGAAAGGCCACCCTTCACTGGTTCAGTGTCGCCTGTAGTCTCGAACTCGCAGGTGGTAATAAGTTTATCTCCAGGCAGCAGTTTTATCTGATTCAAGCCTTTGGAGAACTGGTACCCGTAGTCAAAGTGGCGAAGTTCCGACAGCGGAGCAAGCTCCTTGCCGTCCCGAATGATCTGGACACGCGCGTTACGACCGCGATAGTGCATGTGGTGGAATACAGAGAAAGCCGTGATACCTTCCTCAGGCCAGTTGCTTGTGCATTCAGGCGTGCACACTCTTGAAACTGCGACCAACTCCTTGCCGGGCTCGAGGGTGAAGCGATTGCCCACGTCGCCGAGGGTTAAACTGCCGACCTCAGTCTTTACGGGTTGGTCGGTGTAGATGAAGCTAAAGCTAGCAGCGTCCTTTTGACCGTCGATGCCGTCAGGATTGTTGTAGTGTGTCTCTAGCATGACGTATTCGTAGTAGTCCTCCCCGAATGGTTTGCCGTACCCTGGCTCGAACGTGCGGCCGGACATTCCAGGGGACCATTCTGTGACGAATCCATTGCAAGGATTCGAGAAGTCGTCGGAACAAACAGCATCCTTGCCAACCATTTCTTTGTCCTGGTCGGTGATGCCGTAGCATGCATAGAGAACCAAGTGATGCAAAAAGTCACTCGACCTCTCGGGCCGCTCGCCAAGTATATAATTCTTTTTACCAGAAGGCATCTTGTGCATAGTGTAGCAGTAGGTAGTTTCCGCAGTAGGGATGGCAACTTCAGACTGTGTGAGTGTGAAGTTCTTGGCGTTGTCGACGGGTCGGATTTCGTTCACCGAGATGGTCTCCCCTGTGCCCAACTTGACATACGTCTTGCCCTTGTTGCCAGCCTTGTGCTGGGCAAAGGTGTTGTCGTCGGAAAAGGCGTAGATGAACCATTGCCACGCTTCTGTATTGACATTGGCTTGCTCTGCCAGGCAATCGGCGACATTCTTCTTCTCGAAAACGAATGCCGTGACGCCATCTTGCTGATGGCCTTCCTTGAGTCGCATATTATTCTGCTGATCCGCGGAAAGCTCTGGAGACACAAAGCCGGCCGCAAAGCGATTTTCGAATTTGAATTCACCGTTGTCCATGGAGCCGACGGCTATATCGGCGCCCGTCATTGCTCCAGTCTCGCTGAACCCGAGGGCAAGGTAACCGCTTGACCGAGAAGCAATTCCGTAGGTCGAGTACTCGTCTCCGATTTTCCAGAACAGCTGAACGTCACCCTTTGTATCAAGGGTAGCATTGCCGCTGAACTGAGTTAGGTCCATTGGAATCCAGCTAGTGTCACTGCTCGCCGCGTTTACCAACACCGGCATTCCCAAGGGGAACATCAGCAGAGGCAAAGCGGAAAGGGAGACAGAAATCCCTGCATGGATGTACCGGGATAGCAGCATCTTCAACGAGATCCCTAGGTTGGGAAGCAGCCGCTGGAAGGATGATGCAAATCCAAGCGCGAAATAGAATAAACAAAGAGAACTTGTCTCAGTAGAATAGAAGATTTAGGAGTAGGCAAAGTTCTATGAGGATAAGGGAGTGATGATGATTCTCTTTTCTTCGACCACCTAGGATATGCCGAGCTCGCGCTTTATAGAATTTTCTCTACCATCCTCAATGCCGTGTCAGTTTCTCCTCAATGCCGTGACACTTTCTATATCCAGAAACGATCATCATCGGGTACCGCTTCCCATGGGCATTATGATAAACGAAAACCATTTCCGTTATCACAAGGATTGCCGTTCTCCAATGAGATTCCCCTCTCAGGTTGAAATTTCCGGCTTGTTTTGGATCCTGTGAGATACGAGGTGTCCTAGCTAGGGAAGCCTAGATGGAATACTACATTGCAGGCTTGTAAACCAGCAATCGGGCTGTAGATCTACCCGAGCCAAGATAATCAGAGCTATTCTGCGCCCTCCAATGACGCGTCCCCTAATTCAAAGCCCATGGATGGTCGTCCAAATGCCGCTTTGTAATTACACCGATTCGTCAATACTTTCCCCCTGAAGAATCTCGGAGTGGGGGTGGGTTGGGTCAGGCAAGTATGCTTACTTCCGTTGCCGAACCTTGTTCATATATATGGAGAGTCTAAGAGTCCTACTGCTCCAAGACAAACCTATTTGCATCAAAACAAGATTTCGAAAACACACATTTCCTATTCCCGCTCATATTCACACTCCTTACGTTTCCCATCTTCTCAGCGGTCGATATGAATACAAAGAATTTCTGGTTTTTGATGACTCTAGGTATGTTGATCCACAACTATTGGATTCAACAATAATTACTTCCCGACATATTCATTCATGCAATTTGCCAAATCTAACTCTATGTCTTCTCTATTTTAGGTGTTTATCAGGTCTCCTCCTCGCCAATATCTTTTTGCCCTGATAACTCTGACGTCTGTTTCCAATGGGCTGTCCCCGAAGCCGGAAACGAGAACATATATTTTCAAATCGATGCCCCGACATCATACCAGTGGATCGGACTGGGAATAGGCAAGCAGATGGCTGGCGCTGCCATGTTCTTGGTCTATGAAGACGGTCAGGGAAATGTCACTGTTAGCAACCGCAACGGAAAGGGTCACTCCATGCCCCTTTTCGGAGATCAAGATAGCATTTCCTTGCTCGATGGTTCTGGCGTCAAAGATGGTCGAATGGTTGCCAATGTTCTCTATAAGAACTCTGGAAAGCTTGATCTTTCAGGTTCTAGCGACTGGATCATGGCCAAGAAACAAGGTGCATCATTGGCCTCGGTAGATCCGGACGAGTCGATCACTGTTCATGATTCACACTCTGCCTTCAGCATCAACCTCGCCCAAGCATCTGTTGCGTTGGACTCTAATCCGTTTTCTGAAAACAACAATAACGAAAACGGTGTCTCTGGTGGAGATGCCACAGGAGTGACAGAGGCAAACAGCAATCCCAACAACAATCTCATCCTAGCACACGGCGTTATCTTGACCGTTGTTTTCGTTGCCGTATACCCACTTGGCTCCTTGCTGATGCCCTGGCTTGGCAAGTGGTATATTCATGCTGCCTGGCAAATGGTTGGGTTCTTGGCCATGTGGGCAGGCTTCGGTATCGGATACGTGGTTTCCAGCGACCTTGACATTGTAAGACACCAGACCAAGTACAATCTCTTCCCTTGACAAGAAGCTGAGCTGACATATGGCTATCTAGTTCTTTGACCAAACTCACACTCGTTTGGGTGTTGTCGTCGTGGCCTTGCTCGGCATGCAGCCCATCCTTGGACTTCTTCATCATATGCAGTACCGTCGACAGGGGAGGCGTGGTGCCTTCGGCCATGTCCACATATGGTATGGTCGTGCGCTGATAATAATGGGTATGGTTAATGGTGGACTCGGACTGCAACTGACTGGCGCTTCCGACGTTTATATCATTGTGTATTCCGTAGTTGCAGGTGTCTCTGCGCTCCTGTACGCTGGGTACTCTACCTTTAAAGCCATCAAGACGGAGAAGAAGAAATAAGTGGGATTGGCTGGCTTGAAGGGTATTGCTCGTTCGGAATGGTATTGAAACATGTTCGTGCGAAGCATTAGAGTTGTTACATGTAGATAGTATGGGCGCAAAGGATTTTGCTTAATATGTTTACTGAGTTGAGATGCTAGGCATGCAGCGTTACCTCAGTATGTAGCTTAGCTTCGCGATATATAGCTCGAATTTCCATTTGTCTATGACAACCAAAAAAAGTTTCTGCCTGGCTATATGGGACCACAGATGGAGCGTAGTGGGACTTCCAAGGAACCTGATCGGTGGTTGCTACTACGAGCTCCCCCTAGTCCAAGGGAAATTCATGATGCTGTCGACGTTGAAACTTCGTGCGATGTGGAAAACTCCTTCACGGCCGAGCAGCGCGGAAATACAAGAATTGCTCAAGCGCATCCGACAAGTGGTGCAAGGTCACGCAGATTTGGACTTCCTCAAGTCAAGGTGCTACCAGCACCCTCCCGTTGCATCGCATCGCCACACCACTACCGCTCGACCAGTTCTTTTCCTCTTCAAGGCTTCAACCCGTATGCCAAAAGGATATGTTTAGCCGCTCTGTCTCCGCTCGCCCAAGCTCCCGTTGTTGTGCCTATGTCCCTTGGAGCATTGGTGTGCTCTCCAGCAAACCATATGCCGCGGTCATGGCCCATGAGGTTATGCCCCAACTTTCCTTTTCCTCCACCTGTCCTCAGCATTCTAAAGTCTTCCTCCGCGTTGCTCTGCGTAACTCGTGCATTGGAATAACTTCCATATGCAAAAGGATCGTTGAGCCACTGTGAGGCCAGGAATGATGCGGGTCGGCAGGTATCCGCGTCATAGTTAGGCAGGAGAGAATAGAATGGTTCTGTAAATTCCCGAAGGACCTCATTGTACAACTCCGAATGAGGTTCCTTGCCTTTTAGAATAGGCATAAGCCTGTGTGTGAGCGGCGGGCAAATGTAGAAGAGCAGGGTAGGATGCCCATTTCCGCTCGGCAAACTCGAAAGGCTGACGACCATCTGAGTCCAGGAACCTAATTCAGGCCCGTACGGGTGGTTCCGAGGGCTCAAAAAATTCCACTCGCTCAAGGCTGGAGGCCTCGTGCCCTTTCGCTCGGGTGGATCCCAAAAAGGAGTTGGGAAGCTAACCAGAATCTTCTCCAGGTCTCCAAATCCGATGGCGTCGACGGCCTTCTCCATCTGAGGGGGGAGCCGGGGGTTGAAGACATCCTTGTTCCGCTGCAGCCAACCGATGGGGCAGGTCATAACCACTTCGTCAAAGGTTTCAACTAGCCCAGCTTTCGTCTCGACGGTAACAGCCTCAGTGTCGTCTGTCCTAGGCGATGTCGTGATCTTGACGACCTCCTGGTTCAGCCGAATTGCCTCAGAAGCTTCCAAGGCGAGACTCTGGACGATACCCTTGTATGTCGAAGCAACAAAAACATCTTCCCCGCTGTGGCCGTCCTGAAGACATAGGAACTTAAGGCTCTGCGACTCTAGAGGATCGCCAAACAAGCTATCGTATCCACGCACCATTTGCTCGCAGATGACCCTGGGCTCGGCGGACAATTTAGACTTTGCGATTTCCTCTAGCATGAAGTCTCGAACAGTTCTGCTGGGGCTAATCTCGGCCTGGTTTCGATGACTGTACTCTTCGGCTTCGTCCAGTAATGCTTCGACGAATTCTCCGCATTGTTCTGCCACATCATCTGGTATTCGGCGTCCATGAGTGTCGAAGACGACGTACAAGGGGTCATCTTTGCACAAGACTGTATCTGTTTCAGCAGCAAGTCGCCCTATGGGGTTTTTCTCCATGCCATGGATCCAGTTTGCGCCCCTGATGGTCAGTTTCCACTTCACTACAACGATTCGCTACTTACATGTCGACACTGTGACCGTTCAAGGTTTCTTGGTAAACCTAAAAGGTCAGTCAGGCGCATGATGTTTCACACCAAATCCACTTACTCGACCACCAATTCTATCCCTTGCCTCAAGAACTGTCACGTGGAAGCCCTTTTGGAGCAGGACTTGGGCACTCCGAAGCCCAGAGATGCCAGCGCCAATCACGCCGACGCGAGGCATCTTGTTCTGAGCTGCAAGCTGTGCAAGCCGTGCAGAACGTCTATCGTCCATATTGTTGCGCTTGGGTAGAGAGGCAATGGGCCTCGATGTTTTGACTGATGGTACAATGGCAGGACGTTGATAGTCTCGATGAGATGCGGTGAAAGTAACGTGGTGCTGCCGGAATATAAAGCAGGTCGATTATGTATTACAAACCACAAACCATCAAAAAAAAAAAGCAAATTTGAGACTACTATGTAACTATCATGAGTCATAACGGACCCATCACGTCACAGTATTAAATCAAAAACGGTTCTGCCTGTTACACGAGAATGGGTATTAACAACACAATCCACCCAAGCGAGAGATCCATGACGATCAAAATGAAACGTCATTTTTTATCGCCTGATCATCGATCGTTATCGAGTTAACCGTGCTCAGGCTTTCAAACTTACAATGTTTGTCCTGGCTCGTGAATTCGGGAGGATGATTCCGAGAGTGATGTGTCGACTTTGCCCCTGTTTTCCTGTCAGACCTTCTTGGCACCGTGGCTGTGTCAAAAGCTCCGCGGAGAAAGGGGCAAGGAGTGGAGCTTCTTTGTGCCCCCACGCGATTCGATTCACAGCGAAAACCTTGCAAAAGAGGCCTCACGCGTCCATCCAACGACTCAGTCAATCCACAGTTGTCTTGGCCGGCCCTCATCACCATGTCGCTCCCCCGAAATGACTCTGCCGGCGTGCCCGATCGACCCGCCGGCTCACGGGGATCAGAGGAGCATGAAGCGCTGATTTCCGACAGTCTTTTGGCGGAGAACCACCAGTTCATAGGACTCACGGAAGAAGACGTGAGGTCTATCCAGCGAGAACCCCCTATCCATAGATGCTAATGAATAATGTCTCTGGTAGAATAAACGCATACGACGTAAGACCGACCTCCACATCCTAGCCATTCTGGTCTGGGTCTATTTTCTGCAGATCCTGGATAAGTCGGTTCTTGGCTACGGTGCTATATTCGGCTTGAGAGAGGACTGCGAGCTGACCGGCAATCAATATTCCATGGTCAGCTCCGCTTCAGCTGTCGCCCAGCTCTTGGTAATGCCCCTCACCTCTTGGATCATGGTTAGAGTGCCGCATCGGACTCTGATGGCATCTCTTGTCCTCGGGTGGGGGGCGGCCCAGACCTTCATGGCCGCTTGTAACGGTTTTACCGGGCTCCTCATCACGAGGTTTCTACTGGGGGTCTTTGAGGCAGGCTGTCTCCCCCTATTTTCCATCATCACTTCCCAGTGGTACCGCCGGGCCGAGCAGCCAATCCGTGTTGCCGCCTGGTACGGTACCAACGGTCTCTCAACGATGCTCGCGGCCGCTGTATCTAATGCTTTTGGTCATATCCATAGTGGAGTTGCCTCTTGGCGTATTCTATTTCTGTTTGTTGGTCTAATGACTGTTCTCTCGTCACCGATAGTTTACTATATCATGGACAGTGATATCTCAACTGCCTGGTTCCTAACCAAGCGAGAGAGGCTGCAGGCTCTTGAGCGGTTGCGGACTAATAAGACTGGGATGGGATCCCATGAATTCAAGTGGAACCAAGCTTTCGAGGGTATTTATGAGATTAAGAGCTTGCTGTTTGTCGGGATGGCGGTATGCATCAACGTCACTGCTGCTGTGGCCAATACCTTTGGCCCTATTGTTGTGGAGGGATTTGGCTTCAGCCCGGAGAAGGCTTCTTTGCTCAACATCCCCTTTGGTGCCGTCCAACTTCTCGTCATCTTCCCAGCATCATATCTCGCTCATCGATTTCGGATAAAGTCTCTATTCCTCAGCCTGGTTCTCCTCCCGGTGCTTGGAGGGAGCATCATGCTCCACGTTCTGGACCGTGACAGAACAATGCTCTTGCTGACTGCATACTACGCACTAGCATTTGTCTTTGGTGCAAACCCGTTGCTCGTTTCTTGGATCATCTCTAATGTGGGCGGAACCACGAAGAAATCCGTCCTGTTGGCTTTATACAACTTTGGCACGTCCGCTGGCAATATCACGGGTCCTCTACTCTTCCATTCCGATGATGCGCCCTACTACAGACCAGGTCTACAGGTCACTATGGCCATCACTTGCATCCTGATTGCCATCATCGCACTTCAGGTAGCGCATCTTTTCTTTCTCAATAAGAAACACCAGCGCTCGCGTGTGGCGCACGGCAAGCCCGCCACACTTCACGACACCAGCATGGAGCACGAGTATGTCGGCGCAGATCAAAATGCGAGCAACGACCAGCAGTTAGGCACCGATCCGTTTGATGATTTGACTGATTCGAAGAATGACGAATTTGTTTACGTGTATTGATTTTTATTGGATATGATATACCTATAGAACTTTCCTATCACTCTCGAGGTAGGGAAGGAAGATGTGAATTAGAGGCTACAGAGAAGTGAAGGGATAGAGAGTAAAGAAGAGAGATTAAATGTCGAAATACAATGAATCCTTTAGAACTTCTGGATCCTCAGCGTACAGTGTACAGATTTTCGAGTTTAAAGAAGCTCTTTCACTCGGAGCCCGAACCAAGCGCTGCCCCAGTGACGCTCTATTACCGGGTGATAGCCCCTGCGGTAAGTCGGTCCACCAGTCGTCCCAAATGAACTATATCATTCAAAGGCTAGTCTAGTCCTGGCCCATACCCTTCATGAGCAAAAGCTATGAGGTTAGCGAGGTTATATGGCTTCAGCTTCCGTACTGAAACAATATCCAGTGAGTTGCAGATTGCGAATCTAATTCATGAAAACATGCTTCTTAAGATAGCTGTACAATCATTAGATTAGACCATAGAAGATGGCTGAGTTTACGAATTAATACTTGTGTAATGAGTTCGTGACAAGCTTGGGTCATTCGGGTTTGACTTGACAAGATCTTCATTGAATTTTTCAGTTGTGTACAGAATTCCTTCAATTTGAAAAAACCCGCAGTAGGGCGAGGTTATCCGTGGTCAGGCGACCCCGTATTTTCAACTAAAGTTCATTGTAGTATCGATGTATAGCTACCAGCTAATATGACTTGAATCATCCATCCTAGAAAGGTTTACTACCCCTCCTCTGCGCACCCTGTTGTGGTTAGTTAGGCTCAACAAAAGGGAAAGTCTTGGTGCTCATGATGTCATGTCACAGGCTCCGATGGGATAGTTCACGGACTGGACTGTGATTAGCGAAGCATGTTTTGAGACACTATAATTAAATGAAGTTAGTTGATTGGCGGCAATTAAGAACGCCCAGCCACACGGTTCCTTCTTAAAAGTCAGACGGGGGTGTCTTTTCTCTTGTTTGCAAGCAATGTTTTCATCACATATCTTTTCGTCATGTAGCCGTTTAACCCCCCTACACACCAACTACGTTTATGTGCTATGGTTCTGGTTCCTCAAGGGCCGGGACTCACCCTTCTCAGCGTCTCCATCACCTTCCTGGCTTTGTCGTGGGTTTTTGTAGCGGTGCGCTTTGCCGTTCGGTACAGGAAAAGATGCATTGGTGCTGATGACTGGCTCATGGCTGCGGGTTTAGTAAGTTCCGTGGTTATACATCAAGCAACTTTGTTACCCTGTGGGAAACCATTTGATGCTTATTATTATACTCTACCTAGGTTCTGTTCACTATTCAATCCGTGACAACAATCGAGGGGGCCTACAATGGAGTCGGGGCTCGTGACTATCGGTTGACGCCAGAGCTGAACAAAAAAGGTCGCAAGGTAAGACCATCCCGAAGGTCGTCGATCAAGAAGAGGTGATGCTAAACAGAGACAGTGGTTCTTATTGTTTCAACTCTTCTATGTTACGAGCACTGTTCCTATAAAAGGCTCAATCTGTGTTATGCTGCTTCGCATCACTCCATTCACAGTCTACCAGAGAATTCTCCACGGTGTCATGGCCTTTAGTCTACTTTCTGCACTCATTGTCGACATTGCTTTTCTGACGCGATGCCAGCCTATTTCTGCGACATGGGATCCAAAGGCTGGGAGATGCGCAAACCAATCGGTCGTCACTAGTATCAGTTATTTCATCTCTGCCTCGACTATTGTGACTGATTGGTCATGTTCTATCTTGCCGATCTTTATTCTACGACATGCCCGAATGCCGCGGAGGATGAAGGCTTCTATTGGAATTATTCTGGCACTGGGAGCTGTGTAAGCGGCACGTTCCCTATTTATTCAGCCTTGAAGTATCCCCCAAGCTAACCAATTCCTCGGGACTTGATAGAGCAAGCACTGCAAACATCGTTCGATTCAAATATGTACTTGCGTACGAAGATACCGTTGATTACCTTTATGGAATTGCCGATATTGCAACCTGGTCAATGGTTGAATCAGGCACAGGGATCGTGGCTGGATCGCTGCCTCCCATGGCACCTCTGATCAAACATATCCCTATAATCGGCGTCGGTTTTGCCAATGTTGCCCGAGGTCAAGATACCATAAACTTCGGCTCAACGAACCTAAGACAACTTGACACGAGTATGCATACTATCGAGAACTCCTCTGCATTGCCTGGAAATGTAATATGTAACGAAAGGACACAGTAGTCTGGATGGAACTACGCACAGGAGAGCCTGTGCAGTATGGCACGCTCAAGCGTCCACACTGTGCTATATGATCTCTTTTGCCGAGTATAAGGCCACGGGCTTGTTTGTTCACGTAGCAGAGATTCTCTGTGTTCCACCTATATAGAGGAGAGCTACATACAAGTACGTAATAGATCATAATCACCAAATAACTATTAAGGTCGTGAGTTTTTAAACGTCCATTGGTGTTGAATTTAAGTTTTATTTTCTAGTATGTTGTCAAACAGACCTCATGGAAAAGCGATGGAGAGGAAAGGCTGGCATTGGTGTTTCAAGTGAAAGGTTGTCCCGCTATACTTTACCCGGTCGTAATTCAGGTTGACGTCAACGTCATCAACGCGCGGTATAGCCTGCGAGCCAAAGAGTGCAAGAGTCATTGGCGCCAGAGAAAGGACCAATGAGCGAAATTTATCTTGCTTACAGCCTTCCTTCGCGCATTTGTTGCCCAGGTCTAGGCTTTTCTCGCCACTGCTGGTGGGCCAAGATCGAGTGCAGGCGGATTTCAATTCCAGAATGCCAACTTCCCTGTTCGTTTATACTGAAAAGAAAATGCTAGAATAAAGAGAGAAGACACATAGGGAGAGGGAGGGAGAGATAAGGACAAAATTTCTGAGGGTTTGTGACCGATCTTTGTGATCTTGGCGATCTTTATCGCTGTAACACCCTGGACTCACAATTATCGTTGACTGCCCCAATAAATAGCCCTCCTCTGACTTGTTCGTTTATGAACCAATACGATTGCGAGTAGACAACGGCATTGTCTAGCTTGTCTCAGCCTAACCGGCAATGTTCAGGGGTAAAACTGGGTCAACAGAATTGTGATGGACAATGTGTGGTTGATGAGGGCCATGAGAAAGCGTACGTATCTTAAGCCAGGTATCCAAGCTAGGGACTCATCTATAATTCGCTAAAAGAAAGGTGAGAAATCATTCAGAGCCTCCTCCTGAACTATCCCTCCCTCCGTTGCTGCTGTTGAAGGTGGCCGGAAACGTGGAAACGATACCGCTAGACTGTTTCGGGATGGTTTTCGACGGTCAGTTACGGTGGGAATGAGCAGGGGCTTCCCAAGGAATCCTGTGGCCGTGCCCAGAAACAGGACCGGTCACTCCGTAAGGCACCGGGGTGCTGGCCAACTCAGCTGGAAAACGTGACGGCCGTCTTGTTTTGGTGTTTGGCCCTATCGTCTCCATTTACGAAACACATCCCAATATCTGTCGCTTGCGAATGATAAGTTCTACGCATGATAATCGCAGCAGTGTCAGCATCTCACTCCAGTTGCCAGTCCCTTTCAGGCGCCGTCCAAACGTCCCGGCAGCCTGCATTAGTGCTCACTCATTCCCCATACGTCAGCTCTCGCCTCAAAAAGCCCTAAGCACAGTGAGTTTCCGCGTCCATGGTTGGTGTCCCAGGCAAATCTACCGCTTGTCCGGACTGTCGGAAACGAAGACGGCCTGTAAGTCAGCCATCGCGCTTCTTCGCTTTGTAATACAGCGCATTTACTCTCCCCACCCGTCTCAACTTCATCGTGTCACGATTGAGGCAAAAATTGACCATTTTCAGTGCGACCGTGAACGGCCAGCATGCGGCCAGTGTAGGAGAGCGGGCGTTGAGTGTGGAGGGTATGGAAAACCCTGGATTTTCGTGAATAGCACCGTGGAGCAAGATGATGGAATCGTCCTGGAGTTGAGGACGAAATCATACTCTATGGAACTGGAGCCAGTGCAGAAACCGAAGAGCCGCCCGCTGGAGAGGAGATTTATCAATGCCATCAAGGCCCAGATAAATGGCCGGCCAGTTGTGCTTCCACAATCATTGAACCGGACTTCTTATGAGGAAATATTCGTTGAGTCCTTCTGGTCGACCTATCTTCCATCGCCCGGCGCGCACTCATCTAAGGAAGCAGTTCTCTACAACACAAGCGACTGGATACATGTTGTTAGAGATCTGTACCGAGATAATGGGCCTTTGCGTATGATATTTCTTGCCAACTGTGTGGCGTTGAAAGGCTTCGAGGATAACAAGCAATGGCTGGTTGAGAAGAGCCATCAAATGCATGGGCGGGCTTTAAATGCTATCGCACGGTCTCTCTGCCATCCCGATGCCTATAAGAGTGACGCGGTACTGGCGGCAGCCAGAATGCTCATATTGTTCGAGGTAAGTACTCATATCCTAAGACACATCGGGCTCTAGGACTCAACGAAGGAATCAGATCTGCTATGGCGAGAGCCTTGTGACTGCAACGCCTCAGTCACGAAGATGGCACACCCACGGAGCGGGTCACATGGCCATAATGTACTCGAGGGGACCACACTGCTACAAGCGCGGCTACGCCCATCAGCTGTTTTGTGATGCTCGATTGCACCAGGTAAGTTAATAACCTCCCGTTGAAGACTGTGGAAAGAAGCCGGTGCACTAATTATATCACCCAGTCTGTCGTGGACGGGCTACTCAGGCGAAGATGTCTTTTATCCACGCCTGAATGGAAAGAAATCCCATTTTCGGAAATACCCAAGAAGCCCAAGGATGAACTCATAGATGTAGTGTCTGAGGTTGGCGGGCTGTTTGAGGACGCAGACAGTGTCCGGCTGTTATCCGACCCCAAAGAGATCCACCGAATCCTGGGGGATGTTACGACCAGGGCTTGGTCCCTGAATGATGATCTTGACAAGTGGGCAATAGGATCAGGTCGTCGGATTATGGAGTTCATGGACTCGCATCTCAGCACCGTTCCGGCCGAGCCGCCATCGAACGAAGAGCTGATGCTTGGCGATCTCGCGATGAACTACCTTGCCTTTCGCGTCATTCTTCATGCCTTCCTGGAAACCACTGCCCAATACGTCCCGAATATTCCAAGATCGGGTGATGTTCAGCCGATGGATTATTGCCGTCAAATTGGCCAGTATATCCCATTCTTCCAAGCTGCCAAAGCGACGGTTTGGACTATCCACATGTTGGCTCTTCCGGTCGGCTCTGCGCTTACATACCTCGAAACACAAACAGGCAGAAAAGATGCACTCGAAGTCAAGTTGCTCCTCACTCAAGCCATGAGTGGGAAAGCAAGTTCTGCTATCATAAGGTTTTTAAAGATGTTACAGAAGTACGAAGGGGGGGCTCCTCGTATATAATGGCAGCAACCTCGATTCATTCCTCAGTTCACATTCCCCAATTCTGCTAGCTTTATCATTCTAAGGATAGATTTGAATTTGCAGAGACGTATAGGGAAACATTCATTATTTTCTTCCCGTCCAGCGTGATATTCATGTATCTCCATCAAAGATCCCGGTGGATTGGTAAGTCGAAGTAGCAACTATTTCTAGCAACCAACTCAGATTACGGGTATATTCTTGGCGCTCCCCAGCCTCTCTACTGATATATAACTGGGGATATTGTATCTTCTGCTAGTAATTTCCGGTCCTTCTTACCTTCATCCTGTCTATTCCTGAAGAACTATGTCTGTGTTTGGAGCACTAGTCGACAATGATTCATTGTACATCGATTATACATCGGTATAACCTCACTCGCTTTGAAGGCCAAATCTTTCTCACCCACATATCCCAGAATCTATGAAACCAACCACGACATTTATATTTGATCTTGAGGCTGTAGCGTTTGTGGTAAAAGAAGGCTGAGCATGTACCGTGCGGAGAAATAGCTACGGCTCTGGACCTACCTACCCTAAAGCTTAGTCAATCTGCGACAAATCCGGAGGGAAAATGCAGAACGCTCGAACGATGTATCGAGAATTTCATCAAAAATAACGTTTCAGAAGAAGGAATTACTGTTGGGGCGTCTCAGGCCTGGAAAATTACCGTTAAAACTTGCATGCTTGCACCTGAATGATCTCATGTTCAATGTAGATCCAAAAGAGAAAGAAGAAACACCAAGGCTTGATATTCTATCACCACAAACAGCAGTCACCCTTTCCATCAGATACTAAATCTTAACAATCTGGCGAACAGGAAACCGAGGTTGCCACAATTCTTGTGCCGTGATTCCCAGCAATGATAATTCCCGTGATGCCTCGTGTTTTTTTGGTAGTAGCTGAAGGCTATGCACTAGCCCTGATCTGCTTAGCCACGGAACTATCTAATCACTATTAGATTTTACCCCTTCCCTCTCGATCTCATTATGGACAAGGCCAAGGTACCCGATTGGCCCCCTGTTGGGTTGTCTCCCTTTTTTTTTCCGTGCCAAGAACAGATGATGGGCTAGAACAGCGTGAAGTGGCGGCGGCATGGCGGCGACTGGCAGATGAGTGTAGAGAGATCCAGCGAGGTCACGCTGAATCAATAGTCTGGGGTTCCATCCAGACCATTGTCCATGGGTGGCCGAGTCTATCGGCACCTCAAAGGGGTGATGTTCCTCTCAGACTCTGTGACCAACTTAAACCTCCTTCGTTCAGTACTATATCTGTGCTTCGGCGCAATTGCACTCGTTCAAACCCCATTTCGCGGACAATGCGCTCTCTTGTTGGCCTGAAGGCCTTGGTTTTGGCCCTGGCTGGGTTGCAGGATGTCGCATTGGCCAAGAAAACTTGCAAACCACGCTCCTCCTCTGGCCAAGGTACCTCTCTGACGACCGCCCAAACGGCAACCATCACCCCGAGCGCGGGAGGACTCGCTCCTCGAGGCGTACCCAACATTGTGGTCAATGGAAACTTTGTAGGCTATGATCCCAGTGCCGCGGGTGGAATCTATGGATTTGAAACAGACGGCGACGCTCGCCAGGTCACTGGCCTCGGATACACCGGCGACAACAGCCAGGAAACAGCCTGTGCGTACTTTACGGTGCCTGATTCCCGCAACACTAACACCGGTGTTTCTAAACGTGATGGCGTTGAAAGCCCGCAAGTCGCCAGCGTCCGCCAATGGCTGAAGTCGACGGATCGAGAGAGCGTCTACACGATGCGCGTCTGGTACTATGTCGACTACAACAAGTTGGCCGACACTTGCAAATTGGTTGCCACCTACGACAATAATGTCTTCGTCGAGTCGCCTTACTTCCCAGTCGTAGCCAAGGACTCGGGGTCGTTCAGCTGGTCGCCTCTGATCCAACAGAGCCCCGTCCTTTCTGACAGCGGCTACCTCAAATTTGAAGTCCAGTGTACCGGAGGTGGTGCTGCCGACGTTCGGTTCGACCAGGTCTTCTTTACTAACGAGGTTAGCCTGAGGGATCTCGACGATATCACAGTCATTTACTCCTCATTCGCTGACACCCCAACGGTACCACCGACTATCAGCTCTACCGCCACCTCTCCTGCTTCGGCAACTGCGGTTTTGAGCACCGGCTCATCTACTGCTGCTGGATCTTCTACCGTTGCTGGCTCTATAGCCTCTTCCGGGACTATTGCCTCCTCGGCCACAGGTTCAGGAACCCAGATTGCCAGCTCCACCTCCTCCTTGCCCCCCTCTACTTCATCCAGTGTTGTGGGAGACAACAATTGTATAGTTTTGGGTCAAGCCAGTGTTGCTGGCAGAGGCTGTGCCAAGCGGCCGTATTCTGGGTCTTCTGGATACAAAACCTTCCCAAATCCCGATATTACGAAGGATCAGTGTGCTGCTCTTTGCTTGAGCGACGCTCGATGTCAATCGTTTCAATGGAGCACTCAAGGCTCGGGATGCCAAAACTATTGCTCTTTGCTGGAAACCTCTCTTTCTGCTGGCTCTGCTGACAACGGTGGGAATGGCTCCCCTTGGGCCTATGACCGATCTTGCATTACCCAGTCGACATGTCCGCAAGCCCCTGCCGATACCGTCTGCGTTAATGGTCAGGGGAATACACCAGGTGCCGGCTGCACACAATTCCAGGGAGTTGCCAAGGCTTGTGCGACGCCATTCATGACTGCAAGCATGAGTCTAGTCTGTGGTGTTAGCAATGGGTGCCGAGACCTCTGTGCCCAGACACCTTCCTGCAAGTCTTACTCTTACTCTTATGATGGTACGAACAACTGCAAGTTGTACTCGGCATCAGCTGCTACTGTTGGGACTGCTCAAGGTAGTGGTAGCATTTTGTTCGCGGACGCAAGCTGCTCTGCTTGTGGAACAGGCATGTCGCAGTTCAAGTATCTGCCAAAGCTATCAGACCCCTCGAGAATGCCCATCCTGAACTGCCCAGATCCTTCCGCCACTCCAGCTTCGTCCTTGGTGCCGACTACTACAACGCAGTCCTCTCCGTCAACCGCATCAAGCTGCCCCCAGTATATCACAGCTCCAGGAATGTGCTACGGCGCAACACCAACAGCCGTTGGCTCCGTGTGCAACAAGCGTGGCACCAATTCAAATACGTATACCAAGCCGCTCGACGAGGTTCCCAACCAGAGCATGTCTGAGTACTGTGCCTTGGCATGCGACAGCGATCCTGAGTGCAAGTCTTATGCATGGGATTACAATCTCTCCCCGTTCAGCTGCCAATTTTCAAAGAAGACAGTCACCGACAACATCGCTGCTGACCTTTTCATTCCCAGTGAAATGGTCAACCAGCGCTGGTACGATATAGGCTGCATGAGATGCGTTCACTGCGGCACTACCCCTCAATCATCGGCATTGGTATCGTCATCTTCGGCATCTTCAACGATTCCATTGGCATCAACTACCACAGCCGCGGCATCGACACCCCAGAACGCATGTCCTGGCGGTCTTGCCTGCACAGCCAAGACATTTGCCCCCGCTGGTGTTTATTGCAAGCAGCAAGGCCAGTTCAGTGGCCTTATCGGTGCCTCAGCTCCGGATGCAGTCAAGTTCCCCCAGAAGGCGACCTCTGCAGAGGAGTGTGCCTCTATTTGTTCTCAGACCACTAACTGTCTCGCGTCTTCCTTCTCAGTTGCGCAGGGATGCGGCCTTATCACTCAGACTCTTGCACAGACTAGCTTTGTGCCTGGAAGCTCATCTGACTCTTGGGGTACTGTTTGGAGCGATAATGCTTGCTTTGACTGTGCAGCATGTGGTACTGAAGCATCTTCCACAGGGGCTACCCCAATAAGCACAACCTCGTCAGCCATACCGGCGGCTACATCTACTGGAAGCTCAACAGCGTCCCCGACTGACTGCTTCGGTCTGAGCTGCCGGATCACTTCGCCTATTGCTTCCGGAGTGTACTGCAGACAGCCTGGTGACTTCCAGGAAGATATTGGTGTATGGAGTCCTGACCCAGTGAAGTTTCGTCTCAAGCCCATTACGGTAGAGCAGTGTGCGGCCATTTGTATGCAGGACTCGAGATGCAAAGCTTCTTCAATGACATCCAGAGGCTTGTGTCAGCTCTTTGACCGCACCCTCAGCGCAGCTCATTTCACACCCAGCACCGTAAAGAGCAAGGATGTCTGGAGCGATAATGCATGTTTTGAGTGTGCATCATGCAGTAGCACATCTACGCCTATATCGCTTGTGTCCAGCACAGTGCCACCATCAACTACGACAACTCCAACACCATCAAGCACCACAGATGGATGCCCGACGTGGCTGCCCGGCCCAGGTGGATGTGTTCATTCAACCCCGTTCCCGTCAGGTTATGTGTGTGACGTCAAGGGCACCGTTCCTGCGAGCAGCGTCTACACGTACTCTCTGGCGGCACAACCTCTCCAGCGGGGTTTCGGCGACTGTGCCTGGATCTGTTTTAACGATCCTAGCTGTAAAGCCTACGGATGGGTATCGGGCTCATCGTCAGGCTGCAAGTTCTCGACGGTGTCCCTAGATGGGCAGCTCACCACAGACTCAACATCCGATACGAGATGGTTCAACATGAACTGCCCCCAGTGTTATTCTTGCCCAAACAAGCCTCCTCTCTCGACGAAGACACCGGTGTACACCTCGCCGCTCACTATGTCCACTCCTACCACTTTTGGTACAATAACAACACCAGCTTCATCGAGCACTGATCTCATTTCGTCTTCCAGCAGCGAACCACTCATTACGCCTTACCCACCGATGACCACAACGACCACTGCCGTGACAACAACTACAACGGCTCCGATTGCGGCCCAAACTTGCTCAGTGCCAGCTGCTGTGCTGCCTGACGACGCAACCTGTGGCATTCCTGGCAACGGTGGCCAGCAACTGATGAGTTACCGACTGGATAACTACGTCATTAAGCCGGTAGGGAGCCTCGCTGCCTGCGCCAAAGATTGTCTGGC